TTATGGGCGACTGTCGTCCGGCGCCTGCGGCTGGATAGGAGATGGCGGGGTGACGTTGCGGGTGATTGCGGTGCTGGGCACGTACATTCCTCTGGCAGTACAGGGGTCATGTTACACGATACTATTTCTGGCGTACCGCATCCGGCAATTGTGCGGCCCGGTGGTACATGCCGAGCGGGAACTGACCAGCCCGTTGCGGAAGCGTCTGACGTTGACGAAGGCGTTGTATTTTGCGTTTGTATGGTACTGGGTGTGCGTCCTGCCGCCGTCCATGCTGGTTATGGTCTATAGTGGATCGTGGCTGAAAACTGTGCCGGTTATGCTGTACTCTCGGATCACCCAGATTCTCGGTTATTCGGCAACCGCAGTAAGTGGAACCCGAACGTTGGCAATAAACAAATTAAAATTCAATAACTGAGGAGATTGTTCAGCCAAGTGCGTTCAGCTTTAAAAGATTTTCTATAAAGCGGCTTTTCAGCAGAGTACAGCAAGTAAAATGTTTTTTACTGAAGCGTGCGACAAAGGAGGAATTCTACAAAACCTGAGCACACTTGGCTAAATTGTAGTTAATTTAATATGGGCAAACTCGACCTTATATCCGTGGTCTGCTGCATTCGGCATTGCCAGTACGGCACGAACTATCCCACCAGCAGTACGTGGGTGTTCATTTGAACAACCCTGTCTTCTCAGTCTCGGTATTTGAAGATCATAGTTACGATCTAACGGATACGGTCCAGGTTGTCCAGGGTTTTACGCTAAATAATGTGCCTACCAGTGTTACTCAATTTCTAGCGTTTAAGTAATTTGCGATCACTGACGTTGATTTTGAAATTTTTAGGTTTTCTTCTTTGCCGTGAACGAAGACTACCGCAACACACTGAAAGAGAGTTTCCAAAAATGTTTCCAGCCACGTGATCGAAATCGAGTAGCTCGTATGGCGAAAATGTCGACTTCGAGCAATCGAGTGACGTTTTCCGCGTGAACCGATCACCAAACAACGGAAACGAAGGCGGCAAGTTTTGCGTTTACCGGCCTGGAGCGAACCAACGACCATAAAACGATTTGGTTCCGTTGTATGGCATAATGTGCATCATGCTAAAAAATTCGGTTTTTCGAATTAAAGCTTCATTCTGTACCGGTATATACATGTACCTTGTACAGTAGACTAAATAACCGGTTATGAAGACAGCCGCTCGGGTGCATTTAACGCCATATTGTGGAGCCGAACTAAATTATAGTAAAATATATGTTATCAAATTTTTTCTTAATGTTTACCATAGCATAAGTATTCTGCACACTCTGTTTGTTTTGCGCTTTCGAATAAAATTCGAAGTGCGTTCGTTTAATAATAAAGACACTATCAATACTAGCGAGTGCAACTAGCGACTGCAATCAGTGCAACTAGCGAGAAACTCCTTCTTGCTGCCTGTTGCAAAGTTAAGGTTGGTAATGCTACGAACTACGAAGTACTTGCGAATGGTTTAGCCAGCTTTCTAGCATTCATCTCCCGCACGAGATCAATCCGACTGATAACCGGGAAACCATTTCAATTAAGAATTTATCACTGCGCATGACGTGAGCGGGTGATTTTCTAAACATTTCAGGGTGTTCTACTTCCGCTCCAACAATCTCTTCCATGTGAGTCGTGTAACTGATAGTAGCGATAACCGGCGGTGACGCAAGTGTTTATCTGTATGAGCGTATCAGATTTTACAGGAATTCCTTTAATAGGTAAAATTAATTACAGTATTTCGAGGTACCGTGTCTCTAAATGTCACGGGGGTCTAACTACTACACTATATGTTCAATTTACATGTACGTACATGCGTAACGTGCACACAAGTGTTTCTGTTTTTAAAAGAAAAGTTCGCAATCAAGTGTCGTACTTAGGACTTAACATATGAAACAGGAGACTCGACAACCTTTACGCCCATAAAACCAATTTATACGTCGGTTTCACCACATAATTTCTGATAAGTTAATTGCATTTGTAACGGTTTGACGGCCCGACGGAAATTAACTGTGCGTTGCTACATGCCAAAACCTCTTGGTTTTCTTCGGCCGTATATTATGTCATCGTAAAATTTCGCAGTACGCGTTTACCGTTGTGTCGATGATTGTAGAGTGCTGTCACCTTGCTATTCCCGAGATCACGCTATACTACTATTTTGCACAGTTGGACGTATCATCACGACCATTACCTCGTATATTTTTCATAATCATCAGAAAATAGTGATCGTAACAATACTACATCGGCGTGGGTATCGCGTGTTAAATTTGCATGCCGTTCATTCATTCGTCAATTTCGATTCAGCTGATTAATCAGCTAATGCCGCGGCAAGTCAAGTGGATGTTGCATATTACACGCTAGATATGCTACTGTGCCACACGACCTTCTTACGACAATTATTGCAGACAACTGTCTATTAAATTTGATTTCACTACCGGTTAATAAGCATGCAACTGTTTTCCTCAGAGATTTCTCAACGTGGAGCTGGACGGTTTGTTGCGCCACTCTAACGCTTCCCACTAGTTCCCAGTGCTTCCACACGCTAACTATGCGTCGTGATTGAAGGATATAATATTTCCTCTTACAGAGTGGATATTCCAGAAAAATGTCAAAGCTTCATATGTACTAATTAGAAAGATGTTGACGCACAAGAGCGTGTGATACCGGATTCTGTATCGCTTTCTGAAATTGAATTAATATAAACATATAATTAATGTCCTCAGAAAAATATAAGACCGCAAAATGAGTTTCGCGGCAGTAATTATTACGTTAGACGTTTCCAGTGCGGGTGTCGCTCTCTAATTTCCCCGTAAACAGGGTGTAATTTAAATTTTGCTACCCGGCGGAGTAACCACCTCGTCGAGGCTTCCTCGTGATATTTGTGGATGGAACGTCTGTAATTTTCTTACCGGTTTTTGTTATCGTGTATCCGCTATTGCAGCTGCCGCCCCATTTTCGCCAAGAAGACGCAATCCAGCGGCGCTAATAACCATAATATTCTTCTGCTGCTTATTCTTTGAGAATATTTTATATTCTAAAACTGATATTCTTCATCAGAAATCATCCAACTGATACGTGCCAAACATTATCCGTTAGACAAGTGCAATAACTCGAAGTATTCATCTTCGCGATTTCGATTAATCACTATCTTTGAGAATTTTGATACACAGCTCAGCAAAAATGGCAAATATTTCCAATGCATCATCGTTCAATACTTGTACTGGGACCGGCGTTTCTAATACCGCATTAACCGTTTGGATTGCCGGGCAAATGACCCTGAGCGTTATCGGGGCGATTGTTATCGTGCTACTGATAACCGTTATGTACCGCTTGAAAAAATTAAAAACCGGCTCAGGCTTATTGATCGCCCATTTATTAATGGTCGAACTGATGTTCTGCCTCCTTGTCAACACCGTAACCAGCATTCCGCTATATCTGACACAGATGAAGATCCCCGATCCACTGGAAGTAAACTGCCGGGCCGTGGGCTTCTTCAACATCTTCGTCTTTCAGGCGGAAAACTGGACGGCCGTCCTACTGGCGCTTAACCGTTTCTTCGCCATCGTCCTGCCGCATTTCTACAAGAAGATCTCCTCCTTTCGCTTTTCCGCTTGCGCGCTGCTACTGGCCTGGATCATCCCGTTGGTAGATAATATCGTGACGACCTTTCTGATTCCCGGGCTGGTCTATGGACGTTTGTCCTCCGGCGCGTGCGGATGGATTGGGGATGGTGGAGTGACCTTACGGATGATAGGCGTGGTGGGGACGTACATTCCCATTGGCATACAGGGATTCTGCTACACCACGCTGTTTGTGGCGTACCGCATCCGGGAAAAATGCGGTCCGGTGCTGCAGGCAGAGACAAATTTGGCCAGTCCGTTGAAAAAACGTCTGATGCTGACGAAAGCGTTGTATTTCTCATTTGTATGTTACTGTTTCTGTGTACTGCCTCCGTCGATGCTGACACTGGTCGTGGGTGGTTCTTGGCTGAAGGATGTACGCATCATGCTGTACACTCGCATTACGCAGATTGTGGGCTACTCTGCAACCGCGGTAAGTGATATGAAGTTAACTTTGCGGTTGACGGTGCTTATATCTGGGCGGCAGTATTTTTGGTGAGGTATTAAAATGTGCCGCAACCATTTTAGGTGATGTTTTTTGCTATAAACGTGGAGTATCGGAATCTACTGAAACGAGATCTTCGAAGATGTTTCCAGCCCATGTTACGGCGGCAAAGCCACAAAGTGCATAACTTGGAGACTATGCACAGCAATCGCGCAACAACTTCCGCTTAAAGGAACCAAGCAATCATAATTATCATAAATGAGCGGCTGTTGTTGGAATCAACCTCGGAGATCCTTATATTCATAGATCAACCAGTGCGATTCACGGAGATAGCAGCATAAAAAGCATCAAAATTCCGCCATTAAGGAATAGCAATTAGCTTATAATTAAATGGAGCATAGGTTTTAATTTCCAAGTAGTGAATGTACCAGCGCTTTTTATTTTTGTAATCTGGGTGGCTACTGCCACTAAAACTATTTCCATTGATTTCGATTATCAGAGATGTTTATGTGCACCTAACATCAATACTTAGTGAATTGAACTCGTACATAATCATTGTGCCTGTGTGTATCGAACCTTTTCAGGCTTACATTGCATAATATTCTTTACTTTTGTTTTGTTAATGCAGTGGCCGTTGTACCGCTAAATTTTGTATGTGTGCACAACATTGATAAATGATGAAACAGAACATTTTCAAAAAATTATGTCGCATAGTTCGTCACTATTGCGAACGATGATTTTTTTCCAATTAATAGTCCCTGTTAAAACCTCTTTTGCAAATCATAAATTCAGAATAGTCAGAATAGTCTTCACTTCGTCTCATCACTTACTTAAGCCACTTTCGGAACTACGTTATAGCGTCCAATTTTGCTGATTCAAACAGCATGAACACCATTGTGGGGTTTTGTTCTTTTACGTGGGATTACCAAACGTCATGACATCGCTCGTTCCTCTGACAAAATCATAATTATGATGGTTGCTTACTCGGAACAATTACATTTGCGCTACATTATGGATAGGAGACAGTGTAATATAGAGTACAGTACAGAGTACTAGTAACAAGTATAATATCATTGGCCAGAATTATTGTACTACAATTCTGCCCTAATCAGTTTTTCTGAATACACGAAGATATGCGTGGGCATTGAGCGCTAACATCAAAAACCAAAACAAAAACCGGTGGTTATATAACAACATGACCTTTAGTCTGGAATCCGGTTCCTAATGGGAATAACAGCTAATTCTGTTAGGGACGTGCTAAATGTTATGGCAAACCCCATCAAGGCATTTCGTAGCTTCTTTCAGAGCACGCGACATGGCCAGGGACTTCGTGCGCTTTTCCGTAATCTCCTTAGCTTCTTCGAGAATGTCGAAACCTTTCGTCATAGCTGGTGTGTACAGTTCCGCAAGCAAATGTTGGTTCAGCTTCTCCTGAAAACGCCAACCATCTTTTGTTCCAAAATCACCATCATTGCATCGTTTGCACAATTTCACACTAACACCTACTCTTGTATGCGCAACCAACGAGTGCACGATGGCCTTAGGGACGGTATCGTACACTACCTCCTGCACCAGGGAAAAGTACTTGCTAACCAAGCATTTCATCATTTCCACATTTTCTAATTCTCGCACTGAAGGTTTTTCCGGGTCATTTTTTTCATCCTAAACAATATGCTCAAAACTTTAATCTAACTGCAGGTGAGAAAATCATTTAACACTTACCGGTCCACAGGATTGGCTTTCCTGATTCAACCTGGCTTTGATAGCCTCGCGGAAATTCAGCTTCCCTGGCGACGCAGCCTGCAACACACGTAGAGCTTTTTGATTTGCTTGTAAGGCTGCAGCAGTAAGCGGCCGTTGCGTACGGTTTGTTCACCCTCACTGCCAGACGGCACTGTCTGCTAGTGAAGTTTTTAAGTTTTTAAAAGCGGTGTACGGTTTGACATCAGTACTTCTACTAAGTCTTTGATAAAAGTACGAAGTAGTTTTCCGTAACTTGTTTTTGCGATCCATCTCCAGTGTTTTCGCTTTTTGCAGATGAGTGTTTTTGCAGAAGCGCTTCTTTTTCCTGGCTGAATGCCGGATGTGTGCAGTCGATATAAGCGACCTGAATCTACAAAAACTATACATGTAATCTGGAACTAACTGCTTTTAATGAGGTGTATGTATACAGTTTACTGTTTTGTTACATATCAAGTTTATGCAACAAAATATGGCGCAGCGTAACAGCTACGCTACCACTACTAACATTAACAACAAATTTGACGTCCTCTTCAGTGGATTCCGCTGTCTTTCTCACAAATTCACTTGCAATGTTGACCATATTTTCATAAACTTGAGGATATTTCATCAGTTCATCCTGAAACCAGCCATAACTAATTTCATCTATGCAGTTAACGCTTTATTCACATATTGCACAGATTAAAAAATAATTCGGGTTCCGCATGCAAATTGCAGTCAGTGTCTTGCCAGTTGGCAGTAACCAAGTCTTTTACGCACTGCTGTTTCTCTGTCTGTGCAAACCTGGTAATGGTCAGCAGAACTGTACTGCAACAATACTGCACTGCAACTGCAGTGCGATAGAACAGCGCAACTGCGGCAGCTTACCTACAGATACTGTACAGTGTACGGCAGTACCTACCATGATGTTGTCGTTACAACTCCGAACGCATCTCTGCAGTTCATCATTAACCAAACCGACACAGTCAATGCAAGGAGAAATCATCCTTTTTATCTGGCGTTTGACTAAGCGCTGGAACGCCTTTGCCGGTACTGAAAGTGGTGGGATTAGCCCCTGCAAGAAAGAAACACAAGAATTGATTGCTGCCCTAAATACAGTAGACAGGTACTTCGTAGCCACACACATATTATGTAAATACAGTAAGTCTCGCATTTATATATTGTAATACACCTCAGGTATGTAACACTTTAAAAATGCACATATATGGTACCTGTACAGTGTGCATTATTTTAGATTGTGCACCACAATTGTGATTTATTTATTTGTTAACTGCTATTATTCTTATGTATCTGTAGTTGCTGCGTTGGAAACTTCAGGCAAAAAATTCTGCAAGTATTTTAGGTGCACTTTATACAGATAAGCAGGGCGCCTGGTTAGTTATTGTCCAGTATGCAGTTAATATTGAATGCGAGTACAATACGTATATACAGAGTAAATATGGCACTCTGGGTAGTTGATATATTTTAGTGATATTCTGAAGTTAATTTCCAAAACAACAAATACTGCGCTTTAAAGTGATGACAAACGGTGCACATTCGTTAATTAAAATATCAGATTAATCCAGTCGGAAATTGACACCTTGAGGCTCCATTGCATTAAGTCGAAACTATGCTGTCTGGAATACCATAATCCAATCTAATTTCTTTACCGAGTTAGTAATTCTTACTATTATCCTTGGTCCCGTTGGTCTTGCACTGATGGTCCTACTAATAATGGTAGAGCAGAGTGCTTACCGAAGCTGAGCGTATTGCCGCAACAATGGTTTTCACATCCAAATCACCCAGGGCATCCACACTAAATAAGCTTTGCGCAAATGCGTTTTGGAAAATGTGTTGACTGATGCGGGCCCCTCCCATAAACTCATCATCGTCATTGTCGCCGATATCAAAATCCTCGACATTTCCGCTCAGAGTGGCGCTGTATGCTTGTACAAAACCATTGATCAACTGTAACAAGCATAAGCCTTTATCAGTAGGTGCCTCTCCAAGTTTAGCCAGCTGGTCTGTATTGGCTTTCGTCAGGTCGCCAATACGCTTCCTCAAATCTGGCAGACGGGTACGAATATGCGACATCAAAAGCTGAAAATTTAATATAATTATACCGAATGCTTGCTTTCACCCCAAAGTGGCATATTTTAGGTCAACATTATCAGACTAACTTTGTTCAACCTCTGGCTCAGAACCTTCGTCCCGTGCTGATCGGCAATGTCCGGATATTTATTCGCGAAAAAATCTTGTTCGTCTTTCCGCGCATCGGCGATTGTCTGCTTAGAAAGGTCAGATCAGCAAAACGCAACGACATCAGAATAAAATTTTATTTATCTTGCCTTATTATTGGTAACTTCACTTGGTGCACGGTTTATTACGGCAATGATGCCCAGTTTAACTTTAATAATGCCCCCGCTCAGCATTTCGCGTGCGTTAACACCGTCTTCCACACGATCGAATTTTGTAAAGACGGCAATCGTGCGTTGGCCTACGCCAAAAAAAAAATTAGAGTGAAATAAATAGAAAAAATATAAAAAAAATAATGTTTCTGTTTTGAATTTTTTGATTCGGTGCTTTAATACTGCTTTTGATGTTGTACGAAAACAACAATTATTTAAAATACCATCCCGCTACCATACAAGAACTATTGAAAACTGATAACTGATAAGCCACAAACTACAGTTTACCATCTGGATCAACTTGTCTGGCTAGTTTAAGCGCTTCCATATTCGCCATATCTTCGTACGCCGGGGTAACAGCAAGAATGACCGAGTTCGAGTTCTCGATGAAATTCAGAACAAGAGTTTTGATTTGGTCCTCGATGTCTACAGGTTGGTCCGGAAGCGGGACCTATGAAAACATACCACACAGCCAATAGTAAAATAATTAGAAAAGTGCGCCCGCATTTTAAGTATGACGGAAGCGTACCAGGGAGATATACTGTAAGTGCAGGTTAAAGTTCGTTCTAAACTTCTAATGCAATTATAGGTTTTCAATATATACGGCCACCTAGCCCTTATGTGGCGGGTGCTATGGACGGACACCGTATTTTCCGTAATCGCTGAACACAGAAAATGCCTTCGACTTTCGGTCGATACCGCTCCTTGCCTAATTTCGGTGAGCAGTTATTGTGACATGTGGCACGGGTAACTGCAAGTGTTAGCTTCAGCCTCCTTCACAACCTTTTACTTGCTTCACATTTCACAACCATTCGCACAACCTTTGCGCAGCACTCTCATTAACATTTAACTGACTGTACATCGTTTCACCAACTCGCACACTACCATGAATTCCCTTGGTACGCTATGCTTTCGTGTTTTTTTGCCCCGCACCTTTTCTTGAGCAGAAGCAAGAGAAAGTTTGCAAAAAATTACTGCACTATAATTTTGAACGAAGAAAACGACTGTATTTTATTGTTGGCAGTATCATGCTGTCAGCATGGTACGTAGCAGGTACGTACTTTCTAATATGTAAAATGCTGAAATGATATGAAAAACATTGCAGTACGGTAAAGTTTTAACGATGCAGTTATTCGCTCTTCAAGGGGCTAACCGAGCGCTCTTCGTTCGTACATGATCATTATGCACAGCAAAGGTTTTTCATCAAGTTAATGCGAAAGTAAAAACCAAAATCAATGATGCAGAATGCAAAACAATTTATTAAAAGGCAACACGAACAAGTTGATCTTGTGCATATAACAAAACAAGTTAGAAAGCTGACTTTACATATGGATTCAGACCTGGAACGCATGAATGAGCACAGAATCTGCATTATTACGTACTTACTTTTATCAGCCCTGGCAAATCTACCAGGGTTAGGTCGGTGACAATTTCTGAAAAGATGGTCAAGCGGATCGGGTCACTGTCGATGGTGACCTGCGAAATCTCACATCAATGCGGTAAACAAACATAAAGTTATTTTACTTTCTGACCGCAAATTTAGCAAATGCGGACTAAAACGATAAGGACTTAAGAACGATTGGAAAATTTTTTTTCAAAGTTTTTGCGATATTTACGTTTTAGTCACAACATTTTATTTTATTGGTTGACAAAAAATAAGATAAAAAAACCATATAGGTTTCTGCGGCTACAGGTTTAGGTTAGGTGTTTTTTCTACACCAAGCACTTCGCTAGCTATAAACGATAAAGGCCGACTATTCCCGCGATGATAAAACGTGTGCGATAAAGCTGATGCACGTGTGCAGTTATTTCAAAGTACGTAATTTAACGTTATATTAAGTTGACAGTTTAAATACTTTTTTTGATTCAGTTGAGCGGTCCGTTTCGTTCTTGATTTCATCCCGTATCTCGTCAAAGTTTGAGTAAATTTTGTCTCCGGTATGACTAAACCGTCCGAATTGTTTGTCCGTTGTTTGGAAGCCTGTCAAATATGCATCAAATAGTTTGGTATATGATTATCAGATTATGAGTACTTGTACTGGTATGATAGTCGTAAAAACCAAATTTCGTTGTGACTAGTGCGAGAATTGTAAGAACAGTTGATCTCAAGTCTAAGTTCTAAGTCTAAGGCCGGATTCACGCTGACTTCTATCTATCAGTTTTTCTGTTGAGACACCGCCCAAAACGGCCGGTTTCTTAGCAGTATGCGTGAACGCGGCACGCTTTTCTAAATAGATACCTAAATAGGGAGCAGAATTGCGTTCACACAGTCACCTTTGAATAGGTGCAATAAAAGTTATTGTTTAGGGGCTTCCGATAGTCAGCTAGGTCTGCGTGAACACATGTCGCCTATCTAAGTATCTAAATGAAACGCGAAATTAAAACGGCAAAATCGCAGAACGGTAATTATTTTTTTCACTTCTAATGTTTACGAAGATCAAAGATTTAGTACAGTAGTTATAAAAAATGCGAAGCATTAACTGCCACTAGTATCACAGAGCCGCTACGTAAATGAATACGGTACACGGGCCGGCTTTTAAATATTTAGACATACAGATACTTTAGACAGCATACAGACAAAATTTACTACGTTTTCTTGAATTTGGTACTGAAAATTTCTATGAACTGAAAACGCTAAGTACTGGAAGTTTGAAATGTTTTTAGAAACCTTCGGGAGACCAAAACTTTTTCAAATTGCAGGTAGGAATCTTTGAAAACGCTGGATTTTATAAAACTATCAAAGTATCGAAAACTAAATCTCGAATTAGGAGATTATTTCCAAAAAATAAGGGCGTAGGGATGTACGAATCTATATAACTGACACGAGTTTATCCAGTTGGGCTTATTGCTAAATATCTCGGCTTGCCATGCGCCTGATATCGGCTTGCCATTATGCAGCGCTCAGCCGCCCAGGGAGGCTATTTGCTACCGTTACAGCGGGCGGGTGCCTATATCGCTGCCTACTGCTACCGTGGGCGGTTGCCAGTTGCCGATACAGCGGGCGGGTGCCTACGTGCCGTGCAGAGGTAGTAAGCGCTTTATAATAATAATTATTATTTTCGTGCAATATTAAGTGATTGAATTCCATTACAGTAAATTTGCAGTGACACTGGCAGAAGAATATGAACTGCACACCACAGTCAATTTACAAAGCAGTGTAAAATGGGCAATGCTTCAATAAATTAACTAATATTACATCACAAAACTTTTATTTTATTTCAACTGTCATCACCAACCGGCAACAGCTATTTGTCATAAGCGATAAATTTATTACCTGCAAAGTGCAACCACAAATAATAATACTTACCAGTAAGTACGGCACCCAGCGATATTTCCTTCATTAAAACTCTTTCCCAGTTAAATGTTTACAGCGTATACATTGTGTCTGCCAGCTTGATTATTGGATTAATCCGCTAAAAGAATTCGTTTTTAAAAAAATAATTATAAACAAAGATCGCGCGCATTCAAACTGTGTCCGTGCGCTTGTTGCAGTTTTGCCTTTACAAGTCTAAAGCAAATGCATGCCTTCGTTTAAAATGTGATCTTTACGCAAATAGGTTGTATGTGCTTTACATGATAAAGTACGGTAATACTTTGCAATGGTAATTAACGGAGCAAGTTGTCATATCCTGAATCAAAACATCTTTTTAGGTCATCACATAATCATTCTGAAAGCATTTTAACCAGAAATGCGTATATGTCCATACACATAGGAACCTCAAGTGGTTCCTATATGTCTTAACCATTGTGCCTACGGAGCAAACGAAAAGGTACCTTTCGATAGGAAAGCACTGTTCAGGCCGCGCATTGCTATCTATCAATTAAGAGCTAGGTAATTAACGTTAGCATAGGTATGCTGCGTGAACGCAATTTTGGGACCTAATGCAATTAGGTGGTTATCCCCGGCTGAACTCACATCCCACTAAGCAATTAAGATAGATAGGTGTACGCGTGAACGGGCCCTAAGTCTAAGTCTAAGTTTAATGGTTTAACGTCCGCACACATTCAGGGAAGGATCCCGATTCGAGGCAGCAGACACTGCCTGCAGTGATTTGCCTTCGCATCCTAAATGTGTGGGCCATACCACATGTTTAAAGCCATACTTCGATTCCGCTCGCAAATTGGTCACTTGCATTTTACGGTTAAAAGCAAACTGATCACTCAACACACACTGTCGGATAAAAAAATTAATATGGTTGGCGCTCGGTGAACCGCACAGAAAAAGTGCGGATCGGCCAACTGGTCGCCAGCCGCCGCATGTGGCGCGCTGCATACCTGCTGTTAAAAAATTGTGTATTGGGTGATAGTCTCACAAGGGACGACATTGCTTCCACACGTTTAAATCGTCGCGAATCTTCAGATCAGTTACAGTGCTACAGTGTATATTATAACGTTACAAGTTTACATTCCATTTAGCCTTTTGCTAGGGATACAGACTACAGTACGCTCTCGCTATCATGCAAAGCAGGCCTCGTGTGGGTGTGCAGTACCGGAAGTTGGATGACTTCAGCACAAGTAACATTCTCACCAAGTTTTTGTAGAGCTTCACGAATACTGGTTTTAAGCGCTTGCGTACGAAATACATATGTTTGGCCGGAAATAAAACTTTGCAGATGCAAATGCTCCATAGTACTTACTCTGTAGTAAGAGAAAGATATCTAAAAGCATGCTTTTGACGGTTATAAGCACCAGAAAAAGCTGGAAATTTTTACTACGGGTAGGCAATATTTTTCTGAATGTGGCATAGTGCTCGGGATAAAAATCAGTACTTAGTTTTGCTTGTATTTTACCAATCAAGCAAATATTTTTACTACAGTGAATACTTGTGATAATACTATAATTATATAATATTCAGATAAATCCATTCCTAATTATATCGATCTCTTTAATTCACACCATCACTTTACCACCACCACGTGTTAAAAAGCAGATTAGGAGAACCAAAGCTCATTAAACATTTCCGCTTTTTCCACGGTGCCCATGACAGAAACCGCATTACCACGCTGTAATTACCACGCTTCCTAATTTCAGACCGGAACAGATATACAGTATGTACCGTATCTTTTTCGGGTTTTGTCGTCCAGATGGATTAATTGAAGTACCAAAGGACGCCTCGTCACCATGCCTCCTCCTCGAGGCAGAAAATCTTGTCCTACAATGCTTTCAAGGACGGAGCTTTTTCCGGCGCTCTAGAACCGGAAAAACAAAGGATGTTGGGAACAGCAACACGGTACTCGCCCATAAGTCATGGTAATTTTAAGTACAGTAACGCAACTGAAGCAGATGATAACGCATGGGGATAAGCGAAACAAGTCCATACGAAGTTATGGTACGAGTCTGTATGCACCACACATTTGCCCAACCGCTATCAAATGCTTCCTCTGCTCTGAACGTAATAAAAATGGTTTTGCAAAGCAGAAATGTTTGTCCTCAATTAACGTCTTCGAGGCAAGGAGGTAGCGGTTGCGGGATCCCTACATTCATTCAGTTCTTAGTGGAAGCCGTTTAACGGTGTTCAAGGAAACACTTATTAAGCAACCAAAAACAGAACTTATTCTGTACAGCGCTGAGCGCACGTTGATAGGATTTGGCACAGTTTATTACGTCTAACAGTAAGCTGAGATACCGGTCACTTGCTCTTTAATATGAACTTTGATGTACTACGCAGTTTAACGCAATAAAAATTCGTCTCTGACAGTATTTGTTTATCCAACACTGCAATGCCTCAGTGCAGATTGGCCGTGTCTATTCATTTTGTCCACCGTTCATTTTGTCCACCAATCATTTTGTCCACCATTCATTTTGTCCGCCGTACACTTCGTTCACGATAAAATTTGAAAAGTATGGTGTTTTTATTTTTTATAAGACAAAGCTAGTATGTATGAATTTAATAACCTCGCATAGTAAACCGATAAGTATCACGTACTATAAGAACGTGTACACACATTCATATGATTCTATGATTTCAGTTTATATGGCAGATATTACATTCTTTTATTGCAAAATTCTGCGCCGTTGCTGCAACAATATCGAGTGCGGTAATGTACCCAATACTGACGCTGTGTCTAGTTCAGACTACTTCTGCGCAGTTGTATATTCGAAATTCAGCGGGTTAATAAGCAAACGGTAAGCAAGCGACACGGATGAGTTCGATTTACAGTACACATGCACATCTACGAGTAGCTGCTCACATCTTACGCCCAGACCGTTTCTGTTGTGTGTGTTATTGTAATTAATATTAAATTAATTTTGGTAAGTGGTAATATTGTATTTATTTATTAATAAATATAAAAAGCATAGACCAAATGAATGGTGGACAAAATGATTGGTGGACAAAATGAACGGTGGACAAAATGAATGGTGGACAAAATGAACGGTGGACAAAATGAACGGTGGACAAAATGAATGGTGGACAAAATAATAGGACGCCAGATTGGCATGCTTGTTACAGAAGTACTTTTGGACACAAATGTTCTGAATAGGTGGATAATAAAAATGGTAAATTGGGATGGGGGACGCATTGTGTGCTAATTATTGTATTTGTTCCGATAAAACGATGTAAAAAATATTAAGATGTCTGGCTAAAAAAATTTAGCGCTGACCTTAAAATGATTTCGTACAAATAAACAAGTGAAAACAAAAATTAGCAGGCAAAGTTTGGAAAACAGAAGAATTTTTTCTAATTCCTGAAAATGCAGAAATCCTACGTGAAAAAAGATCAACTTTTATTTTGCGCTTTCTCGGCTTCTCATGTTTACGTTTCCGTGTATATGCCTTGACTGTGTTCCATGCAGATGTTATGACCATTTCAGAAGAAAAAGATTTATACATGTAACCGTGAGCCTAGAAATCGAATCATTTGGCAATGCAACATCGTACCTGAGCGCCAACCACAACAATCTGGGGAAGGTCTATTGCTTTCATTTCGTCGATGCCAATTCCGCTGAACGCATCCTGAATGCGATTTACTACTCGAATAAGGGCCTCCATTGCAGCGCACGCTCGAAAACAATTACTGGCTGACAAAGTGCCGGAAAAAATCAAAAAACTGTATTTAGCTTTGCGATTTCGGATGGCCTTTAGTCGTTCACTACTGTATGGGTAAAAATTGAATTAGCATGTCCACGACAATGGGTTTTAACTTTAAGTTGCTATCATGACTGTGAGGAACGTGTCTTAACCTAAGCCACCACACTTCCCACTTTTGTTACTGTAAGTGTATTTAACCACCTAATCTAACGGCAGTAACTTACAGTAATAATAATGATCTAGCGGTAAAGGTAGTATGTTACAGCGTTCAGTGTTGGCGCCATAGCAACCAAATGGCAACATAATAAGAATAATGTCAAACTGGTACTCGGCATTACGAAAGTATGTAATCCAGTTCAGTCGAACCAACGATTAGTCAATTTCTCATGCGGTAAAGTGCACGAAATATGCGCATGAAGATTTTTTACATAGTACAACCACGCGGAGCTATTTTGTGCGACCGTAAGGCATAAGACATTTGTCCAGACTTTGGGGCACCTTTACTGCGCCCGTTCGAAAAGCATTAGTCTAGTACAGTAAAGTATCTACCGTAACAACAAAGTGACGGTCACGGAATCAAGGGTATTTTAAGAAACGATAATTGTATGCACAAGGATGAAAACCATGAAATCACTAGCAAAAGGTGGAAGCAATTAGCGCATCTACCAAGTACAGAGTAGAGCCTTACATATCCCAGTATCCGCAAGAAACTGTTCCAATTAAATCCAACATCCCAGGCATTTTGAGATGACACGAAGAGAGCAGTGACGTTCGGCTGCCATCCAGCCATTTCCGCCTGACGACAACCCTGCAGCACATTTGTTTTTAAACAGGACAACAGTGGTGTAGCCTTTCCTTGTAGTATGTAGATTAAAGATCGTGGTTTGCCTCTTGAACACACAACCGCGCAAAACTTAAGACGAAACTAGAAACTGCCGAAGCCGTAAGATGTTAAATACATCTTCTGGTGTTTTTAACTTTTCCTCTATTTGGTTGTCCAGTTTCGACGTTCCCTATCCAGTACTGCCCAGCCAATCAAGCTACACGTGGAGCAACTACGCTATCAGCGAAATTCTCATCTCCATATCTGGAATTATATTCAATGCCTTCATTATACTGACGTTTGCCTACCATCGCTACCTCTTGAAGAATGTCTTCATGATCTACCTGCTGAATATCTCGGTTGCGCATGTGACCTTTGCTGTTCTTAATGGCTCCGTAGATTTGGCGGTAAACGGCTACTCAGAATGGAGATTCAGTCGAGCCGTCTGCACATTTGACCTATACACGCATTATGTCCTGGAATCGCTGATTGTTTACGGTCATTTGTTGATCACGTTAAGCCGCTTTTGGGAAAGCTTCTTTCCTGATTCATACAATAGATACCATGCACGCAAGACTGTGGTGTGTTTGTGCATTATCCAATGGATTTTCGTACACCTGGTTTATACACCGGGGATCATACTGAATTCATATAAAACGGTGGGCATCAACAGCGCTTGCCGCATAAATCTGGAGATTGCGAGCGTAAATGTATGGATGGAAATGATGGTGGTTCTGTTTATTCTGGTGGAAATTGTTATTATTGCTTTTTGTCCGTTTATTCTGCTGCGGGAACGAACGCTCCAAGCAAAGGTCAGTGTTGAAGCGGATGATGTTAACACCGTCGAAGAGAATATTTCGGAAGCAAAATCACCAAATCGAAATGGCTTTCCTCTTGTATTGGAAGACATCGGTAAGCATGAAGAACTATTTTTGTAAGCTACATTCTGTATATCAGTACGTCTAGTAAAACCGCATCCACTCGCACTCTTTCCACACAATTTATGACCACAAATCATCTGATTACCATGAGTGCAAATGCTGCAGTCTTCCCGTTTTTATATCACTTAATAATTTTAATCTTTACAATATTATTCTATAGTCTTCTCCTAATTGAATTAATACTATGTTTCAGAGCATCCAAATATTATTTCCATTCAACTGGAAGCCGACGCGGAACGTCTAGCTAGCGAGCGCCGCAGTATGCGTCGCTGTTTTCTCCTTTTTACCGGCACGACGCTACTGTTCTGGACTCCGCTCGTCACGTGCTTAAGTATCTCCACTTACGACGTCCTTCGGCGATCGGAAGCGGCACTCGACACCGTGTCTATGCTGTATTCTTTACAAATTATCGTTGACCCGACGGTGTTTGTTATCTCATTCCCGAACGTTAGGAGCGCAATGTGGTTATCGGTCCGATGTTTTGTATCTCTTTAAAATAATTAAATAAGTAATATTTCTTATACATCTACCGCCAAATAAGTGTGCTTCAATAAAAATAAAAACTGAATGGAGTTCAGCGTAAGCGCTTTTATAACATGAGTGATTACTTGTCTCCGTTGGATGCAGAGTTGTTGCTTCAAGAAGTCATATTTTTTTAAAATTGATTACAATAAAATGTCATAAACTTTATTGCGAACAGCTCCTTAAAGTCTCTGCATACTGTGCAGTTGAAAACGGCGGAAATAGTCATCTTTCAACAAACAAGTTGCGTCAACAACGAACAAGTCCATCACATAACTTTTACATTATTTTTTTCCTGTGTAACCGGTATTGTATCCCGTCCCGTATCCACTTCCCGTTCCAGTTCCATATTGTCCATACATGCCGGTATTACCGTACTGTCCAGTTCCATATTGATTATACCCCGTTCCATATTGCCCACTACCAGTACCGTACTGATTGTAGCCGGTACCGTATCCCGAACCGTATTGTCCGGTTCCGTATTGGTTGTTATATCCCGTACCATAGCCACTGCCGTATTGTCCCGTACCGTATTGATTATTGTAGCCGGTGCCAGTGCCGTACTGTCCGGTACCGTATTGGTTATAACCGGTGCCATATTGGCCGGTTCCGTACTGATTATAGCCGGTTCCGTACTGGCCAGTGTTTCCATATTGGTTGTACCCCGTTCCGTATTGTCCCGTACCGTAACCGTACTGATTATTCATCGGATACCTGGTAACGTCAATAGTAAAGGTAGGTCAGCCCATAAATCGGCTGATCGGGGAAAACCGTAAAGTAAAACAACACGACTAATGTATTTTTTCATCGGAAAGTTACTACCAGATTTTACCCGGTTATATAATATATGTATCAGTATGCAATCACGGGAGCAAGCTGATGACTTTGCATGCATGAATAATGCATCCATAGTCCGTTATACAATGTGCTATGTTATGCATCTTACGGTTTTACCGTAGCATAAGGTAAGATGCTTATTTTACGAGCATGTTTGCAGTACATAAGTATTGTTTTATTAGTGTTTTAAGTACTGCATACGGCGAATGCTCATGTAAACACGCTATATAATTTATTACCCGGATTGGCCGTATCCAAATCTGCAACGAAACATAATTTACTAGTTTAAAATTTCATTACGCACCAGTCGGAAATATTTTGATCCAACAAATAAGCAAATACTGGAAAATTCCAGGCTTACGTACGTTCTAGTTCGCAGTAAAACCGTACTTACTTATTCAAAATCAGCGCAGATGTACTGCATATCCTATATTCCGTTAAAAATTGTTTACGTTATCGAAACTTAAATTACATTTTAAATGAGGAGTTTCCAACTATTGTTTTTACTGCAACAAGCAGAAAAGTTAAAGAATGCTATACATGTACCCTTTTCCTATGATATAGTAGCATTAGCAAAAAGAATACATTTAGTTTAGAGTCCAAGACATAGACTCTGAAATTTGTGATTATGAACGAAAGCTACGATAGAAACAAGTTTATAATTGAGCAATGTACTTTTATTCGTACCCGGTTCCGTATTGTGAATTGTATCCTGATCCATACTGTGAATTATAACCACTTTGTGGATATCTACAAAGTACAAAGTGTAGATTCAAAATTACACGAATAAACAATTTTGCCAATACGTATACTGTACGTATAAAGAGGCAACAAAACGAGTGAGTATTTAGAGTAAGTACTGAGTCTATGATGATTTAAAACTGGCACTTTCAACAGGATTTAGGTAAATTGATTTAATTCATATAAATTAATGTAAGAATTACTCACATAAACTGAACTCATAATGTAATTTCTTACACAAAACTAATAGAACTGAGCAGTTCTGATACATTGTCGAATAGTACTTACTGAGACGTTAAGGTATAAGATGATTGGGCATTAACATATGATAACGCTAAAATCCCGCAAGCGATTAAAACTGAATGTGCACCGGTCATTTTCGATACAGTACGTTGCGGAGATTCCAGGTGAAAACTGTACGTCACATAAACTATCAAAATCGTAGAATCACCGATATCCCTATAAGTACCGGGTCGACGTGTTTATAAGGAACAGCTGATAAATGTTTAGCAGTTTGCTTAGGCAGAAGAAATGTGTACCAATCAGCTGAAAAGCTGGTGATTGTGTACCCGGCAACCGCACCGTGTAGACGCATTTGGCCACTGTACAGTGTGTGTGCTCAATGGTTGGAATTCTTCACTAAGGCGTTTGCTGACAAACATCATCGGTAAACAGACTGTAATAACCTTGGCAGCGCTAGTGGCACTAACGCTAATATATCCATCATTATCCATCATCAGGGAAGAGATTACGTGGTCAATTATGGACACACCCCGTATGCGCCGTGTTACGTTGCTGTATAACCAGTATATATGCATTCCTTATCGGAAAAATTCGTTTCCGCGTTGGGGGCGTTGAAAAGAGTGCAATCATATGAGCCATAAATTCTATATATAGCTCAGCGGAAAAAAATTATGCTCATTCACAAATTATGAATAGGACTATCGTGTTATAAAGTGCATGTAATTTTATGCCGCATTTCGCTCTACAAACCTATTTTATTTGAGTAGAGTGCGGAATGTTAAAGGTTAATAGTGTGGCAGCAATGTTTTAATTTCGCTCTGGAACTTTTACGGTGTGTATAGCAAAGCGTTTGCTGCAGTTTTAACTGGAAAGTTCTAGACTGATGCGCCAGGCTGCAATATAAACGTGTGCAACAGCTTGAAAAATTCTCATCTTTCTTAGTAAAGAAATCCAGGCAATAAGTTTGAGTGGAGACATCTAATAAATAGTGACACATGTCGGACTGCAGCATATTATGTCGATGGGCTATCATTTAATTAGGCCATCGATGACAAACAGCTTCATCTCATCAACCAAATTACTCGGTTTAATAGCCAATCTTTAAGAAACTTCCTGGGAAAAAAATTTCGGAATTCAGTGCAAAGACTTAAAAATCATCTACATGTTTGGGTAGTTTTTGCGGTTTTTGGTCCGGTGTTTTTTAGAAATAAATAAAACGGCACAGTAAAAGATATTTATTTTACTACAACGATGCTTTAATTTTACTTATAAACAAAGTATAAAAAACGTCGATGAATACCAGATTATTTTGTAACGTGTTATACTGTTTAAAAAGGAAATCAGACTTTCAAGGAGACCCAAGCCATCGATCGATACAGACCAACAGCTGGTGGTATTCCCATCACATTAAAGGATTCAACCCGCCCTCTCGATCGACCAGGCATGGAAAGCGCGCGCGACACAAAAAAACTAAGCAATACATCCCGGATCGATTCCGGAACGATTCAGCATCAAATCTGCATACATATTGTTAACAACATATACAACATGCCGGGGAACACAACCGGCACGCACGGCTCCATCGATCTCTGCCCCGGTAATAATACAGCTACATACTGTATATACATTATACAGCAGATTCTAAGCCGGCCGGAACCAGCGATGATCGGCCCGTGTTTAGGAGCGTGACTTGTAGCATTGTGCTCCGGTGGAAGTCAGGATAACATGCGCCCGGCTTTTCTCCTTCTCTACACCGTGCTCTGACATGCCCACACATGTTGGCATGCGGCCCCCAGCCCAGCCGTCGTGCCGCCCGCCCATTTCCGCCTGTTCCGTTCCAGTCTGTTACGCGTGCTGCGCCGACGCACATATACTGTCCGGGTTCATTTAACACGGTTTATGCGGGATTGGTTACACGGCTTTTGAAGAGCGTTGTTGTATAATACAGTCGGATACGTATAGTGTGAACCAATGTCTGCTGTATGTCGCTGAGAATAAAGATATGGATATGTCGCTGATAATAAAGATATGTCGCTGATAATAAAGATCAACATCAATTATTATTATAAAAAAACAGCCATACTTGGCGATTGCCTTAATCGCCTAGCTTTCTCGAAAACGCATTGATTTACCTACTCAGCAATTTATTAATCGGGAAGTAGACAGAACATCATCTTTGCAAAGTACCGTATAACTAGGTTTTATCTAGCCAAGTGTATAGTGTAGGATTTTTTATCTGTTCGCGTTTTCTCAGATTTTGTTTCGATTTTCTTCGAACACGTATCTCAGCAAATTATCTGTACTGAAAAAAACAACACAATTTTCTGTAATTGCTGTTGCGTGTACAGTGTGCGAAAGCGAAGCGCATGAGATTTCCGCGCGGGTTGTTTTTCCCATGAGTGCAACCCGTGAGAAACTAAAACCCCTGATTATTTTCCACATAAATTTAGCGGATATTATAAACATCTCCAAATTCGACGTGCCTAATGATTGCATTTAAAAATTGATGCCGGTGTTTCTGTACTAAATCCGGTAAAAATAACCCACTGGACTCAAATTACCTCCGCGCGCGGTCAGGCACCCTTCGGTCGCCGCTGCGGAGCCGCAAACTGCATTCCATGGGCTGGGGAACGTCTGAAATTCGTCTAGTATTTCATCATCGTAAATCTTCTCTGATTTCCCGCATGAAGAGCGCGCCATTTCCCCCGCACCGCTATCATTCCTCCCCTGGCCCAAATAATACAAAATTGACTCCAATATGCGGCCTGCGCGCGATGTGGTTACGTTATATAGTCCGGCAATTCGCCATGCCGAGAGTGAATGATCTCTTAAGCATTCTGGCAACTATAATATTCCCGGCCTTTCTGAGATGATTGATGTCTATTTGCTGTCACCGTTTAGCCGACATATATACCATGTTTTCTCCCGCTCTCTTTCCGCCACTAGCCAGAAACTAGCCAAGAAACATCACTGATGATTTATAATTAGACTGTAAAAACATTCAGCACGTCGCGATCGTCGTCGTCATCGTTTTGCGCATATGTTCAGATGATCTGCATCTTTGCCGGCCCGCATTGTGCTTGCGTGTTGTAGATGGTTAATACGTACTGCTTGGGGAAAAACATATCCACATGAACGGCCAATCTACGCGCCGGGATACTCTGTGTTGTACGATACTTGGGCCGTTTTCTCAACGGGGCAACTGGTGTGTGCGGGTGTGTGTGTGTGTGCCTGTCTGTTTTGGTGTTGGATATGTAGTCCAAATGGGAACGATGTGCAGTTCCCAGTGGATCGGTTTTGTACTGGTACTGGGCACTTATCTTCGCCTCTTCGATATAAACTCTGCGCGAGAATTGATGCAGTACTGCAACTGGAAACATCATCGGTTGAACTAGAATTAACTTCTTTAAATCAAAACTTGACCCATACTTTACAGGATTTTTAGGAAAGAAATTTTTTCCCGATCGTAAACGGTGCTGGTATATGCTGGGACAGCTAAACAGATCTTTATCTTATTTATTTTCGCTATCAACGAATCCCAATATGTAAAGTACAAGAAACGGCAATTGATGGATCGCTGTTATTAATCAATCTATATAACTTTATTCACAGTTTTGACGCTGATGGCGACTATGATGGCAGGCACATACGGAGAAAAATTATGTAAAGTTGTGTACTGGTTAATAATTTGACATAACCAACACTTTTACTATTAACTGCACTGTTAAAATTCGACACGGACGAACACGAGCTCTGCAACGAGAGAAACTAACCAGCAGTAGCTAACAGACATGGCACGCATAATCGTAGTGCAGTGTCTCCTGACACATTAACCCCATTCATAAAATTAATGATGTTACATTTATTGGACGAAGGTTTAGAATTACTCAAAATCGCGATTGCGCTTAGTCCACAAAATTAATTTTTTTTTATTTTCGCGTAAAAACTGCATGATCGGCCTATCGGATGATTAACATTAACCGGCTTTACTGTGCAAGGGTCGGCTGCGCAGAATCGTCGCATCCCTGTTGAGCCGGTACCATCATTTCCCACACCACTCTACATCCTTCTGGCGTCTACATAGTGTAATACACGCCAACGGCAGTCCCTCGTAAGACCGGTTTCTTCTTACACACACATCCACACAGTAACAAAACCCCCGCACACGACCGATATCCAGTGCACACAGCGGCAACATAAATTCTCTTGATTCCCAAACCGGCTGGGTATGTACAGGCCATTTCACTGCATTTGTACACACATATTATATTTATCGGGGAAATTACTCCACACACCATCGACCAACATATATTTATGGACGCTGTATCCCGTGTAAATCGCCCAGAGGATTAGTTATTATGGATTATGTCTAAATGGATACATGCCATTTACCGGCTACATTATGGGATTACGCACAAGGTAACAGGTATTTCTTATGTTTGTCTAGCCTTTCTTATACCGCACTGTAAAGACGCGATCAGCACGCAGGCATTTTAACCGGGTGCAGATTGATTATCCCCGTTTTCCGGAGTTATGTTTGCTGCGTGTGTGTATATACGGCTGTTTGTACATGTAGATCGGGGGAAGAGCATTATGTGGGTTTGTTGGTGGGACGCGGGGAAAAGGAGGTTAAAGTCGCTTTTATGTTTAATCAGACTCCGTGTTATGCATATATGTATCTCTGCCTGCTGGCTGCTCTTTCTCCACTCTGTCTCCCTGCTCTCTGACTCCTTTTTATCCCCTCTCTATCGGACACACACACACAAACGCTCTATATTGATTTTGCTGCCTCTTGGACGCGGGAACGCGCGTAGGGGCCCTAATTCACTTTGTTTCTGCCGTTGGCTACACTCTCTCTCCGCTCTCTTCATCCGCTTGGTGCCTGCAGATATCCGTTGTATACAGTATATGTACATGGGGGCCAAAACGTTTTAAACTGCTGCCTCGATTAAGGGAAACGGGAATCGCTTTTAAGGCCTTTAGTTGGCAAATTGTCCAATGAGGATGGCTACAAGGTTTTCCCGGGCAACCGCTGCAGCATCTGTCCGCTGGCGAGTTTCTCCCATAATTCAGGCATGCGTTATACGCCATCCAGGGTGGAAAACGTGATGTTTTTTGGTCGGATTCCATTAAGGGTGCACTTTAGGAAGGGAAAAAACTTGCGATTCAAGTGCTATTGCACAAAGAAGAGGAAGACTTTTCCGCGCCCGATTATTCCTTTTACTCCTTTCTTGAAAATTTTTTTAATTAACTTGCTTAATCAGGTTTTTGCATTCGTAAAAAGTGCCGGTTTGCACGACAAAATTAGGATGGGATAGCGGTAGTTTGGAAGATAAGGGTAATCGGATGCGTCTTTCGTTTATAAACAACATCGTCAGTGTAATGGTGATTTACACTAACCATTAACCGAACGTTAATGTTTGAGAACATCTTCCAACGGGTAGAATTTTATGAGCAGCGCGTTTATTTTTCTTCCTTACACACAGCGCCACTCCATGGCGCGGTGATGTGGTAAAACGACGAACGACGCAGTAGATGTGTTTATGGATGCGATCCATTTAGCACAGTGTTTACTCGTGCCAGATGTTGAGTGAGGCGAACCGGGTGCGAACAGGCCCGTCCACTAACATAGCAGCAATAATATTATATCCCCTCTCTTCCCTACAACAACAGCCCAAAGAAAAACGTTTTGATTAAATGCTGACTCAAGCCGATCCCAGCCGGCTGAGGTAGTATTTTCATTAAGCCGCGCCAAACATGAATCACATAATCAATATCTTTTATCGGCATAATCCGGCTATGAAATATTAATAAGTGCGCCGTCTGCTTAGGACCAATCGCGCGCCCCATCGATCGGGGGCGCAAATCTATACTACGGTGTATAGACTTGCATAAAGTTGCACGACATCCTGAGTATCATTAACGCGATGTAAATACACGCCGTGTTGACCGACCAGGTCACCAGGTGCTAGGCTGTTTTTTTCCGGGATAAACGCCTATTAATATACCATATATGACGTGACCTCGATCTCTCGCTTTCTGACGTCAGGCTCGTTTCGTGGTTTCTTGAAGATGATGCGGTGATGATGCGTTGAAGCAAATAGACATTGTCGGCCGGTATCATTATGAGGATGTAAACGATTAACGCCCCGATGACGTCGGAACCCGAATGAGTGCGATCGTGTTTATGGTCTTGCAACCGGGGCTTTTATGAACCACTTCCGCCTGCCGGGCATCCATCGGTGTATACAGTTCGTATGGGATGAAGATGGGTTTATATTGACATGCCGACTCATTCTTTCCTTGCTGCAATAGCTGAAACAAAAACACTCAACCAGCTTTCCAGCCCACTCTACAAATAAAATAGTAGCAGGCGCCGGATGCAGTTTAAAAAAGTTTTCGTTGCTGCCCCGATAACAATGACTTCGCACAAAAATTTTGACGATATCAGCACATAATTCATCAATCCATAAAAAGAATTGATCTGGCTTTCTCTTAACAAATTTCTGTAGTACTAATGGTAAGAAATCTGAAAAAAAACCGGCAAGTTTTTTAGTTAAGAAAATTTGCTTATGTCTTTTAAGTTTTTTAAATTATTTTGCTCAGAAGCCGATGAATTCGGCATGTTTAAGAGAATTAATAAATCTAGTGCAGATATTTGCTGTTTTGATATTTCGCTATATAAAAATCGATCCTGGGCTTTTGTTGGGAGGCGTCCATGTCAACACCGTAGCTCTGTGCACGCGTATTCTACACAAAGATTTCTGCCTTGGAGAAAAGGAGATTTCCAGTCCATTAACAGTGTCTTTTGTCATTCACACGACCGTGCAAATTGTCCCACTGTGTGCACCAGACACGATTGTCCCGCGAGCCTGACAGTGCGCTCACGGTTTAAATAGCGAACGGCGTGCGCCCGGATTTTAATTTATCGGGAGGATGCTGGAAACGGCGTGAGCGTGAGCAGAATACCGGACCAACCCGCCAAAAGTCACGACAGAATTTTTTCTTACCAAGAAATACGGTGACAAAGCGCCATTGAACAGAAAAACGACAAAGAGCAAAAGTTTTCTTCCCGTTTCTTAAAGAAAGTAGGTTGCGCTATAATACCAGTGCACATTGAGGCCAAACGTCTTCAGCGGTATTTGTGCTTCTGCCTGAATATGTATTGTCGCTGCCAATTTTTTTCTCCCGGCCCGGCGACGCGACCAATGGTAATATGGGCTTGTCATTCAGAATAAGCTGGCAACTTTGTCAAGTGGCTCGCTCTGTCTGTCTGCTATGCGTTGTGTAACTTGTGTTGTGTGTGTCGGTTCTCCCTCGGTCTCTCGTATACGCCGTTGTGACTGCTGATGCGCAGTGGCCATATATTGACACGTGTCAGCGCAACAAACAGCTTTTCCTGGAGTATGACAAAATGCTCCCATGAGGGAATAATACTCCAATCTTCCATCGTGGCCTTGTTAAGCATGGACATACAGTTAAAAATCAAGTATCGTGTCATTCCCCTTCTGAACATGCGCGAGACGCGCATTGTACGGGGAAAACGCGGTTGATTGGTCAACCGTTGTCCGCATGACAAAAGCCATACAATGCATCCTAATTTAAAGCAGCTAGTTTTCAACCATGGAAAAAACTGACTGAACGCACACAGTCTTCCGGGTTGGTTGGCATGGCGTCTTTCGGAGATTGTCATCTCCCGTAACGCCGAAGGTGCAATTAGCGCTTATTTCCGTCGTGTACGTCTCGTGGCGGTTTAACGCAAGGGACCGTTTCCCCTTTCGAAAATGGAGGTCAGCCAGGTCATCGTTTACACATTATCCTTCTTTCTCGTTTCTTTTACATTTCCCTTGGTAACCACCAATACCCGAAAACGGCAACGGCCCCGTTTCCATTTTGGGCACATCGGCGTATAGATACGCAGAAAAACGGATTGGACGTTAAACTTGATTAAGACATAGCTGCTGTTTGATCTCATCAAGGCATGACTGGGAGACTAAATATGCAGTTGAGCGGAAACGCAGCAACGCGGATAGCGGATCGTGGTAGCATGTATACAGTATGCGCGGAGGGAGCAATATTCCTGCCACCGTCTCAATGATATTTTCTCATTAAGTTGCCAATGTTTGCCTAACGGACGGGATTGGGCATTGATTGTCTGTTGGCCGGTTGTGTGCGGCGTCGTCGCTGCTGTGTGTATGTCAGTCAGATGTACAGTGTGTGTGTATTTGTGTGGACAAAGTAGCCGAAAAGGAGCTTTCCCATCCGGTGCATTCTCTTCCCTGCTACTGCCTTCTTCCCGCCCGAAAACCGGCTTAACCCACATTAAAAAAATACTCTGTTTGTCCAATCTATTGTGCTCGTTGCGTGGAGTGCCCCGCGCAGAATGGCCGGCAGGGGAAAAGTGTCTCTTCGTTTTCCTTTTTGACAAGCGCTCTATTGTGCTCGTGCAGCACACAGACTATATTTGTGCCATCGTCGAGGAATCTCTTCCATATTGAACAATTTCTTACAGAAAACTTCAAAAAAATTGTAGCAATTTTGTAGCAAAAATCGTGCTTTTTGCCGAAATTTCTTAAATCTTTTTGAACGATTTAAATCTTAACCATTTTACATTGAATTAAATTACACTTCGTTAATCAAAGAAAGACCTTCATTTAAGCGAGACATCGTGACGAACTTTTTTGTTCGGATAAACCATCCGCTCGCCACTGCTCTCGAGCACACACATTTTCCCATTTAAATTCGCACATGCCTCGCAGCGATGATGCTGGAATAATATGGATCCGCTGGTGATGTGTATATGGACGCCGGGAATGGAGCAAACGCGCCCCGGTCTCTGCGTCGCTTTCCTTGTATCTCTTTTGACTTGATTCCCTGCTAACCATTTTTATAGCATGTTAATGGATTAACTTCATCCGTGTGCTTGTGTATATATACGCGTCTGCGTTGGGTGCGCTGATCGTTTGCCAGGCAGATGGCCCCGCGCATTCCCGACAATACACCAGGGCGTCCACGATGCGGGACGATTAGGCGAATTCGCTGTGTGTGTCGGTCTTTCAGTTAATTGATCATTTTGCCGCATGATAATTTCTCGGAATGATCCGATCGTGTTCTACAGGATACCGGCTGCGGGGACAGCAACGCATTAATCCACAACATTACCCGCATCTCCAATGCCGCTACGGCATCATCCGGACGCTGAGTCCTCGCCACTGCAAAGGTCACTGCTCTTGTTAATCTGTCCGGTCGTCGCCGTTGTCACCGCCGCCATCATTCTCTCCCGCCTCGCCTGCACCGCACCGACGACCATCCCCCGTCAGCCGGATGTCGTCCGGGCCGGCATTGATCGGCAGGATTGTTCTGGTTTGTGATGGAATTGCGCGCTATTGTGCAGGCACTGATTGTCGGCATAATATTACTCGGCTACTGCTATGATCAATGTAAGTTCTTTGAGTGTTGGATATGCGGAAGGGTTTTTGCGGGAAAACCCCGATTATAACATTATGGCTCTTTTACAGGCGCGGCTTCGGAGGACGAGGAACGGCTTGTTAGGGATTTATTGGCCAGATATAATCGATTAGTGCGTCCGGTCACCCATATGAACGACACAGTCCATGTGCGGTTTACCTTGATATTGTCATTGCTCATTAGTGTGGTAAGCAGTTTGCTCGTTCAGTCCAGCTACCGTAGATTAATTTAGAGCAGCTTATTTCCTTTAAAGTGAAGTAAGGAATTAAATTCTTCAAATATTCTGTAAGAGCGTTAATAAATGTTTAATTAGTGTGATTACTGTACTCTCGCAAAGCCATTAGACTCGTTTTCGTAATACCATGTCATTTGCTTCCTGAGCCTTGTGTAGAGATAAGTGAATTCCGGAAGAGCAACAACCATGCAGAATTTGGTAGAGCACGTAGATCGACGCAGTTCCAGTAATCTGCTGTAATTGTTTATGACAAAGAAATCAATAACTGCGTTGTAACTTGTAAGTCATATGGCTTTTGCGAGTCAGCGGCATTTTCGTTGGATATCTTAAAACAGTAATCACCATTTAAATTAATCATCTTATTTGGAAGTAAAAGCCAATTTTTGTACATCATCAGCAAAGAATCTATTATCCACTCTTTAACTCTTGATTTACTATTCTGAATATATGAACACTACCAGGAAGTACTTTGGACTTAAATGACGATTAACAATATCCGTTGTATTTTCAGCAAGAAAAGGAACAAGTGATGAAAACTAATGTTTGGTTAGAATTTGTAAGTGTCCCATTTATTACTGAAATATTTTAATGCTTATATATAAATACAATGTGATTATCCTGCGCAGAAATGGAAGGATCCTCAGATGGTATGGGATCCGGCAAATTACGGCGGGGTGACGACCATCCGGCTGCCGGTGGATAAGATCTGGATACCGGATGTGGTCCTAATCAACAAGTAAGTGCGCACTGCACCTTGTCGCGGCATTTCCGCTAGAAAGTCACAGTGCTAGAATCAATGTCGGCGTGGATAAATATAACTCGTATATACTGCAGCCGGCATGATTGTCCATTCGGTTGTTGCAGCGATCGATATGTAATCACTGATAGAATGCTTATGTTTGCAGTGCGGACGGAAAATGCTGTGGCTGCCTCCTTCCATTTACAAATCGACTTGTGATATTAAGGTGCATAACTTTCCTTTCGATGTAAGTATCCATTTTAATTCTTCACTGACGTAACCGTATCATCTGTAGAGTAGGTTTTAATGCTCGCCTAATCTGGATGCATCGGTATTAATTTAAGTTTCCATATCAGTGTTACGGGGTTTACGTTATCTTTAATTTATATTACTCAAATGAAGTGATTTCATAATATGCTAGCTTTGCAATTATGCAAGTATGTGTAACGATGCAGCAGAGCGTTAGCTGCTTTCTTGGAAATTATTCATGATATTTTTGGAAAACGGGAATATATGGGGATTATATCCAACCAGGATGATGTTTATTCGTACGATAATCTGCCGGTATTTACCTTAAACCCATTTTATGCATGAACGACACTCTGTATAGTAGCGCCAGCGGCGCATTAACGAATCAGCATGCGGCTGAAAGGGTGCGGACGCAAATGAGCGCGTTAAAGAGACAAATCTTTCCAGCAATAAGGCTAATCAAAACGATTCATCATGCAGGTGTACACTGTACAGACTACAAACTACAAAGTGCATAGCGGTGCCTCGTTGAGCGGGTAATACAGATAAAAACAATCAAGTGTGACATGGGAAAAGCCCTTTTTATAAGGTTTCTGAGAGTAATATCTATATTTGTTCCAGTAAAAATACATAGCATTTTAAAAGTGGTGCAATACTGTAGTTTGTCACAATATGGAATTTGTTTAAGTTTAATTAAAATGGTAACTGGAAATGGTTAGTAATCAGCAAGATAATCGAGGGGGATTGAAATTTATTGCAATACGTTAGTTAGGCAATGCACAGATACATTGTACATTAATACAACTCATTATGCAAGTGCATGTACATTAATTTAGCACCTGATTGTAGGAGCAAATCTGCGATATGAAATTCCAGTCATGGACGTATAACGCCGACGAGGTCAACTTGGACTTCCGCGAGGATACCAACCGGCTGGTGGACCGCTCCGGCTACCAGAGAGCGGCACATGGGACCTGGTGATGGCCATCGGTTTCCGCAACACCTACCGCAAAAGCGACAAAGACCCCAACATGGTGGACATCACCTACAAGATCATTATCCGCCGCAAGACCCTCTTCTACACCATCAACCTGCTAATCCCCACCGTACTGGTCAGCTTCCTCTCCGTGCTGGTCTTCTATCTGCCGACGGCGGCCGGTGAAAAGGTCGCCCTCTCCATCTCTATTTTGCTCACCCTTAACGTCTTCCTCCTGCTGGTGTCTAAACTGTTGCCGCCGGCCGAGCAGTTGCCCCTCATCGGCACCTACCTTCTCTTCACCTTCCTGATGAATCTTGTCTCCATTGTCGTCACGGTCATCACGATCAATATCAATTTCCGCAGTCCCAAGACGCACACCATGCCCACGTGGATCCGGCGGGTGTTCCTGGGGTGGTTGCCGGTTATCCTGCTCATGCGCCGCCCTAAGAAACCCAAGCGCTCCACACCGTACCGCTACGCCAAGCCGGAAGAGGGCAACCACACCGGCGGACGGATGCCGGGGGATCTGCAGCATCAGCGGACAACGTACGCCCGAAGTGCCTCACCCGGTCCGCCGTCGTCGTCGGCCGCGGACCGCGGAATGTATGATGCCATGGAGATGGTGGAGTTCCGCTCCACCAGTACGCCACGCCACTTTGCCGCCGGTGGGGACCGCGGGCGGCCCGTCGACCAGTAACAGTATGCCGGGGTTCGCCACGCGGCGCTCCTTCGCGCAGCGCACCGCGTCGGATCATTATCTGGCGCGGCATGACAGCGAGGACAACGAGGAGATTAGCCTCAACTCACCGGATGCGCGCCTCGTTACCAGCTCGATTGAGTATATTGTGGAGTATCATCTGCAGAATGATGCCATTCAAGAGGTGCGTATAGGTTAAAGTAGCAGTACAGGCAGTACTCCAGTAGTAATGCACGTACCGGCCATAATCACGCTTCCTTCATTTAAAACAACCACGTTCATATGTTTTCCTTTATTTAAACTCTGCAGATAACTATTCCATTGCATAAAAACTGCTCATAAATGGTAAAGTTATAAATTTGCTTGCTAAAGAAAAGTTAATTATCTGTAAATATATTTTGTAAGTAAATATATGTGTACCAGTTTACGGTACATACTCGTGCTCATATAACTGTAATACTATAGTTTTTGCATTTCGATAGTTATGTAATTCGTTGTTTTGCACTAATAATTAATCGTATGTAGCGCCTTTGTCGATAAAATGCGGATGCGTGCTGTGGCAAACCGTATGTTTCAAGATAACACTCATGACAGAGCTTTCATGTACTGCTGTTACCTATTAGTGATTAAACTAGTCATGTACGTATTTTGATTTTGGTGGTAACTGCAGGTGGAAGATGATTGGAAATACGTGGCCTTAGTGGTTGATCGTTTGTTACTGTGGATCTTTTTTGTGGCAACCACCGTGGGATCATTCAAGATACTCCTCAGCTCCGAGACGATATTCGAGACACTGGATCAAGCTGCCGCTCGTCATCAGCTCTGACCAATCACGACGCTGGACGTAGTCAGTGCAGCGCGAAACGTGTCAGTCTGATGATATGGGGCAAACAGCCGCTGTGCTCGATTACGGTTGACTCAATTGGCCAAAGAAACTGTATTTACAGAACCAATCGCCACACTTTTGTGCATTGCCTGCGTTTAATTAATAAATTACCTGGAACGCATTTTAAGAGTTTTCCCTTGAACATTTTAATTAACCTGGTGGTTTTTCTCTTTTTGCTCATTGTGCGCATCGATTACTGTTTGTCAAAAAATTATTCTATAATCAAAAATGGAAATTAAAGAAGCATGAAGTTATGGAGTGGACGAGATGCGCCGGTATTTCACTTCATCATAAACATTCGGACCATGGCGAGTCTGCAACGAAAACATCAAAATCGATACAGATCTGATATAAAAACCTGTCAAAAGAAGCACGTACAACAATAAGATGGTCGCCACAGTCGCTAAACGTATAATGGATATAGTAAATTATCCCAACGGTTTTCTCGCAAATTTGGTATAAATCCCTTTTCTTTTCGTTCCACTGGAATGTATCCTACAACCGGCGTCAGTCGTACATAAATATGGATTGTGAGTATTGAGTGATGAACCGTTATTTACCAGAACGGAATTCTGCGTCTCGGACGTATTGCTTTTCCCCGCCCACCGCAGCAGCGTCCGGCCATGCCCAATGGCGTCCAACTGAAAGTGGGCGTACCACGGATGGATATTCGTACCGGGGAGCTCCACTTCTAGGACGTATTCATTAACGGCGGAAGGTACTTTCCAGATCTTTAAACGACTGTTTCTTTCGGAAGCCGTTTTTGCCAACTCTGGTTTGTAGCCTAAATTTACAAGCACAGCCTTATTAATTTGAGATATTATTTCATCTGCATCTAGGTATTAGATTCCTGTATTGTCTTCATATCCAGAAACAGTTTATCCAAACGCACAACAGCCTTGTCTTTTATCTTACATACAGAGTATATAAAATCAGTTTCTGTGTGCATATTAATTTGATGTACAAGGTATCCATTTCTAAGTTAAGAACGTCGATAATAGGTACATCGTACGCGAAGTGACTATAATTATTATTCATGCATTCACTCACCAATGTCCAGTAAGAACTTTTCACTATTTTTATTGTGGTAACTTTCATATGTTCCCAACGGCAACCCGCTCTCGTAGCCCATTTTGTCCACCGTGAAGTTGTCGCTTTTTGTGATCAGCAGCGAAATGGTCATGAAAAAAATATGTGAGAAAGAAGAATCTTTTTGTTGGCTGGAGTTTCAAAAAGGTAATCCGTTGTACAGTATTGCTCTCGTTTCATTACTGTAGAAAACTTTACCAAGGGAAACGCATACACTGTTATGTTCATGCGCCCTGTAATAACAAAATCATGGAAGTGTTGTTCAGCATCTACTGCACCTGTCGGAAAAGCATATGAGCGACACGATAATAAACAAATAAGTCAGCATTTTTTTACTGTCTGATGTCAGATGCATTTGCGGCTACACGGAACAGTCTAGCCGAAAGGTGCATACACACGGTACATGAATCGTACTACTTTATAATAACCGGCTCCGGTAGAGTATACAATTTTGTATTTCTTAATCTACTGCCTATCAGTTTTGTGCACATAGCCATACGCAGTAACACACAAAACCATATTTTGTTATGTTGCAGTTATAAGCTGTTTACGAGCGCTTTCGGCATAACAAGTACTTGGGTATCTGCGAGTACAATCTGACGACAAAAAACAACAACATAGCAATTAATTTTATGAAACGGTAGGCCTACGTACGTTTAATACAAACCCAAGATTTAATTTGTTTTCAAATTAAATAAATCTAGAAACGTTTAACAAACAAACGTTTAACAACAGCGTGTATCTGTATTTTGCACTTTATTAAGGGCTCTATAGAGAGGCACATATAAACAGTGAAAATGCCAAGAGTTCTGTGATACCATCAGATTACGCTTACACGAATCAGCAAAGTGCACAAAAATGACATTACATAAAATTACACTATTAAATTCAAGTGAAAAGCGCGCTCTCACGAAAACTATTTATGAATGTACAGATACTTGAATTAACTGACGAAGGTTTTTTGCCCAAATGTGATAGCGACTAATCTTATATCTATAGAAGTATTTTCAAAGTGTTCCCCACGTTGGCACATGAGCAAATGACGAGCAAATATCGAGTACAGTTTGCAAATGCAATATACAGGAATTCAGCTGCGAAAATTAATGTATCCATCACTGAATGCGCTTGAATCTCACTTCCGCACTCTTTGTTGGGCCCTGACGAGTCTGAAAATTAAGAAGACTGAACTGATACCAATTAGAATAAGAAAAATACCGTATACTTGTGTGACTGAATGTAAAACAATGTCATGCGAGTGCTTAAGGGGGATTAGTTTATAGCAGGTCTCCGATTTTATAAATAACAGATTTTCTAAACTAAGTATTTCTTATAAAACAAACATATTTGAAACAAGTTAGATATCGTAGAACGGATGAGTCATTCATTTCTTATGTATTTTTTTTTCGAAGGCGGTCGTAAAGGAAGCAAATAGCTGGCGCAGCTGATAATTTAACAGCGGGCGCGATTGATTGTTTGTCTGTTTCTGGTAAAAGAGTATTTATTATAACTATATATTTATTATACTGTAACTTTTACGTATTTATTATTATATATTAGTCCCCTTAACTGGATAATTTTTTATAATGTAAATATAACGACAGTCAAGTACTGGATTATAAGCTCACATTCACAAGTACACTTCCGCCGTTGCAGAACGTATAATGTACGTAATAAATAACTCCATCACTTTTCTCGCAGACGCGGTACAAATCCTGCTGGTCATCATCCCATTGAAAGGTATTCTGCAATGAAAGAATTTTATTAGAACATGCACTTTGACTGACAATACGGGCACCGTTTTTGTGCTTTGTTCATACTATATAGTATGAATTATTTGAACTAATCATGCATGTACGGTACAAAAAATACTGTAGCAATATTTTGATTACGGTGATTGTGTTGAGCGAGGCGGCGCCGTTGATTCCACCGCCCAGCTGGTGCACCGTGCGACTGTGACCTTTGGCATCCAAATTGTATGGGCGTTTGCCAGGGTGGTATGTCGGTGTTCAGCACCGTCACCTCCAGAATGTAGTGGTTGGCCGCTGCCGAGCCGTGGCGGAGTGTTAGATGATTAACGTTTTGAGCCAGGGTCTTCGCTAAATCTGGCCGGTATCCTGCGAATCACAACGCATCAATGTCATCATACGTACAGTACGTACTGGCTATATCTATATATGCCGTTTATATACAGTACCATAAGTAGCGTACTTTAATATCTCGTATGTATGTTTAAAGTTAAAAGAGATACGAGTAGTTCAGTAACAATGCTATAGAACAGAGCGTACATGGTAATAAAACACCCTAAAATATTTCGTACGGTACGTTACGTACTGTATAAGATAATTATGCCATAATATTACTAATAATTATAGATATTATGGATATATGTACTTATCTCATACAGTTACGTACCGTATGAGATAAGTACGTGACTGTACGTCATTAATGATAAGGTGTAAGCCAATATTACGCATCAAATCTCATCATACGTACAATACGTACTGGCTATATCTATATATGCCGTTTATATACATGCCGTTTTTTTATAAGTACGTAAGAACTTCTCGGAAATTTTAGTAACATTTATTTAGTATCATAGTGCATTATACTTTTGTATTCAACCCTGTTGTGAGTTAATAATTATGTAGATAGCTTAAGCTTCGCAAGTATCAGCTACAACAGTGTTAAGTATGCCGTAAATTCAGTTTGTAGGAGGAAGGGTTTCAACAATGTTGTACCGTATACAACCAATTATGTAGAGCCAGAACCAGCAATGTACTCGTTGTTGAGTAGCTGTGTTGGGTAGCTGTGTTGCTGCACAAGTAGAGATGGGCAAACTAAAATTAGTCGACTAATTAACGGTTAACTTCGGTTAACCTGACCAAAACTAAAAAAATTAGTTTAACAAACTTTAGTAACTAAAAAGTTTAGTCAGAAAGTTTTTAGTGACTAAATATTTTAGTCAAGTCGATTTTAGTTACTATATTTCCACGGTTAACCGGTTAATCGCAATTGTGAGGTTAGTGCAGCGACAAACCAAGCCCAAATGTACAGAATAAATTTGTTGGTGTATTACACACCTTCCCTGTACTCGGTATTTCTCTGATGCTCGCCTAAAGTAAGACATGGCGAAACTACGGGTGGACGACTCCAGCAGTACAAGGGGATGTGTGAAACATGTTGATTTACGGCTATAAATCCCAGTGTCTGAGTGAGCCGGACTAATTTTAATGACTGACTGCACATACAATGTCATGCACTACTAGTATCCTTCAATCGAGGAACACATTTTAAAGACAAATTTATTGGTTCTCATCAGTGAAATAAATTTTGATTCCGTGCGCAACAAAGTTTTACAAACGACAATAGCCTGGATGCAGTGAATTACACTCCTTTTGAAAGCGGAAAAATTTATTTTAGTCTCGGTTAACTTTGGTTAACCGGTTAAAAATTTTAACCAACTTGTGGTTAACCGCTAAGAAATTTAGTCGCCAACGTTTAGTTGACTAAAAGTTTTAACCAAGTCAGTTTTAGCAACTAAAACTTTTAACCGAGTTTTAGTTTAGTTTAGTTTAGTCAGTTTTAGTTTGCCCATCTCTATGCACAAGCACGGTCTCGGCTATCAACTGATGGTAACGGCACAGTCGGTAAAAAGGTAAGTCGGTAACGGTAAGTCGGTCTATCAAAACAAGGTACACCTTCCTCGTACCATAATTAATGCAGTCAAAAGGTATGTACAATAGTATGTACGCGCCACCGTCGCTACGCCGCCCCGTCATTACGCGTGCTATACGAATATTGATAGTTAATATAGATACGAGTATATCGTAGTGCATATGAACAGCCCATAAATACATACATATAAATATTATATATATACAATGGACGCCATAAATGTGGTTACACCGATAGCCGATAGCGCTATGCATGCATGCATATCATAGCGCTATCGGCTATCGGTGTAACGGTAACCACATTGGCGGCGTCCACTGTACATACATACATATTATGGTCTGTAGATAATATAGATAATTATCTAGTTTATTCAAGCAATTCCATGCAGTATAATGGGCGGCGTATGCCTGAAGTAATAAGTACCGTAATAGTGTGTTGTATTTAATGTGCAGCAACCAATAGCATTATTTTTAAAAATTGACTGTACTTTATTTCAAAAGCGTGATAACAATATCAAGATCTAATTACGGTTAAACGAAACAACGTTCTCTACGGTACCGATTACTGAAACAGCATTATCACGTTGTATTGCTAAAGAGATGTTCTGTTTCAAAAACTCCAGACTACGATCGAATCTCGCCGGTTTGTAGTAAAATCCTCTTCCCAATCTCGTTAACAAATCGTTTGGCAGATGTACCAAAACTGCCGAATGTTTCAAAACCAACAGCCGTAAATTCGTGAGAAAAAAAATTGGCATTTGTGTGTCTGCCTCATGCGAAAAACAAACATCCTGGTGATATGTACTGGTGATATGTACTGTGATATGATATGTACTGAAGCTGCGTGTTGACATAGAAGTATGCAAGTATACTTCTATGGATATATAGTATCAACTGATCGACAAAATTGATTAGAAGAAAAACAGCATACTCACCAATGTCCAAGAAAAACGCTTCACTGTTGTTATCATAGTAACTCTCGTAAATTCCAACTGGAAGCGTCCACGTCTCTATACAGTCCGTCGATTTTGATTCGGGCTGCATGGTCTCAATATGGTTTTTATCAAAGATAAGATTCACGTTTTGCGATAAAGGTAAATTTACCTATTCCATGAAGAATAAGACAGAATCTTTCAACAGCAGCACTAGAGCACAGTTCTAAAAAGTGCTCTCGAAATCGCGCGAGCCGTAGAAACCATGGAACCAGTCGCTCTAGCCTGATTTCAGAATATTTCTGTGGAAGTATACAGTTATTAGTCTTATGTCCTGAGGTAATTAAATACCGGTAGGCACAGCGGGCAAATGCAGCGCATATAAAACTACGCATATCTACATATAAACTACTACGTAGGGTAGCTGTGCGTCAGTGCAAGGCTGCAAGCGGATACTACCAGAAAGATTAGACTTATTTAGAGATAACGAACAAAACCGCTTTGCTGATCGTATTGAGAGGAGTACGATGCTGTGTATTGTATTATGGAGAGGAGTTTCTCTGCTTTAATCATTCAGTATGCCTTGTCCAGTTGCTCGGTCAGTGTTACATAATACACAAAGAAACCATAGTCAAGGCGAATATGCTGCATGTTTTGTATGCAATATATCTATATAAATACATGGCAATACAGAATAATCTGTGCTTTCGTAATACCATACCAAACCAGTGCCGCTTTACAAAACCGCTGATATATGGTATGCCATGGTAATACAGTAAGTATACATTTGGTTAACAACTTGACTTTGCACGAATTAAAGTTCAATTTTATATTAAAGGCAACGCGAGAAAATGCAACGGATGCACTGTGCAAATTCTCCACAACGTAAATAAATCTGTGCGAAAATGAGCAAACGCGTCAAATCGCGAGTTCTCAGTTTCTCAGTATTTATTTCCAGTCAATCGCGACAACCTCCATCTCATCACAGAGCGTCTCATTGACCCAACACTGCCAAAAACACCTACACAAATAAAACACAAACACACCGACAGGGAACCGCATTAATTTAATTCCTATTTATATCCTGTTCCATCCATTAAATGCTGACACACACCCGTTCAAATAAAATCAAACCGACAAATGCTTAATGGTGGTTGTCGTTAATGTCGAACTTCTTCTCCAAGTGCGACTTCGGACCAATATTCCAGGTGCCGCTGCCGACCTCGTAGGGGATACCGAAGCGGGGATTGTAGTTGTGCGGCCACATGGTCTGGTAGCGCTTCTGATCCAGCCCAAAGGAGTGCTCGGGGAAGCTCAGCACATACTCCTCCTCCGTCATCAGATGAATCGGCACAATCTCCTCCCAACGACGCAACTACAGATGCGACACGGAACTACTGATCAAATCACACTTACATAAACACAATTCACAGCGCATCTTAAAACAATTATGTACAGTACATGCACACTGATCCGTCAACATACACGAGCGAAGTCAGGGAAGAAATAACATTCAATATATTATAAATATGCGCAATATACGAGTATTTCTAACAAAAACATTCTCACTTCGCACTTTACTGTCAAGCACAGTAGCGCCCACATCAGCAAGTGATCTATCTAGTGCGCCATTACACTACGTTACCACATGTGCGACAATACTACCGCGTGGAAAGTTACCTACTGTCTACTGAGTACCCGTCCCTCCATGAAATATCAACAAGGCATAAGGGATACAAAAAAAACAAAACAACAGCGAACTCACAAATACAACGGTAAACAATTACAATTACAGCGTGGCATTAGGGAAAACCAAACAGCTAACTGCACGAGTTTTGTAACACATAAATAATTTACTCAAGGCACACCGCCTCTAATTTGAAAGCAATTAAAATCATCTCAACGAATATTAGAATTTCAATCAAACTTATCAACAAATTATTATTATTGACTAGAATTCAATTGAAATTCTCTCAACGAAGTCTAGCAAATTCGAAAAATGCTTTTCATCCAGTGTGAATCTACGCCATTTTTACCGTAAGAATAATAAGAAAAAATACATAAAAACGAAGAAAAATAATGGATACATAAACATAAATAAATCAAGTACATCACATACATAAATAAACGAAGCACATTAGTAGAATATTAACGCACACCCACAAACTGAAAAATCTATTACGAAACTGATTCTGGAATTTCATGATTATTTTATAATGTACCTGTAACTTTAATGTAACTTTACCTGCTGTTTATGATCAGCCACGCGCTCCTCAGACTCCTTAACAAATTCTTGAACAGCCTTAATCTGCAAACGAGAGCATCGGTGTGAACAAAGAAAGCTATAAACTGTTAATTATCAACTTTAAATGTATAGTTGATTTGAATCATTTAATAATGTGAACAACATGCTCAAAATGCCAATACACGTTTCAGCAACACTTCACAAATCAGTCTTACTGTTTCCTGTTCCTGTTGATCGATCTCCTTTGTTCGCGTATCGGCCGGAAATGGCACTTTTAAAGCCTCATACTGCAAAAACAAAGATTTCCATGCCACACTAGCCAATACAGCAAAACTTTTAAGTTACAAAACAAAAGCATTAAAATTCACTATTTTATTCGAATTTCCTCGAATTATCGTTTTCTTCCAATTCCAGAATCCAGATGCAAGGCACATCCATGGACCCGCACTAACACCGTATTAATTTTTTAAATATTTGTTATTAATATTTAAAGTGAACTGCACTCGAGGAGATCACGATTCGCATGAGCTGGGCGGATAAATTAATAAAACGAAATAATGCGAAATTATACTGCAGAGAACACAGGATCAGCGTTTTTCAGCTTACCGAACGTTTCATCTCCTCGACTAACTGCGTATTCGGTATCCGCGATGCATAATATCCCCAATCGATGGCGGGTTGGGATTCGGGATGCGCCATAACTCTGCAAAACACACCAAGAACCCAATGCAGACGACATCCGTGATTAAACGCACTGCTGCTGCGTACTTGCTCAGATAGGCATCATGACGCGCTTTGAAGGCTTTGGCCTGCGCCTGCTGCGTCGGCGGGATGCGGGCGTTGAAGGCGGCCCAGTCAATGGAGGATTTAGTAACACGGCGGGCTGCCATTTTTTCTACAACTTCCGATTTCAAACAGTCCACAATTCGCGTGGAATACCAGAAAAATCTGCTCTCCTACGTCGGGCACTGGACTGACTGGAGGAAAAATTTCCTGCGCCTACTGCAGGCGTAAGGGCGGAATCACAGATCGCGTAACGAGAATTTCATGGGGCGTTTGCGTAATCGCTGTACCTCCGCCACGGGGCGGGTATCAGTCGGTATAACTATTGGCTCGTTTCCGTTACGCGTTACGTGGCATGTTGTAAAAGTGCGTTTGCTCGACGTCGAAGTTGTAAGTACTCGTACTGTACGACAGTATGTACGAGTACTTACAACTTACTACCTATAAATTTTTTCAGGATTTTTCACTGTTTTTCAATTTTTCATGTTTTCACTTTCGTTTTCAAGATGCACTTCTTCTTTTGAACCTTGGATTTGGATGGTTCTATCAATCTAGTTATACTTCTGACTAGATTGTGATCACTACTTCGATTTTTATGATTTTTGATTGGAAAAACAGTTTGCAAAATCCTCGAACTTGACAGTCTGTTACAGACTTCAGCATCTTGTAATCTTGTTGATAACTTGTTACTTGATTGAGTGTGTGCCAGTGTACCATTTCGTCTTGCGACTTCTCCAGTGCTCACTGCACAGGATTTTGTATTCTTCATCATTTGTGAGGAGAAATGGGGAAGCACGAGCCGTTCTCCCCGAAAGCCATCGCGAATCGGATAAAGTCCAAAGGATTACAGAAGCTGCGATGGTACTGCCAGATGTGTCAGAAACAGTGCCGTGACGCGGTAAGTTAAGATTAAAGTATTTACAGTTTACTGCGCTTAAAAATTGACCTAAGCACTTGTGATAAAATTTAATTAATTCAAATATAATTTGCCAACAACCTGTAATGATCTACCCTGGACTAATGTGGGTAATACTAATACTGAGCCAACAATACAGCAAGCACAAGACATGACGATACAGTAGTTTGGGTAGATCATGTTAACATGTATCCTAAGAATTAACTAGTAAGAAGATGTTACAATTTGTTTTCCGTGATAGAACGGATTCAAATGCCATGTCACTTCCGAAGCCCACCAGCGACAGCTGCTGCTGTTTGGTGAGAGTCCCACTCAGTTCCTGGGAGGATTTTCCGCTGATTTCGAGAAGGGATACATGGATATCCTCAAGCGACGATTCGGTAAGAATTCCTTCTTTCAGCCTGAACTCTAATTATAGGCCAGTGCACTACGCGGAACGCCTCCAGTGCGATCAAGCTTCCGATTAATATGTTCTTTGCTGTAATAACCTGATAAGTAATAATAGATTATTTTAGAAGTTTGCAGTTACTTTTTGCTTGTGCAGTTGTGCGTATTGCATACAGAACACATACCCTTGTTGTGAAACGGGGTTACATTACATTACTTTACTCACTACTTGCATTTTTGTGAGTTGCTGTGTGTTATGATTGATCTCGTAGTTTTATTGTTAAAATCAATCTTTTTAATATTCCATAAGTGATTATTGTGCGTCATTGCAGGTACACGACGGGTGAACGCCAATCAGGTGTATCAAGAATACATCAAGGATAAAGATCACATCCACATGAACTCCACAAAATGGATGACACTAACGGGATTCGTTATGTACCTGGGTCGTTCCGGTAAGACATCCACTTTCTAGAAACTGCTTCGTTTCTTGTTAATTTCTTCATTCTTGTGCAGCTGTTTTGGTCAGGATCATGTATGGATAAATTGATTGGGCTGGTTTAGGCAAATGCGCAGTGGATGAGACGGAGAAGGGCTGGTTTATCAAGTACATTGAACGCGATCCGGAGGAAGTGCGCCGTCAGGAAGCACTGCGGCGTCGCGAGCGCACCGAGTTGGACGATGAGGAGCGCCTGCAGAAGAACGTGGCTGATATGGTGGAGAAGGACAAGGGGGAACAGGATGAGGAGGATGAACCACAGTTCACTGAGTTGCAGCGGGATGGCGAAGAGAAAAGTACGTTTGGGCGTTTTAAATACATCCGTTCTGGAGTTAATCAGTTTGTTCAGATTATAATTAGAGTTACTGAGTAGTCAGTTATTAATATAAAAAATTGTAATTCATTTTTTATAAAATGTAGTTAATTATAGACTATAGTTAATGTCAGAGTACCTCAATCACTACTCTGGTGGTGGTGCTCTGCATATCGATATGTAAGGCTTTTACATTGACGTTTAATAATGCACCGGATAAAAAACGTTGATTTCACTGAATGAACTTCAAAATGCTGCAAAATTTATGCAGGTTTTACTTTTAATAGGCGTTTTTGGGAATTTTTGCGGTTTAAGAGTGAATGCAAGGATTTTAAACTGCACGCATTTACTTCCGGTTACAAAAAAATTGATAACGAATATTGTAATAGACTGTGTTTGCAGTTGTCTTTTCTTTGGTTCCGACGGCGGTCAAGAAGGAAGACCCGGAGCCCAGCACATCGTCTGGAGACCGCGATACGGCCCAAGTTAACAACGAGAGGGAAACCAAACCTCCACTGTTTAAGTAAGCTCTCGTAGAACGTTGGCTGGTCGTGGACTTTTCTAACATTGACATAATAGCCAGTTGTGACGTTTAATTGTTATCAGTTAATAGAAGCTTGCTTTTCATGCACCTGGTACGGAAGTATGTATTTTTATGGCTATTTCTAATTCGATTATGGTTAAATTATTCGATTATCATTTAACTGATTTTTGTTGCTGCTTTTTTTTCAGAGTTCCCTTGAAAATAAACGCACTGCAGTTAGCCGCCCGTGCCACTGCCGCCTCCCGCGACCGATCGGTAGCCAAGAGCACGGCGTCGTCGTCGGGGGATAAAAAGCGGAAAAGCGCTCTGGAAGAGATCATGGAAGAGGAGAAGCGGCGAAAAGAAAAACAGCACAAATCCGGTCGCGGCAAGAACGATTTCTGGCTGCACAAGGATATCGTTGTCAAGATTACCACGCCGCGGTTGGGCGAGCAGTTTCACAAGAGAAAAGGCGTTGTCAAGGTGGGTTTCAGCTTTTGTTGGGGCATTAATGTCATCCGGCAGATATTTTTCCACGTGCACATGATTATTTTCCGTTAAACTGTAAATTTTACAGTTGAAATTCTGTGGAATTTGAATTGTGTTTTTGCATTGAGTGTTTTTTAATTGCTGACTTAACGCTAAATGTTAATTTAATTTTGTAGGAAATGCTGGATAAATACACGGCCGTATTGGAGCTGTTGGATTCGGGCGTTAAAGTGAAGGTGGATCAAGTGCACGTTGAAACGGTACTGCCGGCGCTGGGTAAACCGGTGATGGTGGTAAATGGGCCGCATGCTGGTGCACAAGCCACACTCCTTTCCATTAACGAATCCAATTTTTCCGCTTCCGTAAAACTGCTCACGGTACGCTCATCGGTTGATCAAAATCACATTGCATTATATCAGCTTTTATTTACGCACGCAACGTGAAAACGTTAGTTAGTTTCGAAATTTTATTGATTTTAATTATTCCATAATTCTTTTTTATTTTGTTTTAGGGACCTTCGCAAGGAGAAGTGGTGAATAATGTGGAATATGAAGATATCTCGAAAATTCATCAAGGATGAAGATTTTTTCTGTCGCGGATGATCCCTGAATTATTGACACAACCTGAATTGTTTGTATCGCGGATAGCGTGCACATAAATCTGAGACTGTTTATAAATATAATAATCATGGTTAAATGTAAAAATTCTGTGTTTTCCGTTCACGATGAAGAGCATTAGCATCCATACAATGGAAAAAAATGGGGCAAATTGATTTAACAGTGACAATAAAAAGTCAGAAATGTTCCATGAAAATTAAAATTCGTATTAAATCAGCCTGCTGGCGAAGAAAATTATGACCACATCTGTACATGTAAAATTGTAAATGATGTAATGAAGGATGCGAAAAAAAATGATAAGCCACTGCACTACGGCTCAAATCAATTTATTCACACAACATCACAATATTCAACAAGTTAGCCTTTGCCATTAAATTCTCGCGTGGACCGGAGATTACATAGCCATCAGCAAAAGCTTCGAGAAATTTAAGTAAAAACAAATTACAGTTCAGAGTGGATGTGATAAACTATATCGTCAATAAAATACTCCATCAAGTTCTTCCATCACAAAGTCATTAGTCAAAGAAATTCCCTTATTATCAGATACTAACCAGAAAAGCACATTAATCAACCGCGGCGGAGATTCGGAATGGTGAAAACAGTCCCCCACAACTCACGTGTGACGTGTGTGAGAGGTGCCTGCTGGATTTCACGTGTAGTCCGTGTCGAGTCCATGGGCACGCGCTGCCTGGCGACGCGCATAATAACCCAAACAGGCACAGAATCCCAGCACCAACAGGATGATGAACAGCAGCAGCGCAATCCCGTCTCCGGTGTCGAAGGCGGCGGCGAACGGAAGGAGCCAGAGGAAGGCGAGGATACACTGGAAAACTGGAGAGAGTCGCGCCATGATAGAGATGAAAAGCACGTTCTAACACGCAACGGCAAACACTCCAAACGCACTTTAAAGCTTCCCCAATGGACAAGAATTAAGATTCTCTGACGGAAACAACAAGTTATCAGCTGGACTCCCAAGCAAAGATACTCATAAAAATGAAAACAAAACTACAAAAGTGTTTCGTTCTTCTAGCAAAGTTGGTACGTACTTATGATACTTATGATAACTTATGATATGTGATTCCAGATTCAGATTAATTTTTATTTTGATTTTCACCAAATTTTGCGTGTTGGTTTTGGTAAGTAGCGTATCAATTTACACGTGAACTACGTAAGTGCTTTCTGCAGCTGGTTGACAACGAGACTAAATCCGTGCAATAAACAACATTTACTTGTGAAAACTGTAATACAGTTTTTAGAGCGCGTTTTTAATTATTTTCTGTGATGTTTTGGTTAAAAATTTTGAAGGCAGGAAGAAAAATGATATGTATTGTACTACACTTGCGTACATCTTCGTCATGTTGCGTGTATCTTTTGTTCCGGCTATAATTTTAATTTTTCTTTAAAAAAGCGTAATGGATTTAACATTTAAATTTAACTTCATTAACTGTCGTGCATTTAACATTCACCGCAATAATCAAGCGCAGCGCGTCCAGTCCTAGCTTACAGTAGGATCTGTACCTTCTACGTCACTTCTACGTCACTGTAATCTGTAATCTTTTTTGTCGGTCTCTGTGTTTGCTAGGTTCGCGAATGTTTTAAATTCATCTTAATTGTCAGTTGTTTTCATCTATGTTGGTTTGAAATGTCCAGCGACCGTGTAGGTTTGGAATAATTTTTGTTGCTTTTGTGGTTGGTACTTATTTGCCTTCTATCAGCTCTATGTACCTCGTATTATAAAAATATTACTAACATCTGAAATGTTTTCGGAGCGTACAGATTATAGCAAGTCCATAACAAATTGAAGTTGTAATAAAAACTTGTACAGTATTCGTATAGCAATCTCATGCCAAGCTGTACATGGACAGCAGATTGTTGGTCCAGCTATGTATACGAGTACTGATCGTGGAAAAAAGTACAGCGCATGAAAGTAAAGGTGCAGCGATACTGTTAGCTCGCCGGAAGGAAATCGCCCAAGTATACCGATATAACGCGCGCAGCATAACGGTACCCAGCGTCTTTCTATTGAAACCTACGCCTTACTCTTGACATTTCCTTCGCGGCCCTAGGGCTTTCTCTGCGTTTTCAAGTAGAAATTCAACTTTCACAAATGTTGCAGTCCTTCAACAACGCAGTACACACTACAACACACTTATGCTATGAGCGTCCTTATCTACGGAATAAAATATTGTTTCCATGACCAAATGAAGACGAAGATGTCATAAACCATTTTCCATACTATCCGCAGACCTCTGGCATGATTGGACACATTATTCTAGTCTGTATAAGCGAGTGGTTACTATGGTCAAGGTGATCAATCTGGCGCGGACGTATTATGACGACGGATTTATTGCCGCAGTATTATGTGTATTGTTGTCGGTTGTCATCGTCCTCGGTGTGCGCGCCGATGACGGGGACCATGAGGTGGATGCGTCCGGATGTTTGAAACCCAATTCGGATCGCTGCCGACTGGATTGTACGGCAGATTCCTATGATTTCATCTGCGTGGACGATGCCGCCGGCAACTGGTCCGTCCTGCGCTCTGATCTGGACGCGATCGGCGGCCTCAAGCACCAAGTTAATGTCTACTTCTGGAATCTCCAGGCCACCAGTTTTCAGGTTCGTTCAAAGATTTCATTAAGGCTTAATTAAGGACATATATGTGCATATATAATTTAACTTGGGGAAATGTGTAAAATATAAAATACTGACCATGAATGCTACACTATTTGTATAAAGGAGAAAAAACAAAGAGGCATACATATACAGTTCATTAAATAAAGATACATTAAAGAAGTGCAATAAATAATTATTTATATTAATGAAGAAGTACAGCATCATAAATAAAATAATCGAAGAGACGTATTGCGCGCAATAACGAGTAATATTTCATGCGCCTTTAAACTGATACTCGGTAAGCTTTGTAAAAGAAATTGCAGCTTATGCGTTAATGTGATCACACTTTTAAATGCCACAAATGCAACTTCTTAATTCACACGTACTTCATTGACGTACTTCCGTTCTGTAAAATGTTTTTTATTGTCGCCCGTTTCAGTGTTATTTATATGAATAACATGGCTACTCCGTATGTCACTGTTCAGTAATATAGAAAGCGCTGAAACTATGTTGCAGCGGCAACGGAAATTTTTATATGCGATGTATATCAGTTAAGAATTGCTACAAGTCTACAGTCACGTGCTTATTTGAATCGTTCGAGTAATTTATCAAAGAAACTTTTACAAATGTATCTGTAGTCGCTGATATTAATTATTTGAATGCATCACCATAATGCCGTAATAGTTTGCTGCGCTATATTACAAGAATTAATACGCTGTAAATTAAGTAATTAAGTACGCATTTTCATTCGGTGTTTTGTAAATAAATCAACACCATGCGCTTATAATTTGCTCCAAATTTTTTGAATTTAAAGTTATAAGAAGAAAACAGTTACTACTTTTTACTGAATTTTTGGGATAGTTCATGTCATCTTTTGATTTTCTGTTATACAAGCTGCTGTGGAAGTTCCAGTTTCCGCCTTCTACATACACGTTATAAGGCTTTAAAATTAACACCTCCATTATTTTGTGGCCCGCCACTCAAAATTCAACTGTCTTACTTATTTGCGAAATTGCGTATATCTGTAGCTAGGCATGGCATTAAGCATACTCGTAATTATAATATTGAATTATGCGTCACTTTTAATATCCGCTTTGTATGACATCAAAATAATTACGTGCTGTTTATACGTGAAAATATTTACGAGCAGCGAAGTTTGTGCTGTGCGACAGTGCATATTAATTGCAGCATATGTAGAAAGCGCGGTGCCCTTTGGCGTTCCACATACCGCTTGCGGACTGAAGGAAATATGTTCAAAAATGCATGATTAAAGTATTAAACGTATCAAAATCTCTCAAGACAATCAGAACGAAGAACATCCAACCGATAATTTCCGCGGGTGGTGTGATTGACACGCGGTGTTCGTAAGCGCGATCATTCCATTTTAATATTAGCAAAATTCTGAATGAAAGTTCAAAGTTGTCGCGGCATCTTGTACGGCTGCGGTGCGTCCAGATATCTAGAATGCTTACCTCGCGTGGCTTGGCCTTGCGTTCACATATCGATACTTTCTGTTTCTACTAACTTTCATCTGATTTTACCCTCTCCATTTACTAATTCGCATCTTTGTGTGGAGTTTTTCCAGTAGTTCGTAGAGCCAGGTAAATCTTCCGAAAATAAATCTGTAAATCATTACGAAAATAAATCTCTCTGCCTAATCTTTCTAGGTGTACCTAACAAATTACCTTTGAGTTTTAACAGTGCTCACTTAATTTTATGCCACGAAAAGTAATTGCATGTAAGCGTGTGTCGAAAATGCGACTAAATGTGTGATTTGTCATGATAAATCGTGCGTGTGACACACTCGTCCCGCTTAAACAAGTTAGCAACAGCCGTTGGGTGTCAGAGTGATCGCAACGTCCGTTGTTTCTTGTATATAGGTGGAATCGGATATCTTCGGCCAGGCCGAACCACTACTGGCCCGTCTCAGCCTGATGAACCTGCCGGGTCTGACGAAATTCCCCATGCTCCGCGAAGCCACCAACCTGGTGGCCATCACCATCCTGCAAGCGGACAACCTCCTGGATTTCTCCACGGAACTGCTGCCGCGGTCCATCCGCAACATCTCCCTTTTTCAAACCGGCATAACGCGGCTGGAGAACGACTTCATCGAAGTACCCAGTCTGCCCAATGTCCAGCAGTTCGTCATCAGCAACGGCAACATCTCCTTCATCGAGTCCAACTTCTTCAAAGTCTTCAGTCAAGTATCAGAAATCGTCCTGGACCGCAATGCCTTCAACTTGACGGACAAGGCCATTGCCGATGGCATGTTCACCACGCTGAACTCGCTGCAGAAATTCGCCCTGCGTAATAATAACTTCACCATTATGAAACCGGAGGACCGGGTGCTGTTCTTCCAGATGACGATGCGCTCGTTAAACGTCAGTAAGGATACCGTGGTGGATTTGAGTAATAATCGGCTGGAGGTGGAGCAGGAGACGCTGGACTGTATTCGGGCGTTGAAGGATGTCAAGGAGTTGAGTCTGCGCGGGAATCCCTTCCGCAATTCCATGTCCATTACGAATTTGTTTCTGGATTTTAAGAATCTGCGTTCGCTGGATCTCAGCGACACGAACCTGCCAATCTCCAACGGGACGTTCGCCAGTTTGTATCTGCTGGATGAACTTCGCTTGGGCTATAATGGATTCGGTGACATGACCGCCGTGGATATGTTCAAAGGGTCCAAATCAACAATGTTGCGCGTCCTGGACTTATCGTACAACTCCTTGACAGCGCTACCCGATGGAGATATTCAATCTGTTGGTAAAGAAAAACATATTGCGTCAACGCAAAATTTTTTAAAAATTATATTTTCGTGAAAAACACAGCACTGTGTAAATAATCAACAGTTACTGTAAATTCAACTGCCTAACGTATTCTTGACATTTTCTTCTGTTATGGACAGCCAGTTATGACGGTTCGTTAATCTAACCGACTTTTTGCGGTACGTAATTTACCCGAAAAAAAATGCACTTTCCACAATGCTTTCAAACTATACTAATCGCTAAAAATATTTTTACATATACGCGTGTACCACATATTTTTATGCTTGTTCCTGTAATTCTGCTGTTTATCAGCTAAAACTGCAATTGTGTCCTTTAAGTTTGGTGTGTTCCACGGTTAATAAACAGTCAAAGCTAATAAATATTTTAGTGTTATCAGTGAAAACGTAATTTTCCTGGAGTACCTCCAAGTTCCAGTATACGTTGGATGGTAAAAGGAACAACCTACTACTATTAGCAAAAGCAAAAATATTTAAAACGGTTTTTCTACGGTACATTCTGATATCATACAAAATCCTTATAACATTTCTGGACTGTTTGCGTTGCACTATTGCCAAACAACACTTCAAGGTGGTAAAAAATTCGTGCTTTAATCTTCTCTCTGATTTTCCAGGAAGTTACCTGGAAGAGCTGGATTTAATGGGCAACAACCTTCTTCCCTTTGAATTCCCACAATACGCCGATCTGGTTAACGAAACCGACCCGGTGCCGACCTTTGCCAGTTTCCTGGAGATCCGCTTCCTCGATTTGAGCTGGAACAACTGGACCGCCATGGACGGTCGTTTGTTGACGCCGCTGCGCAACCTACAGACCGTGGACCTCAGTTGTAACTGGTTCCAGCACATAACCCGCGATTTCTTCTCCAATATGCCCCGCAGTTTGAAGACCATCAACATGACCTTTTGTCTGAGTACCTTTAGTCCGCCGCCGCAGATCGACCCTGATGCGTTCAGTACCTTACCTCCCATTCAGACGTTTATCCTCGCCCGCGGCAGTCTCCGTAACTGGATTTTTGACCGACTAATGCAGCTATCCAACGAGACCATGCAGGCACTGCAACATGTCCTGTTGCAGGACAACAACATCCGCTTCCTTGACGGGGACAAGTTCGCCGCGTTCGCCAACTGGAAGACGTTGAATCTCCGCGGGAATACACTGCAGTCGCTGGGCGCGTCCAGTCTGAAGAAACTCACATCTTTAAGAACGCTGATTCTCTCGCAAAACCAGTTGATCAGCATCGATGTCAACGATATGGTGGGATTGGACAATCTCGAGCAGTTGGATCTGCACGGCAATAAAATCTCGAATATCGACAGCGGATCCTTCGATATGCTGCCCAGACTGCGCAGCCTGTATCTGGGCCAGAATAATCTCTCCAATCTGGATACACTGTTTGTTACCGGTGGCGATCAATTATTGCATTTCGGCTTCCAGCGCAATGCCATTGGCTGTATCCGCCGTCAAGATTTGCAGCCTTTGAAGAAGCTACGCTGGATTTACATGGGCGATCCGACGACTCCAGTGTTTGTGGATCGTAACGACGACAGCGAAACCGGATCGTTGCAGAGTAAGATCTACAAGGAGCCCTTCGCATCCGGCGATGATCTGGATTGTGATCCTAACTACGATTCCCCGCTGTTGAAGTCCGGGGCGGGTATCGATCCGGATACACTGTTTCAGACGGATTTTATCCGGTTATCGCGCAAGAACCCATGGGATTTGACGCCGAGGAATTTCATCTCCCATGTGGCCAAGTGCTACATCTCGCAGTTGGATCGGAATCTGACGAATATCACGGAGAATTTCTTCTGCGCGATGAGTGACTCGAAGACGGCGGGAAGTGGTGGTTTAGCTGCCAGCAGTGGGGTGGTACTTGGAACGGTATTGATGTGGCTCATTTTTGAGAAGTTGTCTTACGGTAGGAGGTTGGTGTGACCTTTTAGCAGAAGCATGTTTTACCGGTGATTGTAATTTGATTTTACTACATTTTATTGATACGATGCTCAGTCAGTCTGGGAACTGTGTTGAGTTGATTGATGTGATGACATTATCGTTGTCCTCTCTGTTACATTATTGCCGGAAAAGAATTATTGTCATGCCGTGTGTTGCGGGCAATGGCGTCGCAGTTAATTCCTGACTGTACGTTGTACGTAAATGCTGTTCTCGAGTATCGCTACCCTGTTAATCGCATAAAAACAGTTGATATGTATAGTGACCAGTGTGTATTGTACGTACACAGCGTATGTTGAAGGGTAAAATTACCAGTCTGTACTATGTACAATACGAGTGTGAACAGACTTCGTCATAAAGCAGAAAACATTCGAGTTTCAGTTTTTATTCATATAATAATTGTTCTATAAGATAACTGCAGTGTGCTGCATTATTTGTAATCATGTGTTTTTATAATGAAATTTTGGTAATGTGTGCCTTACGCCGGCAGTGACACGCACCACGTAAAAAAACCATGATCATTTACTGATTTTGCTAAATTATCAAGTTAACTCGTGTTAAAAACTGCGTGTTAAACAATACATCACAAGCAGTATACCCAAACTAACGGAACGAGCGTTGAGCGGATTCTTAAGGCATTTCGCTACTGATAAAATGCGGACTGGGTGCCACATGCCGGTTTCAATATGTCTTTAGCATAAAATGGTCACAGCTAAAAACATTTCCAATACATTATCAATACATTATAGAATGTGCCCATAGGCAGGGGCGTCTAACGATGGCTGGGTCATGGCACATAACCTTTCTTGCAATTCAATACCGGCTGCATATCAGCTCAACTCTGCCGGATGTTTGCGGTAACAAGTGCTGCGGAAGCGGAAACGCATCAAAACAAATACAGTGTCACATCTTTATGTAATAATTTATCGGAAATTCCGGCATCGGCAGGAGCACGTGGGGAAAACTGAAAAGTATCGATGGTTGCCATCTAAAGTTAAAGGATCATTTATACTTTTTCAGTACCTTTTTCTGATGCAGTTGCAATCTGACATTCCGATTTGAGCCTATTCCGATACGACAATGTCGGCAACGGTCGGCCTCGCACCTCAACAGGAGGATCAACAATCCCTTCCCAAGCGCGCAGTTCGCAAATACTTGACAAAAGTGTTAAGACCATGGATGTTTACTCTCCAAGTCCTAAGTTTCTTCTGCTACCCAATCGACAAAAATATGAGACGCGCTATACGATTCCCACTTTACGTCTTCATCATTGTTGTCACCCTCATTCACATCCTAGCAGAAATGGCAATGCTGGGTATTCGTATTCCTCGGGCGGCCGCCGTGGAGATCCGCACCGCCGTCAACGTCGTCTCACTGGCCACGCTTTTCTATGCCACTGTAGTGACCTTATTCGCCATCATAATCATGATATACATTAGCCGTTCATTGCTGCGCGTTATACGGGAAATGGACGACATTCTTCCGCATCATTTGTCGTATTCCGAACGCACAACGGGATCGCTTTTCATTTTCTTATGGACCGTGTTAGCGTTGGTCCCGGTGGTACACGATCTGGCCACCGGCCAAGTGACATACCTAAGCAAAGCGGGAACACTGAGAAACATCGAACAAACCATTCAGTTTTTCCGATGGAACGTTAAAGCCGAGAAACTCTACGTGCCGGTGGTAATTATCCACGTTGTAACGCAGACGCTGGACAATCTGGGACTGGTGCTGCTGCGGGGACTGTTGACCTTTGTAGCCTTTGCCTCAGCGATGTGCTTTAGGACGATTACGCGGCGATTGTCGCATACTGCTGCGCGACAGCCGAAAGTCGAGCAAGTTATGCAGTTATTAAGCGATCACGCGGAATTAAGCCGGCATGTTAGTCGATTTAACGATAAGATCACCTGGATAAATTTGGCGTTTTATTCTATGGCTATTCTGGAGATACTGAATTTAATTAATGACTGGATTGAGAAGAAGGAGCAGATGAGTTTTACAAGTGATATTGCCGTGGGAATTGTTTGCCTGTTTTTTGTCTTAGCGATCCAAACCGCTGTATATGTGCATCTCCTAGATCAGGTAAATAATGTAATCTCTTAAAGGCCGCAACTATGGTTATCTGTTATTTCGTATCTTCAGGCACAATCCGCTACTGAGGCTCTGCAGATTATGGTGGAAAAACAGCTGCTGCCGACGCGAGCAGCGAAGATTCACCTTAATCGTATCGTTTTGACGCCCGCAACGCTGAAACTGGCGGGAAAACCGATCAACCAGGAAATGGTTTTAACGGTTAGGTTTGACATAATTATACTGCCCCGATTTCGCTCAGTGATGATATTAGGTTTACATTCCGCATGCTATAACTGGGAAATTGCAGATACTGGGTCTGCTGATTAGCTACGCGCTACTGTTATCAGAGATTGCCGACAAGAATAAGCCAGTCACTCTGGATATGGAACCGCTAAAACGGCAATTCCGAGATGAGATGGCGAATTTGTTAGCGAATTACAGCATCAAAGTCCACTGCAATTGGCTGCAGCAATAAGATTACATTAACTATCTAGCATAAACACGATTTCTCATCCTAGAGTAATACAAACTAAACAAGCAAACTACTACTGAATTTGTCAGTGTTTATAAAGGCAGCGTGTAATGTATGTCGCCTGGTCAGCCGGCTAGCGTACTGATTAACTGATTTTCATTTCGTTTTTATAACTTTATTACTGTAAGTTAATCACCACTCATTTGAGCACACATTTCTACTCTAAAATGGAAAATTCTGCGTTAAAAGGCAAAACGCAGGAAACGCCCGTCAACGGAAGATCCTTCGATTATCCGTCCATACTCTTGCAGAGCTTGCGGAAACAAACTTCCTGCAGGGCCGACCAGCGGGCGAAAGTTTGCAAAAGTATCATCCGGCAAGCGGTCGGGTCCACCTGGCTCTCCCCAGTGTTGAGTGGCCGCTTGCAGGATCGCGTGCAGGTCAGGCATCAGAGTGGAATCTGCGAGCTGCTGCAGGTTGTCGTGGATCAGGGCATAGGATGGCAGCAGCGAATCGCCCTGTCGGCGTTCCCTACGTAAAACATACCCAGGTATTAAATTCATCAGTAATATACTGCAGAATTTAATTTGGGCACCAAGTGAAATTAGCAACCGAACACTTTGTCGGCAGCACCAAGTGAATTCTGCATTATTCGGTAAGCAAGTTCTACACCACAACTCAACGAAAATCCGACGTATTGACTATTCGCGGGCTATTCAATTTAGTGGACAAGGTAAGTACCCTTGCTGTTTCAAAATTTTGTACGAGTACTGCTAGCGCTTTTAGTCGTGAAAAAATAAATTAAAGTCAAAAACAAACAAAATCCTGGAAAAATATATTTAATATGAATCTGCGGTCTGTGAATCTAGCGCTGCGCTGCACTTGATGCACTTGTAGCATAGGACTTGCTGTTGGCCGCATTACGCTCCAGAATCGGTTCACCGACATCCGGATGCACAAGCGGCTGGGTCCAGCTGGACAATGGCAGCGTGATACTGCGCTGTTTGTGCCGGATGATATTCTGCTTGGCCCGGTTCGACCATCACTCCATGACACTATCAATGGCGGTGTTCCCCTTCCACCGGCAAAATGCACGCGCTTGGGAGCCTTATGCAGATCCTGCACAAATGGCTACTGGGTAGTCTGAATTCCGCCGCTAGGACCACGAACGCGGTACAACGCCCACTTAAATACTTTGTGAGGCTTGGGAGAGCAATAAACGCACTGCCTTATGCTGATGCAGTGCAGATCGATGTAGGTAAAAAGCGCCGGCATTCTCGCCGGTGTTGTTCACTTCTGGTGATACAAACGTCTGCTGTGATATTCAAGTATCAGTCACCTCGTGCGCATCTGATTCCTACAATGCGTGAAAGAACATTATAGGTAATCGTATGCTAGTTCTTATTGTCATTATGCACTTGTGGACACTATTTTCAAAAAGCTGCTGCATATCAATGATATAATTATAGAATGCGGTAGCGTACATGTGTGTACTTATTCAAACGACTAACTCGAACCGTTTTTTGACCATGCATTTGATGACGAAAACGGAAACAATAATTCTATTACAGCAGAGTGCTCAGCGGTCATTGATTATTCATCACGATAATCATAAAATATTATTATATCCCAATTCGCGTGAATACTACTTAGCCATACGAAGGCTATTTACTACCAAATAAAGCGATGTTAAGGTGAATAACTGGCAACTTGTAATACAAAAACCAGTCAGTCTTCTCTCGCGCTTTTGCGGTACCGTTGTTAACTTTGCTACGACATTTATTCTGCTATTATCCGAAAAATGTTATTGCCTTCATTATTTTATTAACAATTTATTACCTCCGCTGTTTCAGTGCATATCTTGCAGCAGATGGCTTCCTCCAGATCTTAAGTGCACATCATTCTTTGGATGTCGAGATTGAGATGCTTTCAGCTGTGCGGGCATTGAAAGTGATACGGTTCGTCATCTGCTCAACTGAACCACGCACTGCGCAAATATCTTCGTCTTTGATACTGGGTAGCATCAACTTCACAGCGTTCCACACATGACCGACGGTACGTATACATAATTTTATTGATGTAGAATTTGTACAGTAAGTAAGTACAGTAAGTAATTTAGACTTTGCAAGAATACGTATTTCACAGTATGTATAAAACCGATATCGCCAGTCAAAGCACCTTTTCTCCAGTTCAACGAGACTGCATGTACATACAGTACTTTAATAATGTCAGCGTTTCTCTACCACGCGTTACGAAATAATGCAGAATTCACTTGGCAGTTGGCGCTACTTGGTACAGTACTTTCTTACATTCGAGCGCGTTTTATCTCCTTGATGGCTCCCTTGATGCGCTTCCTCTTCTTAGCGCTGCAGTCGACAAGCAGCGCAACAAAGTGCGCGGATCCGGATCCAAAACGGGGAGGATTTAACAGTGCGGATCGCACTTTTCTCAGCCGATCCAGGCAGCGTTCAATGCTGCCAGATGTATCTGCAAACGATCCCCGCAAAATCAACATCATAATATTTCTATCTATAGGTACCCGTACAAAGAACTTCAATGAAGTTAAGTACCTGTTTTGCTGCTTTAGTACAGAGCATATCGCGCACTTACCGTTACTGACTATCAGTAAAAAACGGCCATAATTCGCATTTGCCATGGCGCTTTTTGGAAACCTTATTAGGAAAACTGAAACTTAACTAAGCGCCGGAAGTTTTATCGGAGACAAGGAGACGGGCTTTAGATTTTGATTATCTGTTCAAGTACCTTCTAGTTCTACGTAATCAGTGCTGCGGTACCACATCAGTGCTGTCAGTACTGATAAGGCAAGCAGAATCGTAAGGCCTAAGAGCGACACGCCCACTTCCTATGCCACGCCACGAAGAGTATCTACCTAAATCCAATCTATTTAATCTAAATCTTACAGATACGGCACGGTTTGTTTTCGCACGTAAAGCGGTTATTTTTTCGTTACGGAAATCTTACGAGGCTCAACCCAGCTGCATGCATCTCAATGCAACTCTGGGCAACTCAACGTAACGTAACTCAACGCAACTCTGTGCAACTCAGTGCAACACAACGTAACTCAGCGCAGCTCAAGGTAACTCAGCGTAACTCAACAAAGTTGAATGCAACCAAAGGCACTTGCACGCAACTGCTTGTAACCAAACGCAACTGCATGCAACCCAACACAATGCCACTTAATTAACTCCATGCAACTGCATATACCTGAATGCAGCTCAAGGTTACTTACTACAGGCAGGTGAATGCTCAACGTAAAGTGAAGAATACTTTATTTCCAATGACGCGAAAACAATATCAAGAGTCAGCTTCACTTAAACTAAACATTTTCCACAGGTGACAGTACCAATAACAAAAGCATTACCTCTTTAAATAGCTAAGGAATTCTTCTGTTTTAAAAGCTAATGGCTGCGAATCTCGTCTGTTTGCAGCTCAATCCTCTTTCCAACCTCTTTGACCAACTACTTGACTGATGTACCAAAGCTTCCAAAACTTTCAAATCCAACAGCAGCAAACTCATATCCTTGACAGGAAGCTGTATTTTCTCACTTTTTCGGCTTCGGCTTGTCGGCGCTGCTCCGGCCTTTACGCCGGTGTAATCCAAATAAGAGCGGGCAATGGTGTTAACACAGGTTACATTCCACGTCAAGCACAACCCTCTGGCCCAGGGAAAGGTGGCGATTCCATCAGGCCGTGTGCCGTTTCGTGGTGCATGCCTCTAGGTTCCGTTCGCGCTGAGATGCCTGCAGAAACCGGAGCCCGTCGCAGTATATCGTTAATGCAGTCATGTCTTTCCGTCTTCCAGCAGAGAATTTACAACTCAGCTCATGATGACCGTCGGTCGCCACTTCGGCACCGCACTTGAAATGTTGTTCGGAGGGCGCAGGTGCGCCAGATCGAATGGCAACGCGATGCGGAAGGATTTAACGTCCGAAAGATTACCAACTGAGAACGACGGAAGAGCATGCGTCCAGACACCTGACGCCGGTGTGGAAGTCGCCAGCAGCCGTGCCTTGTTGGTGATACCTGAAGCCTCATGCAGCTAGGTTGCCGGCACCTGCTCTGCTAGACAGTAAGGTCTATCCTAAATCAATGCCATTCTAAGATTTTTTTTTACTTTTTGGATATTTTAGATGCTTTAGATTTGTTAGAGTTCTTAAATTTTTTAGATTTAAAATTCTTAAGTTCCGTAGGTTCTCAGGTTTTTTAAGTTTCTTAACTATATTTTGCTTAGTTCGTAACCTTTCTTAGACTTCTTACATTTCTAAACTTTCTTAACTTTTTTAAAGTTTTGTTTTTCTTTTGATCTCCAAGAGTTCTTAGGTTTTTAAGTTTCTTAGAATTCGTTGTCTTGTTAAATTTCTCAAAATTCTTGGTTTTCTGAGCATGATGGATCCACTTGAGGCTGCTTTTAAGTTGCCAAGTTGCATTGAGTTGCGTAACTTGCGTTGAATTGCACTGAGTTACGTAGGGTTGTATTGAGTTACGTCGAGTTCCATTTACAATTACTTAACTGAGTTACGCTTAGTTCACGTACTTTATTTCATAAACGCGAATACATTACAAACTGAAAAGAAACGGTAATCACAACAACAAAATCTCGTTTAAAGCTGCCGCTCCATCCACTGTTCCGAGTACTGAAGCGGCGTTTTCCCGTTGAATTTCTAATGACAACCGTTGGCGGAGAAATTCATGGGAGCGAGGTTCGCCCGTGTGTAGTTGAAGTCGTTTGTCGCTTTCTGTCACTAAGAGTATGGCTAGCTTCCCCCATGGCCCAAGGGTTTCGAAACCTAGTGGAGAGAAGACATATATACCCTCCAAATACGAGTACAGCCGTAGTTTTTTGTCTTCGGCTTGTGCAGCAGCAGCTCCTGTGGTAACTGACGTGGATTGCAGGTGAGACATGGCAACGGTATCTGCACAAGTCACGTCCCATGCCAGGCACATGCCGAGCTTCCAGGCAAAAGTTGTGCAGCCATCTGGACGACGATCGGACGTGTGGGATGTACCCGGGGCCCGGGTTCCAGCTTAGCCGGGATGCCGGCTGAAACTAACGATCTACACACAGTACTATTCAAGCCGCCGTGGCGTGCGTGTCTCCCACCGGGAAAAAGAGCAGGACAAACCGTGGTGGCCTTACACATCCACGGATTTGTGACACTTTGCACATAAATGCGGTTCACAGATCTTTACGCCCAGTCTCAGACCGACTGAAATCTTAACTGTATCGTCATCAAGAAGATTCCCGATGTGAGCGGAGGGTAAGGCATTCAACCATAGGCCTGCTTCCGGTGTTGATTGAGCCATTAAGCGAGCACGGTTGACCTCATCGTCGCAAAAAATTTCTAGCAGAACTGACAAAGACACATTGCACAGCGGGAAGTCCCATGTGCGTTGTGCTTTACGAAACGTTGGTTCCGGAAGATCTGGGAGACGCGCTTTAGTCTTCCACAATTCCAAGGCGCCTGACACATCTGCAGGAGGGTAACCAGAGAGCAGTAGCGACACTAAGTCGGATGCGGAATGAATCGAAGCCAAAAAGGCTGGAAGTGCTTGAGTTGCACTGAGTTGCGTTGAGTTACGTTGAGTTGCGTTGAGTTACGTTGAGTTGCGTTGAGTTGCATTGATTTACGTTGAGTTGCATTGGGTTGCGTTGAGTTGCGTGCAATTGAGTTGCGTGCACCCTGCGAGATTTCGGTAACGAAAAAATAACCGCGTTACGTGCGAAAACAAACCGTGCCGTATCTATAGATCAGACTTTAGATTTAGATTAGATACTGTACTCTTCGTGGCGTAGTATCGGAAGTGGGCGTGGCTTTGCGATTCTGCTTCTACTATAGATACTGATTAGATAGAAGTGGTAAAACAATGCCGTATTGCTACTGCTTTGGTTTTCTATGAGCTTTCTGGTGTTATCCTGCCCATCAGCAGCACATCAACCTCGACCAGCGGTTCAGCACCACCTCACAGATCGGTTTACTGAAAGCGCGTATTCTCTCGCAGCTGGGTCTCCGCCATCCATCCGCTTATAATCGCTACGACATCGTCTGGCCAGCCCTCACTCCCTGTTCTTTCTCCCGTTCCCCCCGCTCCCCATCATCACCCCCGGGCAGTCCGGTTCTATTGGGTATGGAGCTGTTCGGCCGCGGGATGTCGGTGTATCTGGACAGGAAGAACCTGACCAGTCCGGGCTTCCAGACGGTGCTGCTGTCCGCGGCGGGAGTGCCGTATCTCGTGCGCAGTGCGCCGCACGGACGACAGTGTCACTATCGTGGCCGAGCGGAGATCTGTGTGGCCGGAGTGTGTCAGGAAGGCAGTGCGGCCATTAGTCTGTGTCAGGAACAAGATGGCGGACTGAGTGGCTACGTGAAAATTGACGGGGACGATGTGCAGATCAAGCCCCTGCCTGCGGCTGTCTCCAATCGGCTGAGGTGAGTGAGCAAGCAGGAAGCGCCGCTGCAACAGTTTCCAGTTAAACTTTGTGTCAGTTTGTGGTAGTCATTGTATTTAAGTTAATCTGATAATTTCTTTGTTAAATTTATTATTTGTGTTTATTTATCATTTATCTATGCAGCTATCAGCTATGCATTATTTACGTTGTGTTTATTTACGTTTATACATGTATTAATTTTGTGATAGAATTAGACATCGTGTTTACGTTCAATCTGTTAATTTCCTTGCACATTTTATAATTTTTATTATCTGTGTTTAGTTACGTTGCAAGCACTTGCAGTTTGTTTACTTATTTTTGCTAATACTAAAATTTTCGTATGCTGCAATTAAATCGCAGACCTGTCTGGCACTGTCATCTGCAAATCTTGTTTATTATTTATGTTGAATTTCTGTATGACGAAGACCGGTGGAAGAAGTCCATTATTAATATGAATTTGTTCGTGAATTTAATCTGTGATTTAATAATTGTGTCGGCAACAATGTACGCAATTTGGAAAAAATGTTGAAAATGCTAATAAAAGATCATATACGTGGTAGTAACGTGGATCCGTGTTTTTACTGTCAGAGAAGCCAGCGGCGCCCACCTGGCCAAGCGCCTGGAACCCCTGGAGCACTGGGACGAGTTGCGGGAGTTGAATGTGGACATGATCGACGGCAACACCCTGCAAGTGCCTCCTTTGCTGTCGCGCTCCTCGTTAGTCCAGGAGATCCGTCAGCGCTACGGCTTCCTCCACGACTGCGAACTGGTCGTGCCGCCCGACGTCCTGGCCATTTCCGACGACGTGGCCACCGCCGACGGGGGCCGCCTGCAGCTGGCCATCGCGGTGTTCGTTGACCAGACGATGGCCGGTCTGCTGCTACAGCAGTACACCACGCTCGATGAACAGACCAACGTCGTTCTGGCCGCACTCAACGCCGTGCAGGTGCTCTTCGACGACGACAGCTTCGGCCAGCCCAAAGTCAGGATTGTCGTCAAGCGGATCATTATTGATCAGACTGGCAAGACGTTTAAAGGTACTGTACAATACATCTTAACGATGCTACTGTATTTATCATGTTTTTCGTAGTGTAATGACTGCATAGGTTTGCTGCAAACAGCACTTGTCCAAGTGCTTGGTGTCATAATTTGTACGTATCGCTGTTCACGGAATCTGTAGATATATCAAACCTTTTGTAATTAAGCAGGTCATCCCCATTAAGAAAGACGTTTGATTGTCGGTGGCCGGTTATCGTTTTGAATAGCGATTCTGGTAGCGTAAATAGTTTGAAATTTAGTTCGAAAATAATAAGAATTATTTTATTTAATTTAGTTTTACGTTTTTAAAAGAAACCTTTTAACATTTTTTTTAAAATAAAATTTGATTTTTTTAGTTAATTTTTGCTTGTGAAACGTTTTTACTTCTTGACTTGGAAAGGTATATAGATTCTATCTTTACTTTAAAGTCTTATGTACGAGCATAGGACTTCAAAGTAATGATAGAATCTATAGTTTTTAACGCATTTTTGATATGGGGTGCCTCGGTGGCTGTGGAGGTGACGGTGAAGCGGAACAGTATTTGTTGGATTTTTGTCAGTATCAGGATCAGCTGGGCAGCGCCGTGGGAGGCACCGACTGGGACGTGACGGTGGCGCTGACCAGGCTGGACATCTACGGCGTCCTGGACGACGTGCGCAAGGACCAGATGGACGCCGGCATACAGTTCCCCGATAATCGCGTCTACGGCGTGACCGGCTGTATATTTGTTTGTGATTTATCAATCACGACGTTCTTTTCAGTTGGCTTTTATTTGGTTGCAGTGACATTTACGGCGGAGCGTGTCGAGCGCATCGCAACTGTGTCATCGCTGAATTCCGCAAAGAAAATGGAAACCGTGGATACGATAGCGCTTGAGGTGGGGGAATACCAGAATGAAACGTTTTTTTCGTGGAAATGTTTGTAGTGACTTTGTACATTCAATTTATTACTAAGAATCCATAACGCGAATTACAGTATTTACTGGATTTTGAAATTAATGTAATAGTTGCCTGCACACCTCATACTTCGTTCGGGGAATTAATATCGTGCGATCGTAGTACAGTGGGCCGATGTGCGTGCTGAACCGATGTATTGGTGATTTAGCTCCCAGCGTGTGCTTGAAATTCGACACTGCTCATGTCGTTAAACCTTTTCAACCGTCACCGTACAATACGACTGATATTTTGTTTTTCCGCTGAATATAGCTTTTGTATTATTATCGCTTGGTGTTGGCTTGATAGCGTTTGTGTCGTCTTTATTGTGAATTTTTAATTTGCCTAATAAATTTTATTTATTTGAATTTTTCTCTCATATGAATGTTGGTTATTTTCACACTGGGTTTGTTTCGCTCTTTTCTTCGGTGATGTGGCAGTTCGTTTTTACTAATGATCACTACCTTACTGCAGTAATTTTTGCGCGAATGACCGGTAATTCAGTTGATACAGCGTAATTTTGAATTATGTTACAATGGAACTGTGTGATCTTGCAGTTAACTGGGTCTCGCGTTGGACATGAGTCGCGACGGGAGCAGCAACACGCGCATCAGCAGTTTATACAGCGGCAACATCATGTCCCTGAGCAGTGCCAAGCAGCGCCTCGGCTGGTCGGTCTGCAGCGTCAAGAGCTTCCACGACTTCCTCACCAACGGCACAGGTCACCGTCTCCACGCCCACAGTGACGAACCGGAAGTGGCAGCACTGACGAATGGTTGAGAGCCAGAAACTGTATTTTACTGTTTGTTTTCGTTTTGAATATTTTTCCCGATTGGCGTCCTGTTTTTCTAGTCTTTTGTAGTATTGTTTACAGTATTTCTTTTCCGGTGCATTTGCGGACTGTATGTTTATCTGAACCTGTGATACAGTAGTAATTTATTTATTGATCGTTCAAATACATGGCGTTTTGCTTTACTTATTTTCCCTGTGGTTCATTTTGTCGTGAATTTTATCGCTTGGGAAATTGTGGCTAAATGTTGCATTGTGAGTTTTAGCTTGACAGGTACAATGCGCAGATGCAGAAGTTGCCGGAATTTTGAAGATTTATATGCAACAGTCGCATGTTGCATTCGCATTTACGGCTGCAAGAGACTGCAGTGATCTACCAAGGAAGTAGGCTGTTTATACAAATACAATAGATTCACTTGTACCGAAAATTTATTACTAATTATTTATTTATTACTAATTATTTACTTATTTATTTCTCTTGCATTGGTACGATAAAGCAGACCTATGCAGAATTGCAGATTAATAGTGCGCGTATTCTATAAACAAAACCTTTAAAATAATTCAGAGGTGTGGTCTTCTCCAAGACATTCAATCGACGGCGTTTACGCCTACTATTGTCCTTTGCATTCCTTCCTTGATTGACGTACAACTGTCGTTCTCATGCAGCGAATTAAGTATGCCAAAGGTCTTGGCTAACTTTAATCAAGGACTTGCTGTTACAGTGCTTCGCGTAAATTATGCATATTTAAACGCTCCGATTACAGATAAACGTTAGGGCCAAAATGATCCCGCTTATTAATAATGCATAAAGTTCCGTTTTTTCATTGGTTGAGTTACTTGAGTAGACTCAGTAGTCAGTACATGCGTCTTGAACTGAGAAAACAACCATAATTTGGCAAAAATTGATGTTGTCTTAGCTGATGCATCATTATGTGCATAGAATAATCGGTAAGTTTTGACATTCTACAATTTTTCGAGATTGTAGTGCGCATTGGGCCACAAATGCTCCACTTCTTTCCACAAAGATCGGTAAGCAGCCTGTTGCCTTTAACCATGCCTTTAACAAAATATGAAGGACTGCAATCATTTGTTTTATTTACCAATTATCCAGGAGGTTCTGTTTTTCTTGGATTGCAATGAGTGATGCGAAATTCTCCTTGCGGTCAGTGCCACGTATAAAAGGTGATCGAGAGTCGAGACAGCTAACTATAGCTTCGTACGCATTTCATTTCTTCTGAAACGTTTAAAAGTCATGCGCCAAATATAGTCCTCCAAGTTTATTAGGCCGTGCACTATGACACGGAAGCCCACACTTGCGCAGTTCCCGGTTTACTGATTGCTTATTGATAGAACGCTCGATATCGTTGCAGCTAATGGGGATTATTCTGATCTGCTGACCTTTAATGTTGTTCCCAGCTTGCCGTTGGTTGTTCATTCGTGTTACTGGATTTATTCAGAATGGAATTAATGCATAACAGCTTGTTTTTCTGCTCACTATTTTGTCCTTTTCGGCGCTTGTGCATTCGTGGTTGTTAGTCGATCGTCCGAGGATGCCTGTGGTAGGTATATCAGTTACGAAATTTCACCGTTTAACTGTTGTCCGATTCCGAAATCAAACAAGTACCGTAACGTCACTGTATTTACAGGACTGGGACATGACGGTGGCGGTCACCGGGCTAGATATCTGCGGCGTCCTGGACGATGTGCGCAAGGACCAGACGAACGCCGGAATTCAGTTTCGCGATAACCGCGTGTACGTCGTCACCGGCTGTCATATTATGTGATCTTTTACTTGATTAATATCTCAATTTATTGATCATGACATGGCGTTAAATCTGCTTTGTTTCTTCACAGTGACATTTACGGGCGGAGTGAGTCGGGCGCATCGCAACTGTGTTGTGGTTGACTTCCGCTGAGAGACGGAGAACGTAGATACGATCGCGCACGAGGCAACGATTTTTGGGCCCAGTTGGGGCACAAACATTTCATGGGTTTTCTGCGATTTGAATTTATTTGCACATCAGTTTTTAAATACTTCGCCACGGTTTTTTTTTAATTTTTCTTTATTTGGGAACAACGGCAGTCCAAATGATTTGATCATAGTGAAAGCGTCGTGTAGTGGTACTGTGTACTCTGCCTGTTTCGATATACGGTAATCAAGTATACTCGTACAGTTGAACGCATGTGAATTGCTGATTTTAAAGTACGGTCCTTGTTGAACTAGTTTTACAATTTACCTACTCTAGTAACTAGAATTTTAACTCTAGTACTACTTTAGTAACTAAAATTATTTTCTGATGTACTGTAATACTAATGGACCAGTAGTCGAGTATGTAATATAGGCTTGTATTCGAATTTGAGGTTGTCAGCACCGTCCTTGTTATAAGATTTTTTAAATTTTAATTTTTTCAATAATATTATCAATGAATTTGCTTGTCTTATGACCTTGTGACCTTATGACCTTAATGAGAGCTTAATACTTCCTCACCAACGGCAAAGGTCACTGTCTCCACGCCTACAGTGACGAACTGGGACTGACCGCACTGACAAATGGATATGTAATGCAAATTCATGTTGCTGTTTTGTATTCGTGCTTTTTCTTTTTGTCAAGTTTACTTCCACTTTCTGGTCGACAATGTTGAATTATTTTTTCTGCTGATTGATCATTTAGCAACCTGGTGTAGATAGCGCCCTGTGATACCATGATACTTTTTACTAAACCCAAAAAGCAAGAGTTTTTTACAGAGGTAGGCCCGCACATGGATAACTCTTTTATGACGCTATCCGCTCCAACGTAAAAGACAAGTACAGATATACGCGGCAGCCGGCTATTCATATGCAGTATGCCTTGTGCCTATTAAAATTTCTTCTTTCAGCGTATTTTATTCCTGACTAGATTATCTTTCTTGTTATACGTATTTAATATAATTAATCATCTTATAAGAAATTTTGCTAATTCATGAGCACTGGTATTTCAGCAACGAGATTATCAAACACTTACAGGCAACTACGCCAATAAGTGAGTAACCGTAGTACCATACTAATTTTTGTATTAATTTTTGCAACACATACCGCATGGTTGCGCGGTATTATGAAGCAGTCTGAAGCATTGTGAGCAGAACTAGCACCAAACTAGAATATTTCATCAATGGCGATCATTGGTATTGTGCCCAAATGAAACCGTCCCAGTACAGGGCTTACTACTTACCTACTTGAATAACAATAATACTGTAACATGACCACATTCTGTACAGTACTGCAGAGTAGATTAAGCAATAGAAAACTCAATCCCAAAATCGTTTTGTAAAACTGCGGCGTCAAATAGCCTGTTCGTAATTTTGTTTTGTGTTTCGCTGTTCACAGGTATGCCCTTGTCAGAATATTTATACGAGTAGAATGAATATAATAATTGTATCTGTATACAGATGAATAGCCGACGCGTATAAAATATACGAACGTTCTTCCATTAGTAAGAGTACAGCTGATACTGCCATTACAGTGACTTCACAGTCTCGAATATTGATCTGGAGTCCTGCCACGCTCGAGCAATGCAGGATGGATGAACATTAATTTTCATCAACTGAACGTGCCAAGCTTTCAGTATGGTTAACAATTGTAAGGCTGGATCACGGCATTGGTGAATGGGTCAACTCGTACCATGTATTGTATGTACGATGCAGTAATACCCTCTGTAAATTTGTGAAAAATCAATGGACCAGCATACGCGCTTGCCACCATGGTCCTAATCCCTTTCAACAGCGCAGCAAGTAAGTATAAGAACAGCTCAGAATCCACAGATTCCTCTGTAATAACAATGGCTATTGTATACCGGTATCTACAGTATAATTACTTTTGTATTGTATGGTACCAGCATTGCCGTTATTCTAGGATTGCGACTGTACGCGAGGAATGAAAGAACATCAATTTCATTCATTCCTCTGGTACTCATAGGGTAGTGTAGATCGAGTAACGGCAATGATACAAGCCGAACTTAAACACTGGCAGTGCCGCTCTACACTTCTCTATGCCGCCTATACTACTGTAGAGCGGCACTGACACTGGGCATCACTCTCAGAGATTGTATAATAATATCGATTCCCGGTCTCTTCATTCCCATACTCAACCGCTAGATGCATTTGCAGAATATTATCATGACAAACCTTAATAGTGTGTAACTCTACAGAATAACGAATAAGTTCGTGCCACGCTTAAAGAAGCTACCTGACATTTTGCCACTTTTATTTGCTGAAATTGCGACCCCATGTCTAATTCATCCAGAATAACGCAGGATAATCTTTATTTTTATAAATATTTTGATAGATTCACGGTCGACATTTTAAGAGATGACTTGATATTACGGGGATATGTGACAGACATCGCTGATAATGGGCTCATCGTCGACTTCCACCATGAAGGACAATCATTACAAACCGTCGACTTCTCGCAAGTCCGTCTCATGCCCACAAAATGTCGCACCGCTGAACGTTATTGCAAAAAAATATTCGCCATCAACTCCCAAGTAGAAGTTCTGTTACGGCCCGCTTTGTAAGACTTTAAGAACTTATAGTGGCTGCGAAAAATTAACTGCAAACGGTTGAGTACGAAACAAAATTTATGTTAGGGTAATACACCATTATTATGCATTGTACATGAAATGTATATGTATCTGCGTCGTGCTTTGAAAATGTGCGGTACTTGAATGCGAAGTAATGCTGCCTGTGTTCAGGAAACGTTTTGTATCGGTAAGAAGCTGGATGAAGTGTATTACAGATACATACGTAATGTAAAAGTAATGTATGGCGTTAATTTGCATTTTTACAACGTTCACATGAATAAATAATAAAAAACATTTTTTCTGAATTCTTCACCTTTCTATTATGTTAATTTGAAGTCTTTAATACGGCATAAAATACGAAAATATGTAGAAAGACAGGATGCGTACTCAGGGAACTGTCTAACTTACACATGGACATGGTGGCTATGTTTTCACAGAGATCAGCCGCAGATGTGGACACCAACACAAATACTGGAATGGGTGCCCGTATATCCGCCAGAGATACACCAGTACACTCCGAGTGAAGACGGACCCTTCGTCCTTGTGCGTATTCCAAGCGGAAGCACATCCAAACTCGCAGCCGTAAAAAATGACCGTTGCCTCGTTTATGCTAATGCAATACGTATCCGCCAGCGCCGGTTTTGGAAAACGGCAACGCGAGACAGCTTTACCAAAGTGTTGGTGAGGCACGAAGCCTGTTCGCTGCCAGACTGTCCGTACCCACATACCCCCCTCTTGTACGCGCTTAAACGGCTGGATGTGGCAGCAAAGCGTCTCTGGTTAGAATCAACGGGCACACTGATTTTGGCCGCTGACGAAAGTAGCATTACCGTACTCTGCCGTGGTACGCGAAAAAAGCGACGGGAGGGACAATTTCACCGCCTTATTTTTCATCAGTTTGGCATGTTGATCGAAGAAGGATTTTGCCGGGGAATGGCTCATTTTCGATGCCTATTATTCACCCAAAGAATGGTTGACGAAGGTTGTAATGTCTGTACAATAAGAATCGGTCTGGAGAAACTTGTAATTGGAGCTTCTTAAAACGCGATAATTATAATTATAAGTGATTTTTCTTAATCTGATTTTGTTGACAGGGGGTACTGCTGTGACCGAAACATGGTTCACAAAAACCTGCTCAAGGCTAAGGTTTTTTCCGGACTGGTTACGCTCACAGACAGGCGGATTTTCAAGCATCTACAGTGAGTTCACAAATACTGTATTTGTCATGACAATACGTGGTAAAATAACTAAAGTACAGCATTAGAATGTCAAAGAATTTTATCAAGCGGAACCTGTTCGGAACCGCTATACGTACTCCATATTGATACAACAAGTTTACAACCACTTCTTAAGAAGCTGCACCGCTCGTCGTTAGTTATATGTGGATGTTGGCATTCACAAAAGCTTTCTTCAGATCACAAGGAACCCTCGCTCCCACTAATAGGGGACGTTCCGGACTTACTCATCCTCGAAATCTTTGCAAACCTGGACAAAGTAGCCGAAACAGACTTACGACGGTAAATATTTTGTATATATATATATAGATATGTGCTTTTTCTATATAAAACTCCAGAAGGTGCCGGCGGCTGAGGTAGGCCCATACAGTCTATACTTGTGGCCTGCTGCCGTCATCCTTGCTAGACATGACGTTGCGGCTGTACTGTACATGGTATTAAATCTTATGAACCCCGCCACATTTTGCCTTATGTATTGCGGCAACGTCATACTCAGCCGAATGACGGCAGGAAGTACAGAGGCTACTTACGTTTAACTCAACCTTTTTTGCTGAATGTCAGACGGAGTGTTATTACTACCGTTATGACTACTGTATGCGGCAGGATATTATGTAGAATGTTGTAGTGCACGTGGAGTAACATACTTTCTCTAGTCTGCCTTATAAGTCAAGCCGATCTGTTGATTTTGCAGTCATACAGTAGAAAAAGCCGTTGAGACACAATCGTGAGACAGACTTGCAAAGATGTCGGAGCATTGTACCGTCCTTTTCATTGACAGGTCTCGCATTCATATATTGTCATTGTTGCTGCACAGGGTCTGTTGGAGATGGAACACGCTCCAATCGAGCAAAATTGCCGCCCGAACTGTCATTCTAGATGCTCCACACGGTTACGTGACGTGGCAGGATATGATGAAATACTTGGCAACCGCGCTCATTAATTACACAGATACTTTTACTCACTCCGTGCTTCTGAATCAGTTCTTCCACAGTCACAACTACGCAGCGTTACTTGTCATAACCCAACTAAATTTACCGCTAAAATATTTTTTGTCTTATCGGAAAACTTCACAAGTATGTCTTAAGTATGAACTGGAAATGTATCCCGCGGTATCCAACATGCAGATTTCTTGCGTTATGAAGACGAAAGATGCGACAAAGAGGACATTAGGTAACAATCATAGATTAGGTAACAACTACAAAATATGGAATAAAGCTTTAACCACAAGCCGTTTTACAGGAGTAATGTTGGGTGCTTCCGATGAAATAAAAAGTATGCTGGCTGACTCGCACGCTACATGGACGTATTGTTGCACAACGAAAAGAATGTCCGACACAATCACCGGCATTCCCCTGATGTTGACTGCCTTCAACACGACCTGTCTGGCGCAAACTTACGAAGCCGCTGGTAAACCGTATGGCGACCTTTACCAAGCAGGACAAACGAGACTGCAAGATGCTCGTCGGCACTGGCCAATCACGCCATCCGCTACAGGGCTACTTGAAATAATCTTCAGCAATTTTGCTCCAACTTATGAGCGGCGAGGATATCCATTCTCTTACGCTGAGGATTTCGTTCCCGAAAGCTTGAAAGTGTTAATCAGAAATCCGCGTATGGAACGAAAGGACCGTGCTAGTTCACCTGCGGTTGAAAGTTGGCTTCTTATTAGTTAAGCTCCGCCAGTTTTAATAGTTATTAGTCAGCCGTGTGGCGGCTAGCAGTGTTTCTGGCATTTAAATGAAATATCTATATTTCGAAGAAGAAAGTATCACTAACCGAGTTAGGGGCGTGTCACAAGCCGCTCGATTCGGCTCGGTAGTGCATAAGTATAATTACGCCAACGTTTCCGCAGCTACAGACTCTGTTTTCCAACAAGCATTTGATCAATACACATAATTATATTGTGCAGTAAGGTTGCAAGTTTAGGTCGTACTGTTAGTAAGTACGAGCACAATACATGTCGCAGCAAGATTAAGTAGATGGCTTGTCTTATGGTTATGATGCCGTAATCAGCCAGCTAATGCAAATAGACTGGCGATATCCTGTTACTAGTTGCACGTGGGGGTACATATACATGACTTTACTGTAGAAATAATAGAAGTAAGTTATACTGAAATGAAATACTATATGTTGAAACCAATTTATACCAAATGTACACATGTACTCGTATACAGATATATATCTGTACAAGGACAGTAGAATTGTGTCAATTGTCAACCTTCATTTGTATCTTTAGATGCAATAGTTTAGCTCTGACAATGTTGCAGAGCAGTAAAGAAATGTTGAAAAAATTTTCAGACGCATAATACAGCACTGGAAAGTGGAAAACTATAATTAAAACCAAGACACTTTCTTCTATGCCTTACGGGTCCGACAGCACGCTTTAAATTGGTTGCACACTGAGAATTTTGAAATATGTAGGGTGGCGGATCATTTTCACCACTTCCAGGCGAACATCTTGAAGGCATAAACCGAACACTAGCGGATCAATAACGGCTTGTATGTAATAAGCATATTCTTCGAACAAGTCCAGCCATTCAGACTCTTCAGTAGGGTTGCCAAATACTTGGCGAAGTCGACTTATCAAGTTAATAACTTGAGTTAATCGAAAAAACTTGGAGGAAAAGTCAAGTTATTAACTTGGACTTATTCTTTCAAACCAAGTCAATGAAGTCGACTTAGTGTGTGAAACCAAGTCCTCAAGTTCTGCTTCAAGTCGACTTAAAAGTTTTTAAAAATAATTTAAGGAATTTGAAAGTAAACCAACCAAATCCGCGTTATTTCTTTAAAATATTTTGATAATGATGTCGCACAACACAGTTTCGCTGTACTGTTCCCGCCATCGAAGCACGGGCTGCACGGCTGCATAGACTTTATGTGCAACCGTGATGCGAAACTCCGGGCGGATGACCGGAATAGTACATGGAAAGGTTGTGCGACGTCCAATATTCCCTCCTCTATAGGCAAATTTTCGTTTTGCTTTTATTTGACTTCAAGTCGGTTTGAAGTCGACTTCAAGTTAATAACTTGACTTGAGCTTTCAAGTTAAGTCAATCAACTGTCAGACACTCGCTTTAGCACAACCGGCACCATTAGTTCGTGAACCCCAAGCCAGAGTACGATACAGACAATGCAAGCCAGTCTTTTATTATGGTGCTGCCGGTGTTTAATGGGAAAATAGATTGCCCATATTCGGTTGACGGTTATTAAGACATGGGAGTACATCGTGATACCCATAACGACCCAGTCTCCATACAGGTACAGGATGCAGATTGTCAAGCGTGCAGTGGTGTCAGTGGTGTCATCTGGTAGAAAAGTTTCGATTACAATTTTGTAAAGCAGCTCACAGAAATTGTTCGTTGCGATGTTAGATACGAGGAGAGAAATTATGTACACCGTGAACGGCGTGATGAGGTGCCGACGGGAAGCGAAACATAGAAGCAGAAAACCGTTGGGTATCAGTGTTAAGAACATATTACTGTACATAAAGCGAATGACATGTAATAAGCAATCGCAGTGGAGTTTGGTTCTCCTAATTGTAATTCGAATGAATTGATTGATGAATTTGGTAGGAAAATCATCGCGAATGTAATATTGCGATAACGCTTCTTACGCCTGTACTAAACTGTTGTTACTGTTGTTACGCCTGTACTTCTTGCGCCTGTAGTAATTGGAAATCGTGCATTCAATCGCACAAAACGCGGATGGATGACGAATGACCTCGTGATAAATTGTTTTCAGCAACCATCGTTTATTTTTTGGTCGTCGCTACCCGGAACAGAACCCTAAGGTCGCGTGATCCCATGAGAGACAGACAGTTCTCTGTTTTAATATGGAAGTTGAACGATCGCACTGCACAGCGCATTGCCGCATATTGACGCAATGGTCAGCTTATGTCCTCTGATTGAAATCACCCCCGTCGTATAATGTACTCGTATCACGTATGCAGCTTGCAACAAGAAACGCAGAACATCTATAAGAATGCAGGTATCTGTATTGTACTAGTATACAGTACATTCAGATAATTAATACCCAACATTCCTTCATTCATATAGGTTGCTTATCAACCTACTAATGAGTTGCGAAAATTAAAAAAAGCATACTTCTGTAAATACCAAGACGATTCCTGAACCCAAATTAGCGTATAATATACGACATTTATGCAAAGAAAAGAATAGTAATAAAATCTTTCAAAAATTCCCATTAAAAGTTTATTTAAACTTTTAAGTACAGTAATTTATCAATTAAAAATAATTGTTATTTGTACTGAAGGCGGCAGCTCATGACCTGTATACATTGCACTAGCGAGTGTAGCCTGCGCTGATAAGATGTACGTACTACTACTATCTGAATTTCTGAATACGGTATGCAATACAAGCTGGTTAGGCCGGGTAGAAGTCAGTCAGCCCTGCTTGAAGTAACTGCGCTCGCTACTGCTTCGAAGCAGAAATCAAGTCCGTAAGTACTGTATTTGTACTGTACAAGTTGTACGGTAGTTTCCGTTTAAACCTGCTGGAGCTCCTCAGCTCATGACCTTTCATTATCTTGCTCTGCCACTAAATCCTTAAAGAACTATTTATTACTTTTAGTACCTAAAATATCTGTGCATCAGATGCTGGGAAACATAGAACTTCAGGGAAGTTCCACTAGAAATTACTCAGATAAATACTTCAGATAAAATTAATTTTGCTCCCGACAGATGACAATTAAAGCGTGTGTAAAGTCAGCGTTTTGTAGTTCTGTGCCGTATAAGCGAGCTCCAAAAATTTTATTCAATTCAGAAGCCCGTGAGAAATTAAGATAAAAATGGTGGGCTCAATATCAACAATAAAAAGAATTAAACTCAAAATCTACCAGAAATGGCAAGAAATTTGCACCAACATTCAGGGAATCTTATACAAGTGGCCGGTGAATGATTTCTGCACGGCCGACTGCGGATCACCCCGGTATCCGATGGACCCGGGGCCGTCGATCAGTCCCGACAGGCGCCGGGCGACGGCGACCTTTGCTTGGCCAGGTCCGGCCAACCTCACTTCCACGTACTGCACCGGCAGCTCCATGGTCTCCAACTGACCGGTGCCCTGTACATTCGCTGCCAGCGTGGTGGCCCCGCCGGACAGCAGGGACATCTATCCCGTGCCGCTTAAACTAGCGCGGACGGTGTCAGCCTGGATGTTGAACAGACGCAGCCCACCGGCGCCGGTTCACTGGACCTCCAGTTCCGGTTCGGTCAGCGCCGAGCCGTACTCGTTGGTGATGCTCCAAGGCCAGATAACACGAGAAAGGTGAAGCGGGCGGCGGTTACGGTGATGCGGATGTCCGGTATGGCGACCCAGTCATGCACAATTCCGTCAATTACCAAAAGATTGTTCCTACGGTATTTTTTTCCAACATTAATTTCACTGAATATTTGAAATATGTAAATATTTTGGTTTTTCCAACATTTTTTTAATTAATACGAGGTACTGGTTTTCATAAAGATTTGAATTAATAAACACGCTGTGAAAAAAATTGGGAAGGTCCCATTGTTTTTATAAAATTTTATTCAAAACCAAATTTAAGTAATAAGTAAGTAAAAAATTAATCGGGGAGAGTTTATTAAATGCTTCTTCATTATTTACACACTGGAGTATTCATTTTAATAATTGTCTGAAATAATAAATAGACCGTAAAACGAACACGCATGATTTACTGTAGTTTTCAGATGCGTTTCTAGACATCCAATTGCGTGTTTGTGTTTCTAACAACTTCAATTTTAAATTTCAAAAGAAATTTTAAATTAACATATGATCTACAAATATATTATTTCTATATAAATTTTATAAAATAATCATGCTTTTTTTGTATTAATTCATTTTTTTATAAAGTCATTATGGTTTTTTGAACGTTAACGTATTTTCTGTTTACCCGGCTCCGCGTTCTTTACCGACACCGATCCGCGGCACACAGCGATACAGGACTTCGTTGAACGAGAGCATAGTTAAACGGTAATACTATGCTCTCGTATAATTTGCAAGTTTTCCAAAATTCAGGCTGACGATGCCGCCTGTTGCTGCATGTTCCAACATGCACAAAATTCGTAGACAAACGCCTCCCCGTGGTGGCCACTGCGCCCGCCCCCAAAGAGCGCAGGTGCGTTGTTATGTGAACTGCTGCATTTCCCGTGAAATACAGTGAACTCAGCACTATGGACCCATGCAGAATAGCTTCAGGAACGCATACTGCCCCCCTTCGGTGGAGAAAATACGTAAAACGTGCCGATCATAAAAATATATGCGCAAACGCACAAAGAAATTTTCAGGCGAATAATACGGCCCTGGAGAATGATAATTAAAGCAAAGGCACGTTCATTTATGCTTTGCGTGTCCGGCAGGACGCTACGGTTAGGGTGCACGCTTTGATAATTTTGAAAATAGACTGACGGATCATTGCTACCATTTCCAGACGAACATCTTGTAGACATAAACCAAACACCAACGGATCGATAACCGCTTGTACGTAATAGGCATACTCTTCGAACAATTCCAGCCATCCCGGCTCATCAAGTTCCATGAAGCGCCGAATGATAAAAGACAAATTACTAGGAAAATAACAGCAAACCACGCTAGCAGTCATGAAGGTCAGCGCCGCAAACGATCGCGAGTGGATGTGTCGCCGAGCGTTGGAAATTGATGCGGAACGAGAAATTCCTTCATTCGAAATTTCCGCTTTGGAAAGGGATGTAGGTCGCCGGAACGTTTTCCAGAAGATGAACGGATATGCACCGAGAACGAAACAGACAGGAAAGCCATTGATAACTGGCGCTAGAACCGTAACGTAAATTTCGCTTTTCTCCGCTCCAAAATTGCATTCTGCATTTGTCAAGCTGTCAGACACTCGCTTTAACACAACCGGCACCATTAGTACGTGAATCACAAGCCACAGTACGATGCAGATAATGCAAGCCAGTCGCCTGTTATGGTGTTGTCGGTATTTAATAGGAAAATAAATTGCCCATATTCGGTTGACGGTTATTAAGACATGGGAGTACATCGTGATACCCATAACGACCCAGTCACCATACACGTAGAGAATGCAGATTGTCAAGCGTGCAGTCGTGTCTTCTGATGGAAACGTCTCGATTATAATGTTGTGCGGCAGCTCACAGAAGTTGTTTGTTAAGATGTTAGATATGAGGAGGGAAATTATGTACACCGTGAACGGCGTGATGAGGTGCCGACGGGATGCGAAACATAGAAGCAGAAAACCGTTGGGTATCAGTGTCAAAAACATAAAAGCGAACGACATGTAATAAGTTATCGCAGTGGTGTTGGATTCTCCTGGTTGTATTTCGGATGAATTGGTCGATGAATTTGGTAGAAAAACCATCGCGGATGCAATACTGCGACAACGCTTCTGACGTCCTCAAATGGCAATCTTGCATTCAATCGCAGAAAACGCGCATGGTTTAGCTGTGACCTTGTCATAAAATGTTATCAAAAACAATCGATTAGTGTTGGCCGTTGCTACCTGGAACAGAACCTTGAGGTCGCGTGATCCCATGAGAGGCAGTTCTATGTTTTACTTTGGAAGTTGAACGATCGCGTTGCACAGCGCACTGCCGCATATTGACGCAGTGGTCGGCTTATGTCATCTGACGGACGGAAATCTTCCCCATTGTATACAGTACTTTTACGCTTGTAACAAGAAACGCATGACAGCTACGCATAAATTTGTTAAATAATACATCAACATGCGTTTATTTTCATACAGGTTGTAACACTACGTACTAACACGAGAAAATGAGCCGAAATCTGGTGTCGTTTCGATCAAGAAAAGTGTTTAAATGGTTATCAAATTAATAAGTACTGTAGCGAAAATTCGGAATGCACCAAAATCCATGTACTTGTACAATGTACATTGCCTAATTTTCACAAGCGTTGCTGTAAAAAGCACATTGATACAAAGACGATTCAGAACCAAAACTAGCGTACGACATTTATGCCAAGAAAAAACAGCAATAAAAACTTTTGACAATTCCCAACTCATTCGAGAATTTCATAAAAGAGTTTATTTTTAAGGTAATTCTCAATTAAAAATATATAATTATTATAGATATTGCTATTTGTATAGCGATGGCTGCAAACTGCCACCTGATGGCGGCACCTCATGACCTGTATACACTAGCGAGTGAAGCCGCTGATAAGAGGTGCGTGCTATCCGAATTTCTGAGTACGAATATGCAGACACAAGCGGATCAATCCAAGGTAGACCCTGCTTGGAGTAACTGCGCTCGTTACTGCTTCGAAGCTGAATTACAGTGATTCCGTTTACCTGCTGGTGCTCTCTGCTCATTTCTCAGATTTCACAAAATACTGTAGCTCTCTGGTGCTTTGTGCAATATTTATACCATCTTCAACGCTGATGGCAAGCATGAAACTGCACAGAATTTTCCTGCCTATCCTGCAGTTGATTTTCGTTATCCTGCCCATCAGCAGCACATCCACCTCGACCAGCACCACCGCCCATATCAGTTTATTAAAAGCGCGCATTCTCTCGCAGCTGGGTCTCCGCGATCCATCCGCGTACAGTCGCTACGACATTGTCTGGCCAGCCCTCACCCCCTCTTCATCCTCCCGATCCCCCCGCTCCCCATCATCACCCCCGGGCAGTCCGCTTCTGTTGGGTATGGAGCTGTTCGGCCGCGGGATGTCGGTGTACCTGGACAGGAAGAACCTGACCAGTCCGGGCTTCCAGACGGTGCTGCTGTCCGCGGCGGGAGTGCCGTATCTCGTGCAGAGTGCGCCGCACGGACGACAGTGTCATTATCGGGGACGGGCGGAGATCTGTGTGGCCGGAGTGTGTCAGGAGGGCGGATTGAGCGGCTACGTGAAGATCGACGGAGACGATGTGCAGATTAAACCGCTGCCTGCGGCTGTCTCAAATCGCTTGAGGTGAGTGAGTAAGCAGGCAGTGATGCTGCGATAGAATCCAGTTGAACTGTATGACTGTAATCGTATTTACGTTAATAGTAAAATAATACAAATAAATACAAAATTAATACTAAAATACAAAATTAATACTAAAGTACAAAATTAATACTAAAAATAATACAATAAAATAATAATACAATAAAATACAATAAAATAATACAACAAACAATAATACAATAAAATAATACAATAAAATAATACAATAAACAATAATACAATAATATAATACAATAAAATAATACTAAAAATACAAAATTAATACTAAAATACAAAATTAATACTAAAAATAATACAATAAAATAATAATACAATAAAATACAATAAAATAATACAACAAACAATAATACAATAAAATAATACAATAAAATAATACAATAAACAATAATACAATAATACAATAATATAATACAATAAAATAATACTAAAAATACAAAATTAATACTAAGGCCTTGTCCCGAATTCAAAGCGAATCTCGTTATGGTACGGTTGCTCAACCGCACGAGGTGGCTGTATGCAGTGGCCACGCCTACAGATACGGTACGCGAAGCCACCTCGCGAGGTGGAGTTGCTGTATCGCAACGAGATTCGTTTTGAATTCGGGACGAGGCCTAAAATACAAAATTAATACTAAAATTAATAAAGGAATTAACAGATTAACGGTTAATCTGTTAATGCCTTTATTAATTTTAGTATTAATTTTGTGTTTGTTTACGTCCGTTAGTTCCGTTGTTACGTTATGTTTATTTACGTTTATGGTAGTCAGCGTGTTTACATGCAATGTATTACAGTAATTTTTTGCTGGTTTTATAATATTTGTTATTTGTATTTATTTACGTTGCAGGGGCTTGCAGTTGGTTTATTTTGATGTTTGTTGATACTGACATTTTTCCTGTACTGTAATTAAATCGTAGACCTGTTTGGCATTGTCATCTTAATATGGAATTTCTTGGTTTATTATTAAAATTTTGTTTTGAATTTCTGTATGCCGTAGACTGGCGGAAGACGTCCATTACCGGTGATAATGGACGTCTTCCGCCGGTCTTTGCCATGCAGAAACTCAAAACAAATAATTAAGCAAAAAAAACAACTAATAATTAAGCAAAAAATGCATAGTGATAATTTATCACTATGAATTTTTTGCTTAATTTTTTCGTGAATTTAACCTGTGATTTAAATAATCGTGTGGGCATGCAGTTTTGTGCGATTAATAATTAATATGATAATTTTAACTTAAATTACTGCTTTTCAACTCGAACTGCGTGAGTTATCTAATTGGCAAAATTGGCTGCGTTTTAAAGTGCTCCGCCGAAGTAGTTCTTAATAATAGTTTATTTTTTTAGAATGTCTGCTGTCTGGCTACAGCTGTCTGCTACTGCTGTCTGGCTGATTCTTTTATTATTTATTTTTTTTCCTGAGTAACGATAGAGTGCAAAATGTACGCAATTTGGAAAAAGTGTTGAAATGCTAATAAACGATCATATACATGGTAGTAACGTGGATCAGTGTTTTCCTTTCCAGAGAGGCCACCGGTGCTCATTTAGCCAAACGGTTGGAGCCTCTGGAGCACTGGGACGAGTTGCGGGAGTTGAATGTGGACATGATCGACGGCAACACCCTGCAAGTGCCTCCTTTGCTGTCCCGCTCCTCTCTAGTCCAGGAGATCCGCCAACGCTACGGCTTCCTCCACGACCACGAACTGGTCGTGCCGCCCGACGTCCTCGCCATCTCCGACGACGTGGCCACCGCCGACGGGGGCCGCCTGCAGCTGGCCATTGCGGTGTTTGTTGACCAGACGATGGCCGGTCTGCTGCAGCAGCAGTACACCACGCTCGATGAACAGACCAACGCCGTTCTGGCCGCGCTCAACGCCGTGCAGGTGCTCTTCGACGACGACAGCTTCGGCCAGCCCAAACTCAGGATTGTCGTCAAGCGGATCATTATTGATCAGACTGGCAAGACGTTTAAAGGTACTGTACATCTTTAAATAACGATGCTGTGGAGCACACCGTGCTACTGGATTGATCATGATTTTCGTAGTGTAACGGCTGCATCGCCATGAATTCCTTGCTTCAGTATGCTGCATATAGGACTGATGTCGTAATTTGTAAATATGTACGAGTCTATACGAAATTGTCAAATCTTTTTCTAATTTGTCAGGTCCACGCAATAAGAACGGTTTTTGATTGTCGGTGTTTATCGTTTCGGATAGCGATTGTGGTAGCGCAAATAGTTTAAAATTAAATAAAATAAATCAGAAATTATTGTCGAAATAAATTTCGGTTTTACATTTTTAAAAGAAATCTCATTTAAAAATAAAATTTACTTTTTTAAGTTAAACTTTGTGCGTGAAACGTTTTTATTTCTTGACTCGGGAAGGTGTTGTACGAGCATAAGGCATTCGAGCAACAATAGAATATGCATGGAGTTCGTCTTAAAGTATTTTACGATTAGTACCCTATGGCTGTGTAGGTGACGGTGAAGCGGAACAGTATTTATTGGACTTTTGCCAGTATCAGGATCAGTTGGGCAGCGCCGTGGGCGGCACCGACTGGGACGTGACGGTGGCGCTGACCGGGCTGGACATCTACGGCGTCCTGGACGACGTGCGCAAGGACCAGATGTACGCCGGCATACAGTTCCCCGATAATCGCGTCTACGGCGTCACCGGCTGTATGTTTGTTTTTTGTTCTACCAGTCACCGAATCACGACAGTCTTTCCAATTGGCTTTATTCTGTTGCAGTGACATTTACGGGCGGAGCGTGTCGGGCGCATCGCAACTGTGTCGTCGCTGAATTCCGCAAAGAGATGGAGAACGTGGATACGATCGCGCATGAGGTGACGAACACTAGCAATAAAGTCTTCGTGAAAATTTGTTTGTATTTATTTTATTTGCCCGCAGTTATTCTTAAAAATCCATAACGCAGATTGTTTACTGAATTTTTTAAAATTAACGAAATAGCAGTAGCTACTGCAAACTCGAACTTGGAAATGCATTGTACTTTGTATTTGTAACGTCGTGGAATCGTAGTGCAATGGATCGATGATTCGATACTTCGGTTGCGGTGAGCCTAAATCCGTTATTTACAGTAATTCAGCACGCAGTGTATATTTGATATTTAGTATTGCCCTTGCCGTTAAAATTTTTTCTATCATCACCTTATAATTTGGTTGCGATACTTGCTTTTTTCTACGGATACTCGCATAACTGACTTACTTGCCGATTGGTGTTTGCTTGATAACGTTTCTCTCTTCTTTGCTGCGAAGTTTCTATTTGCCCCTTCCATCTTTTTGCAAAAATTACATATGACGTTACTCGATAAACACCTTTAATATAATATAAAATATACCACAGTGAAATTATGTGCTCTTGCAGCTGGGTCACGCGTTGGGCATGAGCCACGACGGGAGCAGCAACACGTGCAGCAGCTACAGCGGCAACATCATGTCCTTGAGTAGCGCCAAGCAGCGCCTCGGCTGGTCCGCCTGCAGCGTCAAGAGCTTCCACGACTTCCTCACCAACGGCAAAGGTCACTGTCTCCATGCCCACAGTGATGAACCGGAAGTGGCTGCGTTGACGAATGGATGAGCGGCATAAACTGTGTTTTACTGTTTGTTCTCATTTTAAATATTTTTCCCGGTTGGGCTACTGTTTTTCTAGTCTGATACTTTTTTCCAGTATTTCTTTTCCGGTGCATTTAGCGGACGGTGAGTTGATCTGAACCTGTGATACAGTAGTACGAGTAATTAATTTATTGATCGTTCAAGTATACGACGTTTTGCTTTACTCATTTTCTCTGTGATTCATTTCGTCGTAGATTTTATTGCTTGGAAATTGTGGCTTAACGGTGCATTTTAAACAGTTACAATGCGCAGATGCAGAAGTTGCCGGAATTTGAAGATTTATATGCCACAGTCGCATGTTGCATTCACATTTGCGGCTGCATTAGATTGCAGTGATCTTTGAAGGAAATTAGAGCTATAGATATTTATACAGTAGATTCACTTGTACGGTAAATGTATTACTAATTATTTATTTTTTCCTTTGCGTTGGTACGATAAAGCAGACCAACGGACCCGCAGTTTTACTATGCAGCTTAATTGTCCGCGTATTCTATAAACAAACCTGTAAATACGTCATTCAGAGGATTGGTCTTATCCATGACATTCAATCGACGGCATTTACACTGACGTTCGACATAAACTGTGCCTCATCCAGTGTCCTTTGCAATCCATCCTGGCTTGACTAATAATTGTCGTTTTCAAGCAGCGAATTGAGTAAGTATGCAAAAGATGTGGCTAATTTTAATCAAGGACTTGCTGTTACAGTGCTTCTCTTAAATTATGTATATTGAAACGCTCCGATTACAGATAAACGTTATGGGCTAAAATGATCCCGCTTATTAATAATTGCATAACGCTCCGTTTTTTCATTGGTTGAATAGGCTCAGTACATGGCACTACATGCGTCTTGAACTGCACCTGTAAGAAAACCACTATAATTAATTTTGACAAAAATTAATGTTGTCTCAACTCATGTATCATTATACATAGAATAATCAGTAATTTTTGACATTCTACAATTTTTCGTGATTGTAGTATGAAATGGGCTGCCCTCCACTTCTTTCCACAAAGACCATTAAGCATCTTGTTACGCTCCCACGCCTTTAACAAAATACCAAGGACTACAATAATTTATTTAATTGACCATTATGGCATTATCCGGGAGGTTCTCGTTTTGTATTTTCTTGGATTGTAATGAGTGATGCAAAATTTTTCTTGTGGTCAGCGCCAGGAATAAAAGGTGAGCGAGACAGCTAACAATAACTTTGTCCGCATTTCAGTTCTTCTCAAACGTTAAAGGACCTGCACCAAATATAACCCTCCCAACTTGTTCTACCGTGTACGAGTGACATCGCAGCCCACACGTGCGCAGTTTCCTGTAGACCGATTATTTATTGATACAGCGCTCGATATCGTTGCAGCTAACGGGAATTATTCTGACAATCTGTAGTTCCGGTTAAGAGCACATAAATAACAGGCTTATTTTATCCCGCATACAAGCACTATATTCGCGCGAACTTTGTTTCTATTTCAAAGGTAGCGCAGCGGCACGGAATCTATTGTGTACTCGCATTGCAAATTTCTGTTGTTGATTTTTTATGTTGTTTCCTTGTTGTTAGTGGTTCATTTGTGTTACTGGATACATTCAGCATGAAACCGAAGCATGATAGTTTGTTTTTCCTTCTCACTATTTTATCATTTTCGGCGCTTGTGCATTCGTGGTTGCTAGTCGATCGTCCGATGATTCCTGTGGTAAGTATACCCGTTATAACATTTCATCGCTGAACTGTTGTCCGTTTCCGAAACCAAACAAGTACCTTGAGGTCACTCTTTTTACTTTGCTTTGCATCTATAAAATACGATTATGCGGGTAGAACTATCTCAGAGTGCTTTATACATAATTACAATTATGGGACGCGAGAAACAGTTTCTACTAACTGCTGTTAATAACACAGTTAGTGTGCAGATGCAGTTACTGTTGAAACTATTACGTGCTTACTTTGTCACACATTTTTAGGAACAACAACAAGCGGCAGCCAATCATTTTGGCGTGCCAGTACAGCACCTTAAACAGTACATGCGATTACCGAGCCAGTCGCAAACTGAACGACAACGCCGATTGAACGCTGCCTTTTTAAAAGGCCTGGCCAAAACATTTGGTAAGTTTCTCTTAATTATGTATTTAAAATTATGAAAAACCGGCATGCTACAGGTAGATCGGTGATTGGTACTCAAGTTATTCGGTACCTCTGTACATAGGTAGTAAGTACCAACCTGAATAACTACTCTAGATATCACACCCTCAGTATATAATTACATACCATATGTCTGTGGTATGAACGTTTTTAGATAGTCATCAATTTGATTACAAAGGTACAGTATACGAAATAGTCACTGCAGGAATTTGTTGAATGGGGAATATGATTTCCAACTAATAAAATATTAACTAATTGTAAGAAAATGCTCAGTAAGAGCTCCAGTGTAAAAATGCTTTAGCATAAATCTTTCCATTCACAGGCAAACAAATTCTTATTAACGAAGATATTGGAGCCAGCTATCCTTGATCTCAACCCAAATGGATCGCACACTTCCGAAATTCCCCGTACGAACGTGTCCCATACCAGAAATCATAACGGCATTGTTAGCTGAACACAATGTAACAAAGGTTTAATATCCATGAGTTTGATGTTTGGGAATTAATAGCAACTACACAGGTTCATAATAAATGTATCTAACTACGTCGAACTTTCCTCTCTTGTATGTACAATACAAGTACATATGTACGCATATAGTGTACCTCACTAGCGCCAGATTTGGGTTTTTGATAACTACTGTAAGTTTTCTACCACTATGACTGTTAATTTTTTTGTTACCTTACTAACGCGACCAATTGTAGCTCTAAATAATGTATGTTAGATATTTAATAAAACAACTTCCCCAGAATGTACCAACTTCAGTTGTTTTCTTCGGTTCGATGATCCAAAGTATGAGCCTAATGACTACGTTTTTTTAAAGAGTTCAGAACAGCTGGTCATTGCAGAACGTCATTACAAGCCTATCATGTGACCGAAAAACAGTCAAAGTTTCACGGTTATTTCACTACGTAGGCGTAAAGTGACGAGATGTAGGATATTAAACCCAACCGCAGCACTCAGCATGGCCTTTCTTTATACGACGTTATAGACGGTCGTATAACTAGGGAAGTGCACCGCTGTAGCTAGCACTAAAAGACCGAAGCGAAGCTAGAAATGATCTGAGATACCTGTTTAATGTTGTAGTACAGTTTTTAACTTGTAGACATTTAAAGGACGGTTGCATTTTCACCCATTTGAAATCTTCGTATTTAGTTGACTTCATCCAACCATTACAACATTCAGGGTATCTATAAATTCATAGACAAAGCAGTTTTACGCTAAGGTTTTTAGGACATTCGTTGTAACCGCTCTAATTCACGTTTTCTTTGGTGAGTGGCTTTCTTCTGTTTGATCGACTGCAACAACTGAAATGGAAAGACCGGTTCGACGGCCAAACCATTCCAAGACTTTACGCGTGAAAATCCGACGTATATAAGCCCAGACGCAAATTCACGTCTTCCAATGTGTATGACGGCCTTGTCGCATGTTATGCCTTGGCCTTTGTGAATCGTAATAGCCCAAGCCAAGGTTAACGGAAACTGTGTTCTGGAGCAGTTTTGAGACTTCTCCGTCCATTTGGTTGTTATTGGCGCAATTGGAACGCAGTTGTTTGCGAAAGTTGGACCAGTATACTTGTCAAATTCTACTAAAATAACGAATGGCAAGGAATCCGTCGGTGATGTGCCAGGTTCGTACACAATGTCTCTGACATATCCTAAGGCACCATTAACGAGCCCCTTTGCAGTCCACAGGTTGCGTTTGAGCATCACTCGGCTTCCTCGTGAAAGGTACAGGGTTGACTCCAGCCCCATAGCCTGCTCCTCGGTTCCTAACAAACCACAAAATGGTTTAAACGCAAAAATAACAAACCACACATTCTTGCCCTTTGATGCCATATTCCCGTTGTGGTCCGCTCGTATGCGGGCTACCGGCATATTAAGGTTAGTAAGGGCTTTTTCGTTAAAGCTTCGAGCAGGGTCTCTTTCCGAAAATAGATGAAGCGCTCCACGAAAGCCGATCTGATCTTCGGCAGGTAAAAGGGAATGAACTCTAGTCATAATTTTGTCGTAATCATCTTGGGTGGAATCGCCGGTGCTGATTCGATCCAGTGCATCACGTAAATGCTGCTGTTCGGTGTCGGTGCCGCTCTGTCGGTGTGAGGTTTGAAGAATGAAGGACTTCGTAAATGCAGTACGGTAGATCATCTGTCCATAGTCGGCAAGCTCGCCAGCAAAGCCGTCCCCGTACAAGGGCCTGTCCAGCACTGGAGGTAGCTGATTAATGTCTCCAAATAGGTAGACAAACATCCCGCCAAAGGGTTCATCAGAATTCTCAGGTTTTGCCTGCCTGCATCGTTTGTCCATTTTAGCCAGCAGTGCACATTCATACCGATACCAGTAATCTTTTATCTTCCACCGTGGTGTCAGTATCTTGTGTATGAACTGCTGCGAGCGCTCCACAAAGTACCAGTCTGCAATTAACGGATTCTCTTGTAACGCTTTTGTTCGTCTTCGAAGTATCTCCTTTTCGGTACAGTTTTCGGAGGTTGTCGTCGGATCGATCAGGTCAAATATTTCTGGCCAATAAAGGTCTGCCGCTGACAAAGTAAAAAATATTGTCGGTACGCCAATTGACCTGACCATATCAGCTAACTCCGCGCTTCGTTGAAACCAGTATGATCGGGTGCCGCGCAGTTTAGCCCCGTAATTCATAATCTGCTTGATGAGTTGCGGGTTGTGATTTAACATCTCCCGTAGCTGCTCCGATGTCACATTTCCCAAGGAGCTTTTCCTTACAAAAATTTGGCCTGTTTGGAGAGCTTGCCAACGCAAGACGCTGTTCAAGGCAAAAAACCGGAACGTAGGATGCTTCGCAAATCTCCCATCCGCAAGGCGCATTAAATGTTTGAAATATTCAGTTTCTGTAACTGGATTTGCGCGTCCTCGGTTGTCTCGCAGATCAGCATTTCCGGTTGGAAATAGACAGGGAAACGCTTGGGCTATGTAACCGGCAGTGTTAAATTCATCGATGGGCACTTCGTTCATTGCCGGATACGGAACCCGTACATCGTCCGCTCCAATGGCTTCCCTGATTTGGGCTGCCTGGTTAATTTGCATTATGTTGGGCACACCAGTGTCGCTAACTCGTTCAACCTCATCAGAAAACTCCGCTGGTATAGCATTCATAGTTGCCAGTAGCGAATGCAGATTACCATCCTGGGGCAAAGAATTCAGTGCTCTTTCGTCGATTTGGATGTCCTTGTACCACATGTTGTGCTTCTTAAGCCATAACAACGCCCGTCGTACTCTCGATGCGGATACTCTGAACGCCGTGTAGTTGTCAGCATCGTGGCGACTGGTGACTACCACAGACATGAGATCGCTTGGGTGGTGTGGAAGTTTTTTTGCAAAACCTTTCACATCTTGCAGAAAGTTAATAACGTTTCCAGTATATCCCAGCTGTTGACCTTTACCAATTTTGTATACGGAGACAACGGGATGGACTTTCGCTATTAACTGTTGCTCTATAAACGATAAGCATTTCAGTGCGGGTGGAATTTCGCCAGGATCCATATTGTTGCTTTTCGCAAATTTTGGATTCGGTTTGCGGCAGTTTGCACAGAGCTGCTTGCTGTCGAGCTTCAGGCCAGGCCAGGCTTCGTTACATTTTTTGCAGGTCGACCATTTGAATTGTTGCATTTTTTGTTCAAGTGTTGTGGCTATAATCTGCGGGTTTAACAGATTGCTAATGCGGCGTGTTCGTGCGTGTGCTGTTGCATCTCTCTGACGTTCTTCCGCTCTCACACCGGGATTTGCTGCACGGCGCTGCGCACGACGTTCTCTTTCCCGTCGATTAACGCTTTGTTGGTGCTCTGTTGAGGCGGTACTACGTCTCCGGGCATGCGCTTCCCTGTCTCTGCGTTGCCTAGATCGCCGTTGGGCTGATGACATATTTGCCCTTCTCCTTGCTTGGCGTTGCGCGTTCTGCTGTTTTATCCTGATTGCGTTTTCTGCTGGTGATGTCTTTCGATCTAATCGAAAGGAAATTATTTTGAAATTAAAATGCAATGACAGTAAGCTGCAATCAAAATGCATGACATACAGTTTTGTTTATGTGCACGTGGTCCGGTTTGTCGCGGGGTTGGCTGGTTAGTCACTCCTGAAGGTCCTAGAACCATGCGGACTCTACATGGAATGAATAAATTGCGCTTAACGGCGATGACCGTACCTGCTGAATCGTCCGTTCTTTTTCGTCTTGCAACTCCTCCGGCAGGCGTTTCGCTTTGCGTTTAACGACCATTTTGTTCAATTAAACAACGAAATTTGTGATGCCGGTACGAATATGTATGACCTTTATAATTGTTTTATTTTTTCCAGTACCCATACTTCGATAGTAATACGCGCACATCCATAGCAACTATTCCTATTGTACATTTTTTATTGTATTATTTTATAGCAGTTTTGGACCCACGGTCAACGCACCGTTGCACCTTTGTGCCTATTAGTATTTATGTGTACCTTGTAGAAATTTAATGTGTGCGGCTAAAGCTAACTGGTGAGGCTTATACTATGGCCTATACTACGGATTGCGTGGCAGACGGACAGACAGGCTTAGGCTGTTAACTGGTGAGGCTTATACTGTGACCTATACTACGTACTGCGTGACAGACGGACAGACAAAAGTCCCGTTTTCTTGAACATAGAGGACCTCCGCTTCGCTTCGGTCGATTATAACGAATTCGCGAATAACGAATTCGAATTCTTCATAATTCATAATTCATCAATTCTATAACGAATTCTTCATTACGGAATTCACAAGTTCTGTAATGAAGAAAATTTGTAGTGAAATCAAGAAGTCATTACTTTAGGCAAGGTTACTACCCTGTACATCTTGCTTTAATCCAGTTTGTATATGTGTTCAAAACAATCAGGGCCATTTTAATTCACTAACTTTTCAACGAAATTGTACAGTTCTTTCTCAGAGAAAACTAATCACATGATGTTGGATGGATACTTATACTACAGATATACTGCATGGTTCAATTAACTTTTTTCGATTAAAAGCAGTTATCATTTGGATGCTCCTGTAAGTAACGAATCCTTCCCGAATAATTACGCCGAGTTCAGGAATTTCCTCAGCCGTTGGCTGGATATACCGTATCTCGCCGATGCGCCGCAAAGGATGATAACATCTTACATAAACTGCAGTTAATTAACCCACAGAATTAATTAACCCACAGAAATTGTGACAGAATAATAATTTATCATGTATTCATATAGGTGTAATGCATGATTTTACATACAGTGCACAGGTACTGGTAAGTATTGTATAACTATAACTATAGAAGGTATACAAGCAATACAACTGGAAATGCGTGGTCAAAATATACTATAGAAGTACCTATGCACGCAATGCGTGAAAATGGGACTTGTAGAACTCTTTTAGCGACGTATTCGTTATGTAAAGATACGAGTCAGTCACTATCTGCATTACATAATCATTTAACAACTACAAGATAAGGAAATCGTTAGATTCGGCTTTTCGATAAATAAAATAAAGTTGGCTTGTATGTTTTCACTAGTTGAATTTAACAGAATCTTAACTGTACTGCATTACGTATTATAACTGCAATTGTCTTAATTGCTGTAATTAGCCTGTAAACTTGGGTAGTGAACCCTGTACCTGCAAGCACACATTACTGCGTTCCTACTAATGAGTACTAGTGCATTAGACTTTAGAGTATTTGGAATTTTGTGTGATGGTTCACTCTTCTAATCACTCTAAAGCGAAGCTGTCATCTCTAACAATAAGCAGTTTTAAGAAACTAACAATAGTTTAGTTTTTGGTATAACGCTTAACTGTATCCAACCTTTTAGTATTTTCTTCGGTGTCCCGCGACTGACAGCATTATTTGTAATTTCTGTTAAAGCTTCCCATAAGTATTCAGTAAGTATTTCACTCAAACCGTGGACTCGAATGGAGGAACTACCTGGAACCGGTTATTTTGACGACGAACTCATCCGCGAAATTCAAATACGCGGCAGAAAGTGTTCTTACCAGATCAACGACGATAACGAAATTTCGAGAAGCAGCTGCGTTGTTTCCTACAAACCGGAAATCGTAGAAGCAACAGGAACTGGTGCCCGAAATAAAATTGCTGGGCGTGTTACTGTAAAAGTGGTCAAGCTAGACTTCAAGCATCTTTTCGAGTTGGACACCTTTTCGGGTAACTGGTTGGAACGGATGCGCATGTTAAGGAGTGCAGATCATGAACATCTTCAGCCGTATCACAAAATTACTGTTTTATCAACGCCGGACGCCGACTACAGTATATTGGCGGAGCTGGTGATGGGTACGTCCCATGGTAATGTCAATTTAGCGGCCAATAACATTGAAAACACATTCCTAAGTGCCGAAGATTCTACGAATAAATTAAATACACCGTCTTCCAGTAACATGTTTGATTGCATAATATAATTATGTATTTGCGGACAATTGTCGCGAGTGATGCTGATTTTCGAAGTTGCGCTGGTTCAGGTTATAATTTGCTGCAAAACGTTGGCTCATTGAACATTATATTGTGGTAACGTGTAAACGAGCGATCCTGATCACTACGGCTTTGTTTTGGCTTGCACAAAAGCCTATGCAGGCATGAACGAGTGGAGTTTTCGTTTTTTGAAGTACTTTTAGCCATTTTATTAGCTTCTTTGAGCGTTATGTAATGCGTCCATAGTACGGACCAGCTAATGGTCATGACCTTTTACTAGGCACTAGATATTGCGTCTTTGGTCAATACAGTATATGCAAAGTTGCAAACTCTAACGTTAAAGTGAAGTTCTAATATCTGCTTTTTGTATGCCGTTTCCAGGGTATACCTTACGCCGTATGATCAAAAACATAGCGGAGAAACGGCGTTTGTTAGGAATAGCCGATGCCGTGCGAATTGCTTTGGATATCACCAAAGGGCTGGAATATCTCCACGACCACAGAATTACCCATGGGGATCTGAGCCCCGTCAGTGTATTCCTTGTTCCATCGGGAAGCGGCAGCGACACGGTTATGATCGGAGAATTAGACGGACTGGGAATATTGCATGTGATACATGGCCACAGTGTGGCGAGAAGCGAGAATCAGAGCGTTACCGATACAGTTCGCTACATGTCTCCGGAAATGTTAACCAAGGTGGGAAAGTACGGTCCCCGATACCGTGTAACACCGCAGCAAACACCACCTCCTGTTTACCAGCCCATACCTTCATCGTCACATACGGCTTCCACGGCAGATTATAGCTCTCTTCAATCAAGAGCTGCTCCTTCGCAGACGGACGATCTGGATAAATTGCAACAACATAAAACTGATATCTGGAGTGTGGGATGCATTACCGTGCAATTGCTTAACTGTGCCACCGGTGACAGTAAGGCATGGATATCTCGCGGGGAAATCAGATTGGAGGTGGGGTTGCAGCTGTCGGATGTGGATTTCGCTCAGAAAATTATGGCTGGATACGGCCCTGCGGTTGCCCCATCTGTACCGAAAAATATCGTAAGATGCACGGACTTATGCCTGCGAAGCGATCCCATTGACAGAATTTCTGCTAGTGAATTACGACGCGAATTGGAGTATTGTCTGACTAAGTTATGAACCATGTAACCCAATTTTAACGATACTGAAACTGGCAACACGAAGCATTACAATTGTATATGCGTACATACTACATAGTAAATCTAACAAAAGACATTTTGTTTTATCAAGTACTTCCAAGAAATCGCTGTAACTGTAACTGCAGTCGATAATCTATATTCGTCAATCGATTTTTATTTACTACAGCCTTAAAAACTGGGAACAGCATTCAATAAAAAAACAAAACCTGCAAACTCAAATTAAGGACCTTTGGAGCAAACTAGAAGAAAACCGGAAATCATTGCCCGGGTTTTCTGCAACATTCCGATAACTTCCTGTCGAATATCCCGTAAACATAACCCAAAAACAATCGGATCGAGAACCGCTTGAGTATAGTACGCATACTCATCAAGTGCTTCCCAGAAATCGGTTCTCTCATAATCCGTAAAACGTTGCACAATAAACGCGAGATTGATTGGAAGGTAGCAGCATACAACGCTAACCGTCATAAAGGTCAGCGCTGCAAAGGACCGCGGCCGCTTTTGTGGGCGGTTTACTACATTTGTCGAGGGTGTGTGCGAGACCCCACCCGTGATGGATTCGGAAACCATGGAAGTTTTCGCTCTGTGAATAGTCTTCCAGTAGATTAATGGATAAGCAGCTGCACAGAAAAATGCGGGAAAAATGTAAATCACGGGTCCGACAACGTCTACGTAGGTACTTGATCCTTCGTCATCAAACGGACATGTTGAGATGTCGGAGAAGATCACCGAAACTCGCCCCATTATCATTGGAGAGGCGAATACGTGGACTAATAACCAGTTAATGCCACAAATAATTATAGCGACTTTCAGATTATGTCGTTGCCGGTAGTGGATGGGAAAATACACTGCCCATAATCGGTTTACGGTGATCATGACATGGGAATACATGGTGATACAGCTAACCACCGCGTCGCCGTAGATTGTCAGGAAACAAATGACACGATTGGTTGTTACGCTACCGTGGTCAATGTATTCGGCGATAATATCATACGGTAACATACAAATGTTGTCCGCCAAGATATTAGAAATAAGGAGTGAGATTATGTAGAGTGTAAAGGGGGTGACCAGATGACGGTGGAACGCGAAGACGGACAGAAGGAAAGCGTTGGGCAGCAGTGTTAAAAACATAAACACCGTTGACATGTGATAGAATAGATCATTAGTTAGTGGACTTTCTAACGATTGATTGGTGCAGTTGTCGGATGAATTCGCTGCATGGACCATTTTATCAGTAATTAATTCGTTATTGCATTTGCCGAGAACAAGGGTTTATTATCATGCCGTACCAAAATGTTATGAATGAAGTACAAAAGTGGGCATACGCCCTATAGCAGGGCAGGGCAGCATTACATTTCTTTGAAATCTGCAGTAGAGTACAAGGCATAAAAAATCGATAGATTTCGTATGTTTTTGTCGGGTGCAGTTGCAGGAGTTGTGTGACCCGGAAAAGAATTTCCCTGAGCAGCCAGGTCAGCGTTTCGTATAGTTTTCAGTACGAATATCGTTTACAGCGTCTGACAGCGTTTACAGAATCTGCTCTTGTGCGGCGATAATGGTTGTCCGTATTTTACTAATTTCCAGGAATTCTGACACAGTTATATGCTTACTGTGTTTTGCGCTTCGATTTAGCGAAGTTTAATTTTTAATGTTTTGCTGACTCACACAGTTCCACCAAAAAAATCAGCTGATAATGGCGAGAAGAACAGAAAATTGAGTGTTTGATTTCATGCGTTCGGAAATCGTTTTAAAGGTTATACAGATAATAAACAGACTCTGCTAAACGTCAGCCGTTGTTTTGTGACACCGAGCTGCATCCCAAGAGAGCAAATGCTACATTTTCCATCAAATCCTCTCGACTGCTAGTGGGAACTTTTCTGTTTGCAAATCCGTATTTCGAAGTGATCACAAGTACTGTCTACAGCCTGTCACGAAAGCCGTAGATTTTGGTACTTCATATAAGATCTTATCGGCATTTATACCGATATGGCTCTTATTCTTCGAAGAAATTTTTCAGTTAACTCCACGGAGCTTCCGTCAAGCGACACTCTTCGAATCGACTATTTTTTATCGATGACGTTTATGTTCCTGACATTTTTCCCCAATGCCTTTCTATTAGGATTCTTCGCCTTCCACCGACACCTTATTACACCTTTCACCGTCTACATCATCTCGCTCCTGATCTCCAACATTCTCGTCAACAACATTTGTATGCTACCGTACGCCATCGTTGAACACTTCAGTATCCCGCAAGATCTCAAGACCGCATTTGCTATCGATGTTCTCTACTCATACGGCGGCGATGTCATCATGGGCGTGGTCATGTTCTCGCATTGTGCCATCACTTTAAATAGGCTGTGGGCAGTGTATTTTCCCGTGCATTATCGGCAGCGTCACAGCAAGAAAACAGCCGGTATCTTCTGTTCCGCAATCTGGTTAATCATCCATACATTCACCCTGCCGATAGCATTAAACAGACATTCCTACCAGCTTTTCGGAATCCCATCACGAGAAAGTATTAACGACCTCTATACCAATATTGTGGGACCGGTCGTCTACATTTTCCCGGTGTGCTTCGTCGCCGTTGCCTATCCATTCATGTTCCGGAAGACATCGCAACGCTGGCGGGAATCCAACACCATGGAAACCGTGACCGAAGGAATCTCGCGAACACTATCCGTGAGTACGGTGCAGGCGCGGAGGCGCACCAGGTCGTTCGTGGCGTTGACCTTTATGACCACCAGCGTGGTCCTCTGTTACTTGCCGACGAATCTGATATTCATTGTTGAATGTTTTGCAACATTTAAAGAACCAGAATGGTTAGGTCTTCTTGAAGAGTACGTTTATTACGTACAGGCTATCGTAGATCCTTTCGTATTCGGTCTCTTTTTACGGGATATTCGTCAGGAACTTATTCAGTTCTTTCGCTGGTCTCTTAAATTTGCTTGTAGTTTGGCTGGCCGGAGAGATACTAAATATCCGTAAGCTGAAGACGGTGCCGGTTACGCTGGAATTGTACTTTGCAGTGACTATTCCTTTGTTCGAAATTAAAACTACTCGTAGTGCCTGTGCGCTCAACGTTATTGAATTATTGAACCTATTATTTCTGTTTGTATCGAACATTCGTTAAAAATTTGTTCTTGCTATTTTTTTTCGAAACAAATAACAGGCTGCTAAATTTTATCCCTTCACTACTTAGGATTTCCCTAGCTATCGGCCCGGTTTTGGTCAGAATGGATGTTTTTGTACGTACTTACATACTGCGAGTATCAAAACAATGTTTTTCATAATTATTATTATGGATGTTGTGCTCATAAGTCATAGCACAAACAAATTACATACTATGGTATGTAACGTGAAATATGCACACGTATGGTTTTGTTATTATAGTCTTGTCCTTACAAATAATTATTACGCAGATGCTTTACAAGGAATCGGGAACGTATGCACATCTCACGTACGGCATGCACGGCTTACATTTTTGTAGAAAAGGTCAATTGGTTTGTGTGAGATTAAACGGCACGCAGTGCAATAAACGAGCTTTAATGAACTGCAACACAGTGATGTCCGGAAGCGAATTAAAGTGAAATCTGATGTAATAACACGCAATAACATATTAATAATAATGAAATCTGAAGCCAAAACGTTTATAAAAAAGTTAAACTTTGAATGGGTGCACATTTAGAAATCGCACTCCAAAGAAAGCACGGAATTCATACGGACTTCAGCGGTAAACGCATTCTCTGCGCAACAGCTGAGAGTGTTTGTACGAAAAATCTAACTAACTCTTGGCGAATGTCCCGTATACATAATCCAAACACCAACGGATCAACAACTGCCTGGACATAGTACGCATACTGTTTGAAGATGCCCAGTACAACAGATTCTTCAAAATCCCGGAAACGTCGAATAATAAACGGAAGATTCGTCGGCAGGTAGCAGCAGACCACACTGACCGTCATAAAGGTCAACGCCATAAACGAGCGGGTCCGAATTCGTGATTGGCCAGAGCTAACTGACAATGCACGCGAAATCCCCTCGGTAATGGTCTCTGAAGCCACTGAAGGGCGCCGTTGTGTCTGAAACGTTTTCCAGAAGATGAACGGATACGCGCCGGCCACAAAAGATATAGGGAAAGCGTAGATCACGAGTCCTACAATGTCCATATACACCGAATCCCGTCCTTCATCGTAGGGGCACGAGTGCAATAGCGGCATTTTAACGAGAACGGTTTTTAACATCATCGGAAGCGTCAGTAAGTGGATGACAATCCAGGTTGACGAGCAAATTGCCACAGCGACCTTTGTATTGTGTCGTTGGCGATAATAGACCGGATAATACACAGCCCACAGGCGGTTCATGGTGATCATGACGTGGCAGTACATAGTGACGCCCATGATGACCCAGTCACCGTATTGGAAAAGAAGACACAGTGTAATGGCAGTTGTTCCATATTCTAAGCCGGTGATCTTTGCAATGATGGAATAAGGAAGCAGGCAGACGTTATTGGATACGACATTAGCGGTGAGAAGCGAGATAACGTAGACGGAAAAAGGCGTAATGAGATGCCGGTGGCACATAAAGAAAATTAGCAGAAATCCGTTGGGTAGCAAGGTCAAGAACGTGAACACGATGGCCATGTGGAAATCAGTGTCAAACACGGATTTTTGTAATTCTTCGGTTTCGTTAAGTGACAGATTTGATAAGTGGCTGATAAGCGACATCTTTGCAAACTTTTTTGTGATGAACCATGTGGGCGTCGAAGAGAGGTGCTTTAGCAGAGACTAGAACGAGATTTGACAGTTTAATGTACCGAGTCTCGTCGGTTAGCTGAAATAGTGTTCCCCTGTTGGTTACTGCAGCATGGGCCGATGGATTTGGATATCCCTAAAGTGCCAACTCTTCGTCACGCGATGTCGGTTAACGGCATTTGTATAGAAATGATAAACATTCAGTGTGTGCGTCGATTTACCGTTAACAAATATTCTGTAACGAGAAAGCAAATATTCTACCTGTATCCGTCTTTTGAAAATTAGACATAATAGCAGTAAGCAAATTAGCCCAAGTATAAATGCATTTGTAATCTGAGCGTTTTACTGATAAACTGCACTGAGAGAAACAACAACATTACGGAGATAAAATAAACTGAAGTTGTTAACTGACTACACTCAAAATGATGTGTTGCTTAAAGATCCGATTGCTAACGAACCAGTTGCACAATGCGACAACAAGAAGCTATGCGACAACATCTTGTCGCTTCCGTGTGCTAACTAGCTTACTTGTTGTAAGCTGCAAGCTGGTGTTTGATTGAGTACGGCTTTAAGCATGTGATTAATCCACTTGCATGTTACACTTTTTCACTATGCGGGACACTGTTGCTGCGTGGATTCTGATACTGGCATTAACAGTGAACGTGTCCAGTGCGTTCTTTGTACAAACACCACATCCTCTACCTGGAGCGTCCAGCACCATCAAACCAGGTACATAGTACATACTGCAACCGGTTATCCACTGTCTACACATTCGGTTCATTTATTTAGGTTCTTTATTTCGGTTCTTTAGTCATGGTGAACGAGTACAAGTTGTATATAAAGTTATTTGATTTGGTATTTATATCGGCAAATTAATAAGTATGACTGAATCTCTGTAGATCCGCGTCTAAGTTACAACATCCCACAGAACGCCAACTGCGGCTTCAAACTGCACCAGAGCCACGGTAATCTATTGTCGCATCCAGGCTTCTCCAAAAGTCAGCTGTATGAGCCGGGGACGCGATGCCGTTGGGAGATTGAGTCAACACGCAAGGGCAACGTCACCATCCGCTTCGAGAGTATCGGTATCCGGGAGTTTGACTACGCTGTGGTTATTGATGGGAGTCTGGAGGGGAAACTGGGGTTCATGTGCAATGTGGACCGCTACAAAGCGCTGGGCACTGGTAATCCTTCTATTAGACCAATTTTACCTGTACAATTACAGCGCTGTCTAATCAATATTGTCTGCTTTTATAGCTGGAAACGAGTACTTGGGTAAGCCTTACTCAAAGCCATAAAACTCTGTCCACACGGATAATCGACAGAATTAACTTACAAATTAACTTACGTTTTAGAAATAAAGTAGCACTTATTCAGTTTTTAGTCCGTTTGTAAACCATAAACTGCACGAATGCGCACGTTTGCGTATCATTAATAATATTTTTCAATAAAAAAACAAATTAGTCGATCAAGAATGTTTTATTTATTAGCTACAGTTGTGCATAAAACGCGTGAATTATAGGTATAAACCATGCCCTCCTCAAACGCACCCCACAACCAACGTTCACCAGTTCCACGAACAGACTGCTCGTTGACTTCTGCACCCACATCTTCCCCACCGGAACTAGCCGCACCGGCTTCGAAGCCACCTTTCAAACCATCGCGCCCGCACAACCCAATCCTCCGGAAGGCAGTGGGATCAACCTCATCCCCATTCCGGCCATGCCCATCGTCAGTCCCGCTCCTTCCCCGCCCCACACCTGCGGTCGCCTGCCTAACCAGACCACCGCCCGCATCGTCGGCGGCAGCAGTGCCCCGCGCGCCTCCTGGCCCTGGATGTGCTCGCTGGTGCATGGACGCCGCCACCAGTGCGGCTGCGCCGTGATCGGGGAGCAGTGGGTCATCACCGCCGGTCACTGCTTCCCGCGAATCATCGAACAGGACGCCGCCGTGCAGCCGAAAATGGCGGTGGTCATCGGGACACAGGATCTGAAGAATGCCCGGTTGAAGAATTTGTTCGATGTGGAGCGGATTGTGCGGCATGAGGAGTATATTAATTATCGTGGGATCTCGCATGATGTGGCCCTGGTTAAACTGAGGGTACCGCTGCAGTTCACGGCCAACGTGCAGGCCGTGTGTCTGCCGACACGTGCGCTGGATCAGGTGGCGGTTAACGGACGCGTCAAGTGTCTGACGGCGGGATGGGGTGTTACAAATGCCGAACAGATATGTAAGTTATGCAGTTTCTTAACGCAGCGCGGATTATAGACATACCACTACACCGAAACTACTGTACTAGCTACGGTAGCATAGCGTCGAAAAATACTGTACTAGAAGACTGGAAGTTAAGTACAATAATTTCGAATACCAGCGATAATTTATGAATTATCAGGATAATTTTTAAGGCTCTGAAACGTCTGAGTAGTACTAAGTCTGAAGATTTGCTATCCGTCTTTTTTAAAAAATAATGTTGGAAACATACAATGTACGACAAAAAGAGGTTGAACCGATTAGTCGGTTTCAACCAACGACACGGACGCTTACTCACTACTTTCAGACGCTCGCGCCCCGTGAATATCAAAGTGCAGCTATACTAGTTGCATATCAAAAGGTGTAGAAAAAAATTTTAAACTTTTTGATACTAAACCTGTGGCTGTTTATGGCGAACAGCACAAATTCTTGCCATTTTGCTTTCTCGTAGGCACAGCTGTCAGCATAGGATCTGTGCGCATAACCGTTTGGCTTGCAATCAATGCTTAAGTCTATGGGAAAGCAAAATGGCTAGAATTTGTGCTGTTCGCCATAAACAGCCACAGGTTCAGTATCAAAAAGTTTAAAATTTTTTTCTACACCTTTTGATATGCAACTAGTATAGCTGCACTTTGATATTCACGGAGCGCGAGCGTCTGAAAGTAGTGAGTAAGCGTCCAAGTTTTAGTGGTGGCGTGTCGTTGCGAGGTTATTTTGAACCGCGGACCGACTAATCGGTTCAACCTCTTTTTGTCGTACATTGTAAATAAAAAAATTAAGGTTGAAAAAATAAGGTTAAAAAAAGGTTTTCAAGAAAAGTTTAAAAAAAGGTTTATAAATAAGGTTAAAAAATTTCAAAAAAATTTAAGACTGGAAGTTTATAGGCTGCCATGTAGCGAAATTTCTACCGTGATATAAAACGTTTCACAATTATATTAGCCGAACTCGGCGAAATCGCCACCGGCCCGGACGATCTTCAACAGTTAACGATCGACACATTGTACACTAATGATGAATGTCGACTGGCTCTCAACAAGGACGTATCCGATGTCTCTTCTCAAGTACGCATTACGGACACAATGGTACGTTTATGATTGCCGGTATTCGTAAGCGATACGGCCTGTGCAGTGTAAACAACGCCGTGCGCCGTCATTTGACAACGTTACAGTTTTGCGCAGGATTCCGTGTAGACGAAGGCGGACATGATGCCTGTCAGGGCGACTCGGGAGGACCATTGGTCTGTGAAGAAAACGGCCGATGGGTGTTACATGGATTAGTGTCATACGGACTCGGTACGTGGGTAAAATTTGCGGAACAACTACGTCAGCGTATTGTTCAGGTTGTCGAATTCGTTCTATAATCACGCTATGCAGGGTGTGCGAGACCCGGTATTCCCGGAATTTATTCGAAAATCTCTGCGCTCCGGCCGTGGATAAGGGAAAGGATGGAAAGCAACTAGACCGCTGGTGCTGTTGAAAACAGGAAGCTACAATGGCTGTAGTTAGTATTATTCATGCTAGCATACAAATGATTGTATTACGTAGATCGAAATGCGATCCGGTAATGCTGGACCGGTTAGAGGATTGATATTGATTTTTAAATGCGCATGAATTTTGTTTGGAGAAACTCGTTTAAATAAAAAAATTAAAAGATAAAAACTGGTCTTGCTTAAAAACCTTGACCGCCACAACGCAGCAATTAAAGATCAGCCCAATTCCAGTAACTTGAGCTATGTATATACAGCACCAATGCAACAATTAACAGGCAATGTTGGTGACATTCAACTGATGCGAAGCTAACTTTCAACACCATACAAAAAAAAATACTCCCTATGTTTCATACGCCGTTTTCTGATGAGCACTTTATTGCATGCGCGCAGCAGTTCTGCATGTACATGCTTACATACATAGCTGACCTCGTACATAGCTTACGATTAGCACTTGTGGGCGCTTAACGAATGGTGATTTGCGGCCCACCGTTTTATATTCGTACTGTATTTGCAGCGCTTTAGAGAAAATCACTGCGCTCAGCGATTGCATCAAGGAAAAACAGAAACAACGAAATACTAGTATACTCCCAGTACATTGTTTTTACATATTAAGTACGTACGTAGTCGAAAATTGCACTAAGCTAAGCGAATTTACAATTCCAATAATATTATTAACAGTAATACAGTAGTTGCAGAGTAACTGCTAGAGCAAAATCATGCAGAAGGTGGTGCTCATTATACAAATACAGTACAGAGTACTGTTTGTACAAGCGTGGATTTGTAACAACCGAAAGCTGTCCAGACTGCGACATTTTACAGGTATGTTGTGGTTATTGGGTAATAAAAGTTTCAAATGCTGAATTACAAATTTATTTTCAGCATAGCAGCTACATTCCAATTTTTGCTATGCGCTTCCGAAAGAATTTTGTACAAAAAAACTGTATTACAGATAACAGTGTCCGATCCATTTGAGTTGTCATTACGGCTAACTCGATCCAATATCCTCGTTGATGTGAATTCGATTGCCTGTAAAACGATACGTTTCCTGCACTATTCTAGCAACAATTTTCTACGCAATATCTTATGCACAAGCTCGTTCAACAATCACCACGCTCAAATAAGTATACCGAAAATGTCAGTTGAAAAGTTACGCCAAACTTCAAAGAAGTTGGAAGAGGTAGTGCACGCCGAATGTTTATGTAAAATAAACACCGAAAATATTAAATAAAAATAACACATAGTGATAAAAAATTTTATAATCAAAAATTATATAAATAAATTGACGTTTGAAGGTATCTAATTAATTTATCATTGAGGTAAGTATGATGCAGTCGTCCGCGTACTGCCCTGTTGATCCGGCTTGTGCTCATGTACCGCAATATTTAGTTACTTGCGCCATGTTTGGAACAGCTATCCATCGTTTATTTGTAAAGTTTACTGTTAATGCAGACAAAAAACCAATAAAACTTTTTTTGTTTATAGTTGATTTGCTTGATATATGTAAAGTATCGGTAATTATAGTTTTATGTGTGGTAGTGCCCAGTCAGTTATTGGATGTCCGTCGTTTCATGTAGTAGGGTAGTGAATGTAATCGGCGTGTACCACGCCAGCACGCGACACTGTACAGTGTACAGTACTCATAAGAAAACAAGCGTACCGAAAGTTTTAGCCAAGCCTTTTAAAAAGGCAGAATTTAACCGACGTTGTCGCTCCGTTTGGGAATGGTGCGGTGACCGCATGTACTGCTTAAGGTAATGCAACGGAATACCCAAATCTTGGGCTCTTCTTGTCTTTGGGTCTTCGGTGTCTTGTTCCTAAAGCAAAGTATCTGTACAAGTACGACAGCCTGATTAAACATGGCAGAACTTTACCCTAGTTAACCGTTTGCGGCGGTTTTTAAGTTTTTACTACAGTGTCGTCGTTGCCATGTATCTACATGTAAATGCAGCCACATACAATAAAATACAGCGGTTGTGTAAATGTAGAAAAAGTAGCGATGATACAATCATAATACTATTGTCTATTGTTTTAAAATTTCACTCAAATGCTAACCGTCTAAAAAAGCCACAATTAACGTACAAACCGAAGGCATCATAGGGCGATCCATCAACAGCCACGAACGGACAAGTACCGAACCCGATAAAATGGTGAGTAGAAACAACACACTACTGTGCATTAATTCCATGTTGAAGGAAATCTAACACAAATTCTAGTGAAGTAATAATTGCAGTGGAGCAACACCAAAGGTCAGCTATAGATAGGCGCTACACAGCAGGACAAAAAGCATGACAAACTGGCGCAGAATCCATGTACTGACATAAGCGTATACGAAGCTCAAATTCTGTGACAGGATAATGCCAATGGCAAGTAAAAATGCACCTCATATTTATTGGCTCGTAACCGGAACTGAAAATTGTCAGAATAATTTCTATTAGCTGTATTGATGCCGGGCATTCTGTCAATAAACAATCAGTCCGCTGGGAGCTGCGCACGTGTGGACTGTAATGTGGGTGAATAGTTGAATTAGTTGGTAGAATTACTATGTATATATATTTGGCGCTCCACCTTTCCCGTTTCAGAAGCACAATTATCCGACAACCGAAATATAATCAAAGCCGTATATACCTCACACTGTGGTTATACGTATTTTATTATTTCAGCTATTAGAAGAGAATACGTAGGACATTTTCTCTTCTGCTATTCCAGGTCTTGACCGTAATAAGCGGGATTAGAGCGATCAGCGTCATAAAAGTACGTCAGGGAAAACACCATACTTCCTGGATCTGGATAACGCTTAAAGTGAACAGATAATTAACGCTATTCTGCGTAAATAGGGAAAATCAACCGATTCTTTCTGCTACCCGTGGAAAAGGATGTTTATACAATCAGGGGAGACTGGCCAGAAAATATACGTATATACGATCAGCAAAAATTTTAAAAATTAATTATACGAGGTAATAGTTATCGGACATCGGCCAATTTATGCACAGATCTAGAAGTAGTCGTGCATAAACCTAGACCTTTTTAAATAATTTGCTATATGAAAGTACAGCGATGCGTCAATCTGACAGCTTAATCAGGGAAGAATTAATAATGCATGTCCAATGTTACAAAGTTTGCGTAAAGTGTGACGATTGAGTGAATTAGAGTCTAGACTGCAACGCAACTGCTTCGCAACCATAGCCATACACTTAACCGTAGCGTATGGTTAAGTGCGAGCATATGGTAAGTGACTAACTGGTAAGTGTGGATACCATACAAACTCGTTGTATGGTAGTCGACTTCCAACGCTCCTCTTAATGCCCCTGCGCTTTAACTTCTCTAGGAGTGGACTTTTCTAGCACAGAAATCACCAGAGAACTTAAATTTTGATGTTTCAAAGAAGGCCACACCACGCAGCACGAGCAAAAAAATTAAATTCGAAGACACCTAGAAATCAGTTGCGGTTGCTTTAAGGTATTCTGTACACTGCCACTTCGATGGCGGTCGTCTAGCTACACGACAAGCGATCGATAAGGTATAGTTATGGTGGTTCTTGCGAAAAACTTATATCATGGACTGGACTATTGCCAGGCCCCTTGGGCTCCATTTTTAGTATGTTTGTTTAGAAAACAGCAGTGCACAGTTAACTCGTTTATAACTACGCGCCGGTTAGTCCAATAAAATAACTAACGATAAAGTTGGCAGTAAAACTGTTCACTATGTTGCTAAAAGCTTCTAAACTTTTCATTTATGAAAACCTGCAATAATTAATTGCAGTTTAAGCCAGCTGTATTATTGGGCAAATGTTGTCCGTCTAATGTTAAATTAGACACTTTGCATTAGACATTTACTTATACAATAATCTGCCAATCATAAGTAGCAATCTCGCACAAAAGACAAAACCTATCTACTGCTCGTGCGATCTACTTTGTTTGCTCGTGCTACAGTCTGTACGTGGTGCAGCCTTCTTTAAAACATCAAAATTTAAGTTCTCTGGTGTTTTCTGTGCTACAGAAATCCATTAGAAAATCTTTGAGCCAGCTGCAAAACTAGCATTATCGGAGCTGAGATCAGCAGCCGTCTTTATTGTAATTGAGTGTGAGATCATTATTTGTAGTCGGCGAATTTATGTGTAAATCGAAGCATTTATGTTATTTTGAAAGTTTATATTTGCATAAATTTCAAAGGCAAACTATGTAAACAATTGAGGACTGCGTAAGATGGGAAGCGGACTATGGGAATGGAGTGTCCGATTCTGCTTTAGGTTTGAATAACAATTATTCATAATACTTATTATTATACGGATGAAGAAGTTAGTCCAATGGTTTACAATACGAATGGAGGGTTAAATATAACGTTTGTACCCAGCTGGAGAGTCTGCACAGTTAATAAAGTCAAAGCCAATACCGTAATAGTGACCAATACCTTATGTCATTATGTCTGTCTGTCATTATAAGCTGTCATTCTACCAATGATATCTAACGTAAATAACACATATCACAACGCAGCAAAGTTTGTGCACTACACATAGCCATATACCGATCAAACAAAACACGACATAGCCACGGCCAGAGTCTCAGAGGCTTATCAGTTTTCATACAAAGGCCGAGGAGTATAACACGTATAACACCGTAGATTAACACGTACGGTATCACATCGAGGCAAAGTGTATGCATCATGTAGCACCTATAAAAGGTTATACCGATTACCGATCAAATAAAACATGGCATAGCCACGGTTAGAGATATCTGTACAGTACCGCTTATCAGTTTTTCATACGAAGTAAGTAATATTGTATTAATCAGCTGACCGAGGATGGTACGGAAGTCTACTTTAGTCCTATCGTTTAACATACTGGCTCACTCTTCTGTCTGTATGAGACTTTGAGTAGCAGGTTAATACGGAAATTTAACGTTATCGGGCAGATAACAAATTTTAAAAATGATCAGACGATTGAAACAAAGCCCAATTGAAAATCTATAGTCAAGGGGTGTCTCTGAAACTGGGCTGAACATCGTACAAGGCAAATTACAGCTCTATTTGCCTTTATAATTATTTTCGTCAAACGTTTTGCCTCCTATAAAGTAAACCTGCAAAAATTTCCCATTATGGGGGGAAAGGGGAGTAAACCAAACCGAGGTAAGTAGGATGCCATTTCCTGTTCCATAAACTTGAACTTCGCTTATATTAGATAGTTAATTTGAGATCACATCACAAAGAACCTGGTTTTTATAGCGCAAATCAGCTAATTTGGACCGTCTTTAATTTCACTGATACCCAAGGCTTTTGAACCTAAAAAAAGTCTGAAAAAAAGTTCTATTTTCAAATCTGAAAAATTTAGTTAAACCAAAACTAATAAAAATGAATTAATTTATTAGATGAATAGATAAATAACCGGTTACTTTAATGCATGATTTCATTTAACGTATGTATTAAATTTGACAAAACCGAAACCGAAGATCAGGCAGAAATTCCGAAGCTTCTGGTTAAATTTTGTCTGCTTTTGTTTGTGATAATTTTTCTATGCTAACTTTTCGCGGTATCTGTAGGGACTAGGGATCTAGTTTGTTTTTCTAGTTAAATCAAGGTAAATAATTTTTTTTTGATTTCCTGAATGCATGACAACTTATTGGTTTGACGACTACTTAAGCATGCAAGTTTTCGAAACCGATGCACACTGCACAGCATACCTACTAATCTACAGATACTACTATAACGATCAACGTGCGGTTTTTGCAGTTTTCTATCGACTTTATCAATAAGTACTACAGCAGAACAGAACAGTAACACCGTATTTTATCAATTGTAGAGCCTCCAGCTTTAAAAGCCAACCCGAAATAGAGTCCCACGAAGGGTCGGTTTTGCAACACTCCTATTTTTAAAAATTGTTTTGCGAGCCTGAAATAAAGACCACATCCAAACCCTAACGAAAAAATACTATAACTGGATCAGTAGTTGATAAAATACATCAGTACCATGTACGAGTAGAGACAGTAAAACGCTGTGCGTAATGTTCCTGTAAACCGCTACAGGGCGAATCTAACGATGACCATTAGCCAGCAATACCATATTAATGTTCAACTTCTATTCTAGCGCCTTTGTCCCTGAATACCGGCGCTGGAGCTGGCGCCCTTCACGTGGCGGTGGTCCAGGGCAACGCTGCAACCGTTCGCCGTTTGTGCGCCAGTAGCAGCACCGATGTTAACCGGGAAGCGGATGGGCTAACACCGTTAATGATCGCTATTGCGGATCAGATTGGCATTGATGTCTTCCGCGAGCTCCTACAATGCCCGCGTCTGGACATCAACCGAGCGACACAGGATGACAAACTGACCCCGCTGATGATTGCTGTTGTATTCGCCGCGCAGCCCAATTCCAAGACGATCATCTTGCGCAAAATAGAGATGCTAGCCGCCCATCCACAGTGTCAGCTTGGGCTGCGCAATTCCGATGATATGACGGCGCTGGAGCTGGCCGTTGGTACGGGCAATGCCGCCATTATTGGCTATCTTACGCGAGGCGACCGTATCAAGCAGTACGCACAAGGGGATGTGCTGAATGCCTGTATTCTGGCTTTTCGCAATGGGAATAACGAATTGATTAGAGCCGTTCTAGAAAACGTACCCGAAGCAATCCAGAGGTTATTGCTTGAAGCCATTAAAGGTAACACTACGTAAGACACGATACGGTTGGATAGAAACAACTTTTTGCAGTACAACACTACAAATCTGCTCTGTGCTACTCGGTAGCTTTCCAAATCTGCTGCTAATAGAAACACAATTTTCTCTTTGATAAGATATTAAGATGACATTATACTGTACAGTGGGCGAACTATAAAGCTGTAGATTTTGCGGTTTGTCATCATGACTTTCATCCGTTTCATCTTGATCTGGTAACGACAATGGGTTCAACCAATTATAATTTTGTGAAATTTCAACTACTGTAATAACGTTATATGTGTACCGACTGTACGTACTGCCAGTACTGCATACGCAGAGTTACAGATAAACAGGCGATGGAGTACGGAATTAATATTGTTTTATTATAGTAAAACTATACACGTATCTGAATCTGTAAGTCGTCAGATAGTTAGGAAAATATTCATATTTGAATCTCTCAAGAGTTTTTACAGAAGCCGCAGAAGGAAAGAAAGAGTCTGAATCCACCGATGACAATCATTTAAAGGATACCCTGAACAATCTGGCGCCGTTGCATCTGGCAGTATTACGGGAAAGTGTCACCGATGTCAAGCAGATCCTCCGCCAATCATCAACCGATGTTAACGCCAAAGTAGCCGGCTTGACTCCGCTGATGCTGGCAGCGTGCGGTCGTAATCCCGTTGTAATGCAGTTATTGCTGGAATCGCCGCGTATCGATGTGAATTCGGTGGCCGCTGGTTTTAAGAACATGACCGCTCTGATGATGTCGGTGTTCGCTTGTGGCGGTATTAGTGAGCCGCCACGAATATCCATCGTGAATTTAATTTTAGCCCATCCGAAATGCGATTTCACCTACAAAAACGACGAAGGTCTAAGTGCTTTGTCCATGGCTTCCATATTTGGCAATACAGCAGCAGCGGACTGTTTGACAAGAGAACACCGAGCCGACAAGTATGCGGTAGAAGATTTCAGTCGCAGTGTTTTTCTTGCCATAGTCACGGATAACAAGGATCTGGGCATTTACATGTGCTCCAAACTCAGTGAACTGAAACAAGGGGAACTGTTAAAAAAACTGCAAAACTTCGGTAAGTTGATAGGTCATTGCACTTGCAAAACAAATATAATGTTACTGATTAACTGAAAGGCATAATTACGTTCGAACATGGGCTTCTCATAAAGCAAAATTACGGTATCTGGATTCTATAGTGAAAACCTGTTATTCCAAATTCAGCAAACGCAAAGAATATGTTTGAGAACGCATACTTTATGAGCGAGCAAGCGTCAAATGTACAGCAAAGTCTCACGCCGTAATATTTTTTTCAGCAGCCGTAGCTCGTAATGTATGTAATTACATATTAAGCCAAAAAATTATGCCTGGTTAGATTACGGTTTAATCGAGGAAGATTTTTTAAATCATACACAGTTATGTTTCCAAATTGCCCACTGACAAAGATTGGCAAAACTGTCACAGAATGAATGTGTTAAGTTTTATAGATAAGGAGGCTACAGCAAAAGCGACAATGGCGAAGGTAATCAGTGGACACGCAGAGACTGCCAAGCGTCTTAGTTTCACCGTCAAGTTTCTTCGTCTGGGCAAAATGGCCGCGGGCAAATTCGTGGAGATCAGTGACAATGAGTCACTAGTTCGAAAGAAACAAGCAGAGCATAATTTACGCTATCTGCCCAACATGTGTAGCAGTCACGGTGTGGTCGAAAAGGTGCTGCCCAATGGTGATGTGGAGATCAACCCGTTTTCTTTACCCGGAACTCTAATATGCCACGCTGACATAATTACCATTGATTCTCGAGGTAGGGCCAAGAACTACGAGTAGTGCGCTATGTACAAGCCTGTCGACAAATTGAGCATTCGTCAGAACAGCGAACATTACAAATTTACGGGTTGCGCGTAAATCCGTACTACGGCGCGCCACGCCACACTCTTTAAACACGTAACATGCATCGGGATGGCTGGTGGCTTGGTACGCCCAGATATTTTAATGAGAATAATTGTAACTGGCTGGCGGAATGTGGCTAGAAAACGGTCGGTGAAGTAACGGGCAATCTAGCTGCGAAGCGCAGTTACGCATTGCAATAAACGTAGTGCAGTGGCCATCATTCAAGCGGCAACTTCGCGCTAATATCGCTTTATCTGTTCCTTTACATGCTCAATTTGTCGACAAGCTTGTACAGTCGGAAACTGCATGGTTTTATGACATCCTTACAGAAGATTACGAAGCCATCGATGGAAGCGGAGAAACAATCAAGCGAGAGGATGTGGTCAAAGTGATGCCCGATTATGACACAGTAGCAGAATTACAGAAAGGTCACGGAGGAATGGGTGATCGTATGCGCGTGGCATTAGGGAAAACCGTGCGCATCCTATTTTTTGACGTTGATGGAGACGCTCGCATCATTCTGGGCAAAGGGATTCTGTGCCTGAACCCAAGAGCTCTATGCAAAGTTACCACGGGTGAGGCACATGTTTACGCTAATAGGCAACAGCACTAGACCGACAGACAAAAATATTTTCGTATTGTAAATAAAGCGTGGTCATGATATTTGTAGCGATATGTGGCGATGGATCCAGTGTGAAGATTGGGGATAAAGTACGCGTGATGCACACCGCTTCCATTCTCAAAGGGCTGCAGACGGAGGAGTTTGGAGGCTGGTCCGACTCCATGTCGGAACTTATCGGGCGCACGCTAACCATAGTGAAATTTGCGTGTTCCACACAGAGTGAGGATGCCAAATGTATTTTAAAAGTGGAGGGCGGATCGCGCACCTATCATATTAATCCGAAAGCCGTCGGTCTGACGGATTTAGCAACGGAGGCATATTCTGATACTCCTACAATCCGGCCAAGGTTATCCAGCGAAGAAGGACGTAGTGCAAACCCGCCTTCTCAATCACCTTCCGCAGGTGCAGGTAAATTCCGTTGCTTTATGTCACTGGAAAATTAACAAGTTTCCCAACTTTATCTTTGCCACGACCGCATGAAAAGTGTCTATTGTCTATACTGAAAAGTATGTAATATATGAGTACATAATACGTTATTATTATTTTATTTCTCACCCTAATTTGACAGAAGTGTATTGCAGATTTACAAATAATTCAGAAAAAGGAACTCAAGCTGGAGAAGAAGCTTGGCAGTGGAGGATTTGGCACCGTATTTTTAGCGAAATGGAGCGCCACGCAGTGCGCGGTAAAGAAAATAGCTGTGCCGGATCTCATCGAAGGCGAGGAAAGGAAACGCATCTTGGAAGAAGCCCGAATTCACAAGTACGTTATAGAAGAATCGTTACTTTACAGTGCATTCGGTCTTGTGGCCGATGAAACAAAGTGGCACGTACACTGTACACAACCACATTGATTTTAGCCGCCTCATCCATCCTCATGTCGTTCAGTTTTTGGGCATCGCGCTTGAGGAGGCGGATGTATATTTGGTACTAAAAGTCATTCACGGCTACAACCTGGATGAAATTATTTTCGAAAACAAGATGGTGAGGGTGCGACAAAGGATATGTGGTAGTCAGTTTAAATGAAAGTTGGAAAGCAAAAACATGTTTTGTCAGTGACAATAACAGTTGTGAAAAGCGCACGATTTTCATAATCGTTAAAAGCAGACCGGTGACATTATTCAATATCTATGTATCCGAAAGTGAAAAGTTTACAGTTCCATGATTCTATTTAAAAATACGAATTGATGATGTTCAGTGCGTCTTTTCAGGAGTTAACGGGTCAAGAAAAGCACACAATCGCCATGCAGATTGCTGATGTCATGCGATATTTCCATGATAATGCAAAGGTCATACACCAGGACATGAAGCCAAGCAATGTTTTGGTAAGTCTTAGTCTGTCGTTAGATAAATACACCGAATCGCAAGCATATGTCTGAAACTCGAAGTTGATATCATCGGTGCGATAATGGCATTAAAATGCCATCCTAAGGTAGCAGCTATACTGTGCATTTTTTTCGCAGGTTGACAAAGTATCTAAACAGGCTTACGTTACCGATTTCGGCATCAGTCGCATGAGCGGTCGGTCAACAAACGACATAATACAGGAGACGACAAAGCGCTACGCCTCCGAATTAAGCGGCACTATCTTCTACATGGCACCCGAGCTGTTCGTAACATCCTCCCGTGGTGACGATAAATTCCGCATGCCCAACCGCGAGTCGGATGTGTATGCACTGGGCATGACGCTCGTGGAATTCCTGGGTGGTGTAAAGTTCTATGACGCGCCCGACATTGTGACATTGATTAAGCTGAAGACATCCGCAGATGTCCCTCCGTCTATTCGTCGTGTTCCGTCCGCGTACCGTGTTATTTTAGGCAAGTGTGTCGATCCCAATCCGATACAGCGACCGTCCGCGCAAGCCGTAGCCGAATACTTTCTCAAATCAGAAACATAAAGACCAACAAAGTGCGGTCATTGCACTGTTTTTAGTGATTCGTCGATATCTGGAATTCATGCGAGTGTTCGTGGACAATTTTATTAATTTTTTATTGGTTTATTCTTTTTTCGTCTAACATTATTGAGCGCACATACACTAGAGCACATTCACAGCAGTCTTCTAGTAATAGACAGCTGCATGTTTTCAATTCTCTGGGGATAAAAAATAAAAACTTGTTTGCGTACTGACAACGGCTGCACAACAAAAAATTCATTGGTGCTGGGTTTGTGATAATTGGTACAACAAACTTCGCTTATTCAGCTTATTTCGATTTTACTCCCAAATATCTCGCTGAGATGTCAAAGTGAGAGCTGCTCTCCTGGTCCGTTTTAACGAAACTGTTCAGCACGTTTCTGTACGTATTCTAGTTGGTTGTCAGGTTTTTGAAAATCCTCACAGTATCCAGTATCAACTGCATTGTTTCATTCCGGTCCATGCAGGTAGTCGGACTAACCTTCTGATCATTGAGCTCCGCCGACAACAGAACGTAACCAAAAAAGCTGCAGAAAATCTGCAACGAAATGGAGCCGAATTATATGTTTAATGTAACAGGTAAACTTCAGAGATGGCAAGCTACAGAAACCTATCTGTCTTCAACACACCGTGACGGCAATTTCGCGGGTTATGAGGAAACCGCCAATAGTGAAGCGGGGTTTTATTGTTCGGAAGCGTCGTACGTGCTCACGGATTTGTATGGCAGACAAATCAGAAGGCGTGAAAACGGTAGTGTCATACAGCGTTTCCTTTAGCTCTGACAGGAATTGCTCTTCCTAAAGAGTAATTTAGGAAGAAACACAATGCTACTCGGCGTTTTTGAAGCGTTGTGTAACGTTTAGCATTTAAAAAATTTTGAAATACGAGTATAAGAATGTTGAATTGGCTTCCAAATGCTATGAAATTTTATAAATTCTTAATTACAGTAAATAACATATGTTAAGGGATGGTACAAATAGTACTGTACAATGTACATATTATCTTTGTACTTTCATACCTATTATGTTTTGTCAGCTTAATGTCTTCATTAGTCGAATATCCATGTACGCTTTTAGAAATTTGGCAAATAAATAATGTGGATTTTTAAGAACAGTTGATTACAAGTTACAACAGATCTATATGTACGTAGTGGAAATTATGTAGATATCCTGCGCATTTCATACCTGTTCTGCCGAATAAACTATGGATATGACTATTGCCAGCATTAGAATAAGGTTCCACGCCATGGTTACAACGAAATTCGGCTGCGGAATTCCATCATTAGCCACAATCTCACAGATCTGCTCAATACGCGCCAGCGTATAAAACACCAGATCGACGAAGATACACAAGTTGATGATAGAAAAACGCTTGCCCAGCATCGTCGTCATGTCAATCACGCGTAAATGATCAAGTATGCACTGTTCCCCAGATTTCACACTCTCTTGATTTGTCAACGATCGGCGCAAAACAGAAAAGGTCAACCCGATCGTACAGCCCATCACCGCCAGGCAGCAAGCGGTGCTATGATATCCAATCACACTCGTCGTACTGATAAACTCCTCCAGTGTGACGATTTCTTTCCCGTAGCGCGCCAGGGATGTTCCCGAATAGCGATTAACAAAAAATGCGGTTTGCACAACGTCCAGTGTGCGGATAGCATAATACGCAAACGATATCCATGATGTCGCCATGCAGGACAGCAAGAAAATACCGATAACCAGAACAGTGGTGGTTTCCCTCCAAGAAAAGCGAGTTGTGCAGACGAATGTTAAGCGCCGGATGATTGATGGAAGGTCGTTGATGTGAAACATGCTGAGTGCGCAGAAGGTCTGCAGAAACGGTGAAAAGTAGGGCGGAATGGCTAGGATCATGCGGGCCGTGTTGGAGGTGGGCAGCGGCAGATCGGTTTCCCGGAACAACATCACAACCAAACGGAACACAAGATACGCCATCGATAGGACACGGATGGTCGCACGGATGATTCGGTTTGATGATGCACTGGCTGCATATGAAGGATAAGCGCAGATCTGCATAAGGCTCAGCCACAAAGTATTGTGCAACGAAAGCAGGCGAAAAGCTGCAGTATTCTGTGGTTTTTCCATGGAAATCTAAATAAATAAAAAAAAACCAAATCAAGTCTTTCAGCAACCGTATCCCGCTTAAGTCAACCTTTTCTTGTGGGATCCAAAGCCGGGTTGTCGCAATTCCAATGTCTGCATGATTCTTGCCGGCGATGATGCGGTAACCGTTTTTGACAAATCGGTGTTAGGTGCGATTTCTACATGCTGTTATTTGTTCCACATTTTTCTCCGCTGGACAAACACTCGATCCGTTTGCTCACATGTTCTTGTCAGCTATGTTGACACATGTACAGTGGTACACGACCAGGCGCGAACCCTCCATTTGGCATATCTGGTAGTGGTAACGTCTTTGTGCAAAGTAGAACAAAACAAGACAGTATGGTTCAGCCACATATCCAGCTTGTCTCTTGTGGTTTCTAGTTGCTGTAACTTTGTGAGGATCTACTGTAGATTAGGCAAAAAAAGATTTAGCTAAGGTACTAAGGTAAGATTTGGCTAAGGATTTAGCTAAGGTAGGATTTAGCTAAGGATTTATAGAAACGCAGTACGCACTGTAATTTGAAAAATTGCTATTATTGAAGAATCTACTACATAGTACATATTTACAACAGAATGGCGTCACGGCAGGGCAGAACATTTTGGTGTAAAATCTAGCTATTGTCGCAGATTACTGAGATTAGGTATCTGTCTGGTAACTTGAAGGATAGGGCAGACATTCTGGTTTCCCTTTTTAAAAAATTAGTGTTAACCCTCCTTTTGTTGCTACTGCATTGTTATAATGGCTTCCCAATGTATCAACCAGTTTATGTGCAAAATAAGCCATTTCGAAAAAAGGCACTGGATAACTTTTGATTACATAACACTTTACGTGAACAGTTGAAAATTTGAAACGCTTGGGTGACGGTTTGAACACATAATCATAGACAAACCAAACATGGCGCACCCTTGTTGATGCTACAGTACAGACAGATCTGCGCATGCATCCTTCAAAATCTGGGTGAAGCAGCATCTTTCAGAATCTGCCTGAATGGCTCTCGTCTGTTGCACTGGAGCCATCGCTTCTGCATTGCCGTTTCATGGACAAAGACCGATTCGAGGAAACTCCCAGAGGAATGACGTTATTAATCTTCCCTTTTCATAACTGCGATATTCCAGCGCGATATTCTGCATTTCCGACAATCAATATGATCTGCAGATGCGTATTTTTAAGAGAAATCATTAACAAGCTGAAGATTCTACCGTGAGATACAAGTTCATTTAACTAGACCATATTTAAATATTTGACGTGCGCACTTAATGTGGTACATATGTCTGCATTTGATACCTTAGATTTGTTTATAAACTGACGTTCATACCGGTGTTCCTGCTTGAGCAGTGCCGAATAGCGTTCGCATCCAAATGAACGCATTCCAATGGTTTCTCCAGTACCATCCCATGTACGACGATATAATCGTATTTGGCAAATAGCAAACCATGTACCACAAAAAACACAGCAACAACACCAGCGAAATCATATTTTCTTTGCGTTTCTTTTTTTCCCGGCGCACATCCGTTCGCGTCACTGGTTCGCGAATCTGATGCCGCTGACACTGAAATACAAGTAAGATAATGGCGTAACATAGTCCCTCGATACAGAATGGAATAGTCGTCACGAATGATCCCAGAATGCCGAAAACCCGCAAATCATTGACAAGTAAGGTGCAATGCCCAAGCGGTGGTGCCTGTCCATACGTGGCCACCATACCAAAGATATACGGCACCGAAAAACACAGCGTAATTATCCAGATGGTGCCGGTCATTAGAATAACACTGCTGCGACGGGAAACGGCGTTGAAATAATGCGGAAACTGGACAGCAGTGCAGCGATTAACGGCCAGACAGGCTTGTATCAGATGGGACACTGATATGGCGAGATAGTGTAGGAAAAACACGGGTTTGCAGCGGATGGAGCTCGGAGAGCCGATCTGGGTCAGGTAGATTTGTATGTATCCTAGCAAAGCCGGAATGGCCAGTGTAAAGCAGTCAACAGCAAGTAGTTGAATGATTAACGGATTGGTACCGTCGCGGTAATTGTGCTGCTTGATAATGACGGTAAGCAGAGCGCAGCACGCCAATGTTCCGATGATGGTGATGAAAACCGACAGAACGAACCAGATGTACAGTTCTCTGGGGTCAATAACCAGGTTGTTGATTAGTAAGGATGAGTTATTGGCCATGGGATCCCGAAGTTTGGAAATATTTTCCTAATAATTAATAATGAAAGTAGCAGCTGAAAGCAGTTAAAAGAAATTACTAATAAATTCACGTTCAATTCAACAGCTGAAAGCAGTTACAAAAAATACTAATAAATTCTCTAGTTCAGTTTATCGCTTATAGGAGGAGTTTTGGTCGAAAATCCTTGGGATGATCGTGTACTTGATCGATAGCTGGACAAGCCTTTCTTTGCTGCACCTTTAGTCCATGGAAGTATAAAATACAGCGTTAATATTACGCGCATTAATGGAAGTTTGCGCTGGTGCGCTAACTTTGTTTAACGCGGTAAGAGAAACGCCGGCCAGCATGAATTCTCGTTAAAGCAGGACATTGATGGACAATTGTTGGACTTCGCACGGACGTGATGACTGCCTCCTCTCTATCTCCGTGGAATGCGGAATCGTCCTGTTTACTAGCGGATTGCCTGCCTGCCCTTTGTCACCGCAGCTACTCCCGCGCTTACCTGTCCCTCCTCTCATTGCCTCTCCGTCCCTTTCATCGGCAGCGGGAGTTAACCTAGTTACTCGATAGCATTGCGCGAAATTTGGCTGTGCGTTAAGTGATGGCTGTCATTTCATTTGGTTTTGCACGCGTGTCGGATCGAATATAATTTTTGAAACCGTTAAGGTTGAATGTGACCTTTCAACTGCTGGAAGCTATCTCATCCATTGCGTGGGATTGATTGGAAGTTCATCTGCTATTCAACATCACAATGTTGGGAAGACGGGGCAGAAGAACCAACGCCAACGCTCCCCAACCACCGGCAAAGCGACCAGCAAGGGGACGTCCACGGGCGCAGATGATTCCCAACTCGGGCGAATGTCCTGCTAACAGCAACGCCACGGTAAGCACGGGAAGCACAGTCAGCATCGATGCCCAGGTTACCGCGGCCAGACAGCATTTGGAGTCACTGCTGGCACAGAGGAACCCAGAGGTACAGCTTCTACCGGGTCCTTCCACGCCTCCAACGGCCGTCCAGTCCCAGCCAACGGAAACCGGCATGCTTATTCAGTTGATGCTCTCCCAGCAGAATCACCTCACCCAGCTGACACAAAAGGTCAACGATCTATCACCATCGACGTCCGCGGGCACAAGCACAGGAGCCACAAACAGTAAGAAACCACCACCACTGCCGGCTGGGTTTCCCCTTGTTAGTGATAAATGTCTGGAAGAACTTTATGACCTTACGGTTAACGTTGATTTAGACAAGCTGTTGCGGGCGAATAGCATTATGTCACCAATCCAGGGCGAAGCTAAGATCGAGATCAGAGATAGTAATTTTGTACTGTCTGATTCTAAACCGCGAAAGATCACCATTACATCCTTTACATTGTGGTGTGAAGCGTTCATCGTGTTTCGTCGTGTACGTAGTCATTACCATCCTGAGCTTAGGGATCCGTTAGACTCATACCAGGCTACCATCACCGACCTGGAGGGCACGTATACGGTGGCAGTGTGGCTAGAATACGATAAAACCTTCCGTGCCGGCCGCACCCGCGACACAAACCACGACGACTGGTACCGGCTCGACCGCAACTTACTGGACCGCTGCGTCGCTCGACTCCCACATCGCGCAAACCTCCAGCTATGCCGCGAGTGCGTGATCGCGGACCACACTGAGCAGGACTGTCCCAGGAAGCTCCAGTTCTCAGCACAAGGTCGACAGGAGATCAAGGCGGATCGGCCCTTTCGACACATCCCGCCAGACCTGTGCAGGAACTGGAATAACGGGAGATGCACCAGAGGAGCTAACTGCCCCTACAGCCACAAGTGCGGAATATGCCGCTCCACCGACCACACCATCGCCGAACACGATGCAGCTCAGCACAAGCTTGGCAACGGTCACAATGCAAAACCCGGCAGTGACCACACCGGTTTCCGTCGAGAGACTCGCTGAGCTACTGGTACACAATAATGATCGCGAAACTGTTTGTTTCCTCTTGCAAGGCTTTAGGTTTGGTTTCGCGGTCGGCTACGTCGGCCCACAGTTTCGGCGTTTCACCAGCAATGCTCGCTCTGCACTTGATGACCCACATGTTATAGCGTCGATGATCGCCAAAGAAGTGCAGGCAAACCACGCAAGAGGCCCGTTTCGTACTGAGCCTTTTCTAGATTTTGTCACCAACTCACTCGGAATGCGTCCAAAACGGCCTTTAGGACACCGCGTCATCATGGATCTGTCGCAGCCGTTTGGATGCAGTGTCAGCGACTACATCCAAAAAGATAAGTACTCTTTAAAATATGTAGGTGTGGATGATGCGGTAAAAATGGTAATGCGGCAGGGAAGGGGCTCGCTTATGGCTAAAATCGACGTCGAAAGTGCCTTCAGAATCTTACCGGTTAGGCGGGAGGACTGGCATTTGTTAGGCTATCAATGGGAGGGAAACTTTTACTACGATACAGTAATTTCTTTTGGTCTTCGGTCGGGTCAATATCTCTTTGATAAATTCGCTGGTGTACTAGAGTGGATTTTTAAAACGTGTACGGGCACCGACGCATTCCTACATTTTCTCGATGATTTTTTCATGTGTGGAAAACCGGAAAGTACAGCGTGCGAGCGGATGGTAAAGCAAGTGCAAGCAGTTTGTTCGTATCTTGGTGTGCCGATTAACGACAAAAAGTTAGTGGGACCGGCTACAGTGGTTGAGTTTCTTGGCGTGGTCATCGACAGTAACAGCTTCACATTGTCAGTATCGCACGACAGGCTGCTAGAGTTAACAGCGCTCCTAAATAACTTTGCAGCTTGTAAACAGTGCACAAAGCGGGAAATTTTGAGTCTAATTGGCAAGCTGTCGTTTGTTACAAAGTGTATCCCGGCAAGCCGAATATTCTTGAGGCGCATGATTGAATTAAGTTGCAAAGTTGATCGGTTGCACTATAAGATCGCGTTAACTGACGGGTTTCGACGTGACATTGCATGGTGGAGGGAATTTTTGCCTCTATGGAATGGAACCACCGGGTTTGTACACCCGCAGTGGGAGCCGGCAAGTACATTGCATTTGTATACCGACGCAGCAGGTTCGATTGGTTACGGCGGGGTTTTTAGAAACGGGTGGTTTCAGGGACTATGGTCAGCGTGGCTTACTGAATTAAACCCCCCCCATTACATTCCTTGAGATGTATCCTATATATGTTGCCTGCGCCATATGGGGTCATCAGTTGTACGGTAAACGGATATTAATTTACAGTGACAATACAGGGACGGTCCAAGCATGGTCAGCAAGTAAATGTCGAAACCCAGCCGTAATGGAAATTCTGCGCAGAATTCACTTTATTACAGCTCAGTGCAACTTTGTCATCAAAATCACACACATAGCCGGCGTGATTAATAACATTGCTGATGCGCTGTCACGGTTTCAGACACAACGCTTTCGGGAGCTGCACCCTACAGCCGACGGAAATGGCACAACACCACCGGATCTGCTTGCCCGGTTACGACCGTTTCTAACGGGGGAAGAACCACCCATACCGCTGTCAGCGCCGGTGACCTCTTTGCAGCCGGAGTGGCACCTTCTACCCGGAGAGCTTATGCTAATGGAGAGCGCAGTTTCGAGCTATTCTGCAGAATGACTGCGAAATGTCCATGGCCAGCCACTCCGCAGACAGTCGAAGAATACGTAGCGCACCTGTTCAACCGGAAGTGTTCACCATCCACAATCACAGTGTACCTGTCAGCTATAGCACGGCGCCACCTGTCGCAGCAGCTGACCGATCCAACAACGAATCCCAGGCTGAAGCAGATTGTGGAGGGCACCCGTCGCTTAAGCAGCAGAAAACCAGATCAACGACTGCCAATAACACCTGACCTCCTGCAACGCTTGTCCACCCGACTGCATTTAGCCGCTCCTACCTGCTACGACCAACACATGGTTTGGGCCGCTTTCACGATGGCTCAGCATTTCCTCCTCCGTGCTTCGGAACTGACATCACCATTGCCAACCACATTCGACGCATCCGCTACGCTCCTCCTGCAGGATGTGCGTTGGGACATATATATATATATATATATATATATATATATATATATATATATATATATATATATATATATATATATATATATATATATATATATATATATATATATATATATATATATATATATATATATATATATATATATATATATATATATATATATATATATATATATATATATATATATATATATATATATATATATATATATATATATATATATATACATGCCACCCTTAATGACAGCCAAACTAAAACGTTGTTTGGGAAAAACAGCATAACGTGTTTTTCCAATCAGTTCACGAATTTATGCCACCCTTAATCTTATTAAAGATACAGTATGAACAAACATAGGTACGCGGTATAGGAAAACAATTTGCCGTATTCCAACAGATCGTGTGCCTTATATGTATGGCCCGCTTGCATCATTCTTCTACCGTACTTCTCAGTTTTAACAGAGTTGCCCCCATGGAGTAAGTCATTACCATGAAATGTTCTTGTTTACAGGCTGGTCAGTATGTCGCTTATTAATCAAGTTCTATCAGCCAAATGTCTGAAGGAACAAACTTCGAAATGGAACTTGGAATGGGAAGTACACTTCTGGGATAACGTTACTGTCGAGGAACCGCCTGTGCTTTCGCTGGCCGCTTCTCGTCTTAACATGTAGCAGGAGTTATCGGGATACTTTAAGTCAACCTGTAAAATGTAACAGACACTGACGAACTCTTACAGGTACTACGGTCGGGGCAAGTGGCCGTGCGGGTTTCTTGTACCACTATTAGATCCACATTAGTTTATGACGGAATGCCCTTATTGGACTACCGATTTTCCACGCGGTGTTGTGGCTCGCACCCCACATGCCGTATCTGTCCTGGTTCTTGTGAAATGTTCTGCGTACGGCAAAAACTAGCGGTTCCCATATAACTAAATTTTGCTTTGAGCTTTTATATCGTATTCTAAAATTACGCATAATGTACGGTCTGTGCTTAATCGATTAACTGGCCTCCCAAACTAGGACGCTGCTCAAATGATACATTGAAATGGTTATGAACAGGACAAGAACTGCAGACAGGAGTAATGAGCGGCACTTAACTGTTTCTTGCCTTTATTTAGATACAGAAGGAACGCTCGATACCGAAACAGACGAAGAGATAGGAAAAGTCAGAGGTAAAAGGCGATGTTGCTATAATCGGGGATTTGGGATTACTCGTACCACCGTGCGCATCTGTATTGGGAACTCTAACGGATAGAAAAGACAACAAAACCAGTATAATTCAGACCGCGACCTTTATTACCACAGAAAGCGCAACTGTCATCAGTATCGTAAACCGCGCTGATTAATTAAATGTATTTGTTAATTGCAGATAGATCGACACGATTGGTTTCTGCACGAAACATTCCCCAAAACGCCGCTGTATCTTAATATAGCGGCATTTTTATTTCGTGGAATTTTATAACAATAAATTGGTTCCAATTATCCGTTAAGATGGTTCATGCACCGCGGCACACAGATTACACCCTTCCTAAACGGCGACCTCGGCTGTGTTTTGAAATAAAAGCTTATTAACGCGCAGACAAAAGCAATTTGCTGCATTTTAGCTACGTATCCACATGTTTAGAGATAGCGCCCTCCTCTGGATACCCAGAACACCTTCTTGCACGTGATGCTTTAACTTAGTATTATATCGATCTCGATTTAATTACGCAGTGATAAGCGATGATCCGTATTAATCTTTTACAATGATTTCCTGGATTAAGCTACCCACCAACTGTAGCGCGTGAAGAGTTTGCCACGAAGCGCGCACCTTAATATTCACAAACAGCTCGCCGGGAATTTTCGGGAAGCGTAAAATGCACCCATCTAGGCTGCTCCTTCTACTGGCATATTATGTTTCTCCAGTCATTTCTCTATTGAACATCAGTTTTGTAGCCCTTGGGCGCATGGGACCGTTTACTGCTTATGGAACATTTCCTTATACTGGTCCACCATTATCTATCGGTACGGAAGTCGCCCAGCAAAAATACGCTGAAAGCATGCGGTTTACGTTGGACTTTGTGCATCCACCGGTAAGTTCTGCTTCCGGGCCACTGGACTTGAAAGACGTTGTTGTGGGGTTGGCAGCTGATTGGCACTATACCAAGCGCAAGGAGAGCGATATTACTATCTACACAAATACTGGTACGGCTTTACGCAAGGTCTACAATGAATTCCTGATTACATTATTACAGACGCGCTTTCTCAACAACATATAGGTATTACATACTTGTTAGCACTTACTAAATCATAACCTACAAAAACCGATCACCGATTCTTAACTGCCTATGACGACAAAAGGTCAAAAATCAGATTTGTACCAATTTTTTAAGTTTGAACTGTCTTAGGCGGCATCGAAGCCACAGAAATCCCAAGTTTTATGAGGCAGTGGAACACATTGTGGATATCAACGTACGCTGGACTTCATGCTGCACAACCGCTGGCTCGAAACGAAAATTCGTACTAGCGCTTTACAGATTGTCCGCCGCCTCGCACATTAGCAATCGCCTCACAAACCCGACATGGATCGCTGTGAACGACCTCTCCACATCCCAGTGCGCTGAGCTGTACATCCAAATCCTGCTAAAGTACAATTGGACCACAGTGTTTCTGATCATCGATCCAGGAGAACCGTCTGTCTTTTCCACCGTGGCTTCCCTACTTCTGAAAGAACTTCAAAGGCAATCCGCTATTAAGCATTTCGCTCAATGGATATCAACAAAAGGCCCCCGTACTTCTTTCGGGGCATTTGATTCGATCCTGCGAGATGTTGCTGGAGTCAGTCGCGGTATGTGTTATTGCCTGCATCAGACCGTTGTCTGTACGATAAAACGTTGCGGTCTTTTTAGTTGTTTTATTCTTCGGCCATGCGGTATTTTTACGGGAGCTCTTGGTATCAAGTGTTTCCAGAAGTTTACTTATTCCTAACAACTGTAATGCGAAATGATAATCGGTTTTATTGCTCGCAGATAACGGCCGCAAATATGGGCATGACAAACGGAGAATACGTAAGAAACTCATCCTTAGACCATACGGAGCTGTAGTATTCATATTGCATATGGATGGCCCTTACAGTGAATTTTTGCCTGCAAATTCTATAGGTGTACACAGCTCTGGAAGTTATGCGCAATATACCTCTTTGTGGCAACTTTCATTGGCGATATAACGACAGTAACGATAAAGTAAAACTGCAAAAATACATTCGAAGAATTCGGAATACTAATCCATCCTTTTACGCATCCTTTTACCTCTTCTAGATTGCATTCCGCGCATATCAGTCGCTATTTATTGTTCAACCAAAAAACGTCGACATGGCACCAAATATTCAATTAGGAACGGAATTCATACGTCGTTCGGCACAAGACTACAACCTGAACTATAATATATCCGATCAGGTGATAGTTTTGCAGAAAGGTTATATTGGTTTGTATGTAAATACTTGCTTCGCAGCAAATGGGCAAATAAAACATGTGTTCTCTCTAGCGATACGAGACCAAAATTGCATATAATCGCAAAAAAAAATAAAACGCCTTGAATTTGCTATGTTAAATAACGAAGAACCTTTAAATACCTTTACTAGAACATGATTGTCCTTTACAGAATTTCCCAAATCTGGTCAGCAGCTACTGGGCAATTTTGGCAACCGCTTCGGTATAGAGATGCATGTTAACGATGGGTTATTAAGGCGCTCCCAGTTTTTCCTTCAAATCATTCGTATTGCGCTTGCTGTCTTGGTTTAACGCTGGACCGATGGATATCTTTCGACTACTTTTTGGCCTGACTTTATGTCTTTCTAAGGATTTATTTCCTTTTACAGTTCATTAACGCATCGCTGTCGCGGGCGGAAAATGTGGATTACCGTGATGGCAGAGCATTAGCGCGCCTTTTTCTTAATCGAACATATGCCGATGAATACGGTAGCATGTACATTGACAGCACTGGACAACGGCGTACGGATTTTGTCGTCACGTACTTTAACTCATCCGGAAGTCGAACAGTAAGCCAGCCTATTATATGATTAAATTCGATGCGAAGCTCCCTCAGGCAGAGCTGAACGTGTTGCAGCCATTTTTAACGAAACTTGGAAACAGCGAGTCACTGATGGAAGTAGTAAACTTGACGGAATGGGCAAACTTCAATATAACTTTTCCTCCACCCAACGAACCCAGATGTGGCTATTTAAACAACAAATGTTGGCAGAAAAGGGAAGGTATGCGGCCACGAATGTTTTGCAGCTTGGTATTTGTTGTCACAACTCCGTGCGTTTCTAGCTGAAAATTCGCCGGTTCTCATCATAATTTTCACTATTCCGGGAATCGTAATTTTTGCTCTGATGGCCTTTATTTTTCGTTGGAGGTACACATAATAATTTTTAAATGTACGTATAATTGTCCTACAGTAACCTGCGCAATAATACTTTTGCAGATATTTGAAACTGAAAAATGATAAAGAACTTCTGAACAGCACGTGGTGGCAGGTTAATACGGACGAGCTGAAGCATCCGTCGTCTTCCCACTCGAACGCCTCCTCGTTTTTTGCTGCACCCGGGAAACCGTACAATGATGGTGTTTCCATATTGTCTCGTGCTAAGACGGTATGTGGACAGATTTACTCTATAAAGAACTTATGTCATATAACAATTATAAGCTGTACAGGAAATACTTATGCGATATGTATCATTCCGAGGAAAAGCCGTCGTGTGCTTCCCAATTGCCGACGGACATGGGATCTTCAATTTTCAAGACCTTTCCAGTCAGCTCAGTTTACTGAAGCTGTTCAGAAATGTAAGACTGTGCAGTTCCTTTATTGAGAATTTTTCAAAATGTCTTAAATTATTTTAAAAAAAGAACCGTAGTCCAAAATAGTTGTGTTGCAGTATTGGCAACTAGAGCATCAGAATGTGTGCCGCTTTTATGGGCTAAGCATAACCGCGAAGGATGCTTCAAGATTTCACATATTCGCGATTTTTTCTTGTCCGCCGAGAGGCAACCTGCCACAAGTGTGCAAAGTCATGGGCAAAGATTTCATATTTACAAGTTCATTTGTCATGGACTTCCTTGAGGTAAGTTTTTCTCACAGCTGTTGCTCAGGCACTACTGTTTCTACATTGCTGGTGCTTCACAGGGATTGAGCTTTGTCCACCAATCCCGTATGCGTTATCACGGCCGATTGAGCATTTTCAGCTGTTGGATTGATAAGCATTTCACGTTGAAGCTTATGAATCTGGCCTGCGATAGAATTTGTAAGGGGCTGGAAGCTGTCGATAGTCGCATTCACTCTTATGGCCCAACGTATTCCGTCTGGGAACGGTTTTTCTGGTTGGTCCCAGAGATGGGCGAAATCGACCACTGGGACAGCACTTTCAGTATCAAGTCCTTGCAAGCGGTGGATATATATTCCTCGGGATTCGTCCTTTATGATATATTGACTGGAGGGTCGATGTACCGAAAAATGCAGGAGATGTTCGGTGATCAGTTAAATAACTTAGTGTTTGAATAAGTTTTCATAAAACTAATATGATTCGTAGGCATGGCGACTGCTGTTAACCTGGACAGTAAACACGAAAATCCCCTGGTTTCAACAGTAGATTACATGGAGATTGCCGAATTGGCTAGTGCCATTCATAGCTGCCTAAGCGCCAATCTCGAGGACCGACCAAACATTAAGCAGCTTCGCACCCAGCTGCAGGAATTGTCGCCGTTACTTTCGCCGGAGTTGAACCAATACAAATTGTTTGATAAGATTTATCAGCGATTGTGCCAGCATTCCAACAGACTGGAGCGCGAAGTTACCGCTCGGTCCAGAGCATTGCGAGACGCCAAGAGACGCTGCGATGTGCTTATACAGCAGTTTCTGCCAAAGTAAGCAAATAAAGCGTAAATCCTGATCTCACAAAGTCTGTAGTTAAGAATGTTATTACAGGGAAATCGTGGACAAGCTACGCACAGGTCAATGTGTCGATCCCGAACTCTTCGACTGCGTCACAATCCTATTCACCCAATTGGACGGTTTTGGGGATTTTGCACGCGCTGCATCACCGGGAGAGATCTTTGCTTTGATTTCCAGAACGGAAGATTTCCTGGATGTCTTGTCCGTTGTTAGGGAGGTCTATAAAGTCGAATCCGTTATGGATTCCGTTTTGGTAAATCTTAATCGTAGAACGGCTTGCTAAATACCACGATCATGTGTCACGGTGTGCTGAAAACGTAAGTATATAGTTTTCCGTTTGGTAATATATTTCCGATCCGCTGCAGGTTGCAAGTGGACTGCCGGAACGCATCGGTCCAGAACAAGTGCGACGAATTGCAGATTTCGCTTTGCGAATGTTGGAGCTGGAATCAACGCTCGTATTACCGAAAGAACTACGTATAAGCACTGGAATGCATTCAGGTGACGCCGTTATTCATTTAAACTGAACACTGAAGTAAAATTCAGTTCGTTTCTTTCTAGGTTCGTGTGCAGCTGGGGTCGTCGGAATCAAAAGGCCGCGTTACTGCTTGTAGGGCATAATACCTTTTATTTTAATAGCGCACAGCGGTAGCGAGTAATTTCATACGCCGTAGTTGGTGCAGCAGTCGAAGATTTATTGTGTTTACAGATTTGGTGATACTATTAATGTAGCATCGCGAATGTGCAGCCATGGATTGCCGGGAAGAATACATCTCAGTGGCGTGTCCGCAGCACTTTTGAAGGAATTTGAAGATTACAATGGTGCTATTACGCTTAGAGGGAATGTGACCGTGAAAGGCAGAGGCGAAATGACCACCTACTGGTTGGAGAATAATCCATCCTTACCGGCAGCGATCCAAGGAAACTAGCAAAACAAAATTCGCCATAGTGAGTGCTCAGGAGGGATGACATTAACCAATAATAGCTTTGCTATATCTTTGGTCGTTAACACACAGTGATTCCACTGGTACGCATTCACTAATGGTAAGATATGACTGCTGTATTTCATGCTTTGATACCGCTGACCAGAGGCTGACTGCTCTTCCCGGTACTACTGCCACATACTGCAGGACGTTGTTGAGAATTTTTGAATGCCCACCGTGTATTAAGTGCTTTTCGAAATGCATTATGTATTCGAACTCCATTATGTATTGTACGACAATGTACGTTACGTGGATGTGTCGATGTGACGCTAGCTAATACTTTGTATGCCAGCATCAATGCATATACTGTAAAGCGAGTGAAGTGCCGCAGAAATTAGAAAACGGCAGAAACTACAGAGGTGCAGTACGATGGCAAAACGCAAAAGATTTGGGATCGTAATGGCATGCGCGTTTAACTGAACAGGGTTAAATTTTCAGATTGCATACGGCAGAGGCTCAGTAGAGTCAGTACATTGAAACGTACGGCGGCAGATATTAAGCAGTACGTCGGCAGGTTGAAAACTGCTTCAGATCTTTTAACGGTTGCACACGTTGGTCACGTATAGACAAACGAAAAAGTACAGACGTTGGTCTGTACAGCAACGAAAAAATTAATCGAGTCGAGTGCGCGCGAGAGCCTGCCCACCCTGCTACGGTCGGCAGTCTGAGCGCACAAAGAAAGATCCACAGGTAGCATGCGCCTTACATTCATCATTCATGTAGGGGAAAGTACTGTCCACTATAACGTCTCCGCGTGTGAATGTCGTGTGAGCAAGAAAACCGGAACGACTGTTCGGCACAGAAGCTTTACTTCTTATGGGCGTAGGCGAACACCGAAGACAACATTCTGGCTAAACATACGGTCGTCACAAACAACAAACAACAGAAAACAGGAACAAACCGCTCAAAGAGAGGCGGGCAAACAAGCAGCTCAACACACTGAGCTCCTTCCACCGAAATAAGAGAAGCGGCGGGCGGGAGAAAACGAAAGTCAACTAACTGTACATTCTGTTCTGCAAATGCTTTATATACTCTGTACTAACCGCACACTTCTTTTCTCTTCCACATACAAAGACACCGCAACCGTCCACAACAAGTCAGTAGCAGTTAGCATGCAATTACTGCAGTGGCTGCCTTTTGTCTTTCTCCAGGTGGTCAGATGCAGACTGGGTGGTCATTATCCATGTCTCTGGGAAACGGCCACGCGCCGTTATAAACAGATTTCTGAGGAAATCTTTCTCGTTAAATAGTGGAAGTCGATGCCGTTATCAATTCGGTTTTGGTAAAGCCATATGTTCACTGGCAGGATATTTTGGGCCTTTCGCCGTTGGAATGCACATTGCCCAGTTACAATCTCCGACTCTCCAGTAACGCAGCAGTACACAAACAATATTTCCTGTTTTCCCCTTTTGACGAAGTGCTCTACAAATACGCTGCATAAACAGAGACACTGCTTGAGGCTGATATTCCGTGACCGCAACGAGAGGATAGGTCCGGGACATTAGGTGGGCGGAAAAAGATTGCGATCTGAAAATGTTTCGCCTAAATTATTGACCCCGCCATATGTTTTACTGCGCCGCGCCGTACCATCGGCGTGCTTTATATTTAAAGCAGTTTATGAGTAATGCATAAAAACCGAAGTTGCTGTATGCCCGAGCGATGCTGATCATGACCTTCAAGGCATCCTTAAAGTGACACAATCAATTTACTGCAGTAGTTTTTGCGGTATGTATACTTCTATGTATAAAACCTTCTAAGGTTACCTATTCTGAACTGCTTCATGTTTTCCATCATAAGCGTGGTGTCATGCCGTTTTCTTGTGGATATTTTTTTCTAGTCGACAATAAGTTTCCTGATTTTAGAACGTTTCTGTTTTGCAGTCAAGGAGTAATCGATACTCAAAAGTAAAGGTTAACTGTTGTCTTAACGTATTAACGAATCTCCCGCGGTTATTTTCTGATTAAAATGCCATGGCCATATGTCAGTAAACTAAAGGTCGCCTGACCCATATAAAGTCTGCAGCGCGACTGCATTCAGGAAAATTAGATCACTTACTGACATGATATACGTTACGTTGTGCTTGTTTTTATGCACAATTATTATTTTGTTTGTCGTTTTTCGAACCAGTAAGGCTCTCAGTGGTTATTACGCTAAAAGTTTGTCTAAGGCATAATGCTTCAGAGTGCAGCGTTTTTGCTTCTTGTTGGGTGTGCATTAAGAGTAAATGCGATTCTAAACCTCAGTTTTGTGGCGGTCGGCCGTCTGCTGCCGTTGAGCAGTTATGGTGTATTTCCGTACATCGGTCCGGCACTATCCGTTGGTACGGAACATGCACAACAGAAATACACGGGAATAATGCAGTTTAAACTGAATATGCTGTATCCACCGATCCGTCCGGGTCTGAAACCACTGGACATGGGAGACGTTGCTGTGGGGCTTGTTTCAGAATGGCATTACACTAAGCGACAAGAGAGCGACATCACAATCTACACAAACCCCGGTAAGGCGTTCAGTCTGTAGTATGTAGCAGCATTCGCAAATGACACTTTCTATGACATTGCTTGTAAACGGTATTAAGAAAGTACGGAGCGTCTCCTAAACAAATTATCTTAAAACTAAATCTGTATCGTATACGTAACAGAAAAATCTGCAATTAGCGGTCACAATTGTAGCAACAAGACATGAGACAACTCGGGCAAGTATATTGTCATACAGAAAAAAATCAATGGCTGTACGGAACATTGTGGTGATATATTGTTTCCGATTGCTTTTACCAACCGTTATGACGGTTACAGCCGGCTTGGAAATGACCGAACTCCCTTATTTTATGCGACAGTGGAACACCTTGTGGATGTCAACGTAAATGTTTCTTTAATCAGCACGTCCTGGTCTACATCCTGGAGCAATATTAATGACGGTTTTTGCAGGATGGCAACTACTCCACAAATAAGTGACCGTAAAACGAATCCCACTTGGGTGGCTATTAACGATTTTTCCACGGCCCAGTGCGCACAGCTGTATATCCAGATACTGAATAAATTCCACTGGACTACAGTCTTCTTTATTATCGACCCCGAGGATCCTACAGTCTTTGGGATTGTTGCCTCGCTCATCTTGAATGAACTGAAAAAGCAGGACAGTATCAAGTACTTTGTTCAACGCATATCCACGAAAGATCCTACAGTCCCTTTCGGAGCATTCGGGTCGATTTTAAAAGATGTTTCGGCAGTGTGCCGCGGTTGGTGCCATTTGCTGCATTCCATATCATATCTCTGTTCTGTTGTAAATTAAGGTTCCCGTATCCACCCTCAACATTTCCCGTTAATTATACTTCATTTCGGGTTGCAGTGGTTTTATTTTTCGGCCGCGCCGTATTTCTACGTGAACTTTTGGTAACAGATTCAGCAAACTAAGAAACTCTGGTTGACTCAAAAGACTGTTTTCAGATAACAGCAGAAAATATGGGCATGACAAATGGCGAATATGTAAGCAATCGAATCACAAGTTTAGTGCTCCGTAAATTAACGCGGTTCAAAGTCAATTTATGAGAAGCATAATATGCGTAAGTAACTACTTGCAGGTGTATTTGGGTATGGAAACCATGCGAAACAAACGAATCCTCGGCGACTTTAACTGGAAGTACAACGATGATAACGATTCGGTAAAGTACCTTTTAAAAGGCTTACGGGTGGCTATTGTTGACTAGTGACTGTTGCGGTTGTCTAGACTGCCTTCCGCGCTTATCAGTCACTTCTTCTCGTTCAGCCAAAAAACGTTGATATGGCTCCCAATTTTGATCTCGGGATGGAATTTATTCGTCGTTCGGCACGAGAATATAATTTCACGTACAACATTACCGATCAGGTGAATGAGACTGAATGGATCTACTGCAAAGTAATAAGAGTAAATGCCGAACTACAAAGTATGCACAACGTTTGAATGCACGTAAGAGATCTCCCGTACGTTCTTACATTAAATTTTGACAACGTAAACAGTATTACCGATTTAACTGTTTTGCCGAATTTGAGTACCGTTTTACGGAATAATAATAATTTACTTTGTAGAGCTTTCCAAATCTCATCACTAGTTATTGGGCAATTTGCGCTATCGCAGCGGTAAGAAAATTGTAAAACGTTTATTGTGCAAAGCCCCTTAACTACGTACAGCTTTAGTCGATGGTTGCTAAACTGAACGTACGTGATGTGTGCGCTGCTTAGTAACAATTAGCAATCCCCCCGCACTCCGAAATTACTAATGTTTAGCTGTGGTAGGAGCTACTCAATCGGAATAACGGTTTACAGGCATTTCGTTTAACAGTTTATTAACGAATCGCTGTCACGAGGAGAGGAAGTAAATTACCAAGACGGCAAAGCTTTAGCACGCCTTTTCCTGAATCGAAGTTATTCTGATGAATACGGCAAAATGTACATCGACAACACTGGACAACGGCGTACCGACTTCGTTGTCACCTACTTTAACTCTACCGGAATACGCACAGTAAAACAATATGTTTCCTGAGTAATCAAAGTATTCTGTATAGAACACGGAGATATTAAATTGGTCCAGTTAAATATATCCGTAATCTATGTATATCCAGTCTCGTATAAAGTATCCACTTTAATTTTTCCAGCCATTTTTAACCAGAACGGGTATGAGCGAAATCTTAGTGGAGGTCGTCAATTTAACAAAGTGGGCTTCTGTGGGCGCTGAATTTCCTCCACTCAATGAACCGGCGTGTGGCTATTTGAATAACAAACCCATATGTTGGCATACTGGTGAGGATAGTAGATAATAGTCCGTTACATAGCGCTGACTTTTTAAAAGGTGCTGAGAAAAGTGTCAGAATCAAAGTCCATTGAGATAACGCACAACAACCACTACCGTGATAACACATGAACTGTTATGACGGCATCTGTGAACGCAAAGTGAAAACACCTACTGGACATCTAAGTGGAGCAAGCTGGCATCTATGATGCGTGCAGTGCCGAAACAAAAAGCTACTCGGGAGTAGGTTTTCATTCCGGCACAACGTTTACAAAGTTGTGGGTGTGCTATATTTCATATAGCCAATCCGTGCTCTCGCGCTTATCTCGAATGAACTTTGGTTTTGACGGTTAGAAAGGCAAACAGATAAACCGTCACGGCATGTAACGGACTAATATTTTCAATTCTTGTTTGCAATATAGTGTTTGCAAAATTCCAGGTACAATGATGACAACGTACATTACTGCGGCGACCTTACTAGGCATTTTCATTATTGCAGCAATGTTCGGAGTTGCTCGCTGGAGGTAATCTTGAGAATTTCCTTACTTAAGGATCTTTTTATTTATTAAATGGATTATGCATCTCCTTACAGAAGAGACTTCAAGAGAGTAAAACTTGTAACATCAATTTTTTTCTACGCACAGTTGAAAGCGATGCCATCTACCATAGTAGTATTCACTATATTCGAGTGTCATGATATGACCGCAAGTACGAATTCGTTTTTTTAAACAGATATGTCAGATTGAAAGATGAAGGTAAGCTTCTGCTCACTCCATGGTGGGAAGTGGAGATTGAGGATCTGAAGCCGCTGTCACATTTCCATTCCAACGCTTCGTCGTTCTTTGCTGTTCCAAAGATAACTTGTGACGCGGTTTCCGTTTCATGTCAGTCGGTTAGTATCACGAAGTTTTGAGTATCGGTTAGTATCACGCAGGTTGAGTATCACGAAGTATGGGTTTTTTGAGCGGTAGCTGTCATATTCAGTTTGAGGTTATGACCACGTAGTTTCCGTTAAACGTTCCGCTCCGAAAAGTAGGCCAACTGACCACAGATTTACGCAACGGCAAAAAGTAGATACTCAGTAGATACTCAATAACTCAGTAGATATTCTACTCAGTAGATACTCTATAAATCTTGATATCACACACAGAATCGTTTTTCAAACGACTGTGACACAACTATGTGCTCGGCATGATACATTCGTACGTTTTGTATCTGAAAATCCACGCGATGGTTTGCCAGAAAACTCCCTTGCCTGCGCGCTTTGCACTGATATGTGAAGCCATTGATGAAAACCCATCAATGCACTAACCTGTATGCTTTGTTAATGATGTTATAATATGCAGATCAAACATTCTTAGGAGCCAGCGATACGATTTCTTTCTCTCCGAGGAAAAGCTGTTGCGGCCATTTCGGTGGCTCGCGGAAAAAGTTTGCTGAATTTCAAGGACCTTGCCAGCAACCACAACCTACTTAAGTTGTTTAGAAAGGTGAGGTACATATTATATATACGAGCTTTGTATTCCCGGCACTGAGGTGGAGTAATATTTTACCGGACCCATTAGCCTAAACTGAAAAATGTTTCGCAGTATTGGAGAATGGAACACCAGAATCTTTGCCGGTTCTACGGATTAAGCATCTCCCTAAACAGCACTTCCGGGTGTGACGTCCTTGTTGTGTTTTCCTGTCCATCACGAGGCAATCTACCTCAAGTGTACAGCAATACGATTATAGGCAAAGACTTCGCCTTCAATAGTTCCTTTGTTATGGATTTCCTCGAGGTATGCGCTATCAAGCTGTCCAACACCGATCACTGCGAAATCAGCCGTAGCTGCGATCTTACTATTACTGTCACCGAAACAGGCTTTTTATTTTTCTTACAGGGTCTAAGTTTTATTCACCATTCGAAGCTGCACTATCATGGTAGACTGAGTATCTTCAGTTGTTGGATTGATAAGAATTTTACCCTCAAGCTCATGAATCTGGCTACCGATCGGATCCTTGACCAGATGGACAACATTGTCACTGTTGGTAACGAATATAACGGTATACAATCAGTTTGGGAGGAATATTTTTGGTTCGTCCCGGAGCAAAACGAAATCGACCAGTGGGATCGCGCTGCAAAGTCCATGCAAGCGGTCGATATATTTTCTGCTGGATTGGTTCTGTACGATATATTAACGGGAGGATGTCTATACAAAAAGATGCAGGATACATTTGGTAAAGTCTGCTTTCGACGGTTTAAAGAACTGCCGCTTCTTCTTTAACTGAGTTTGATGCATTTTAGACCCGGCAACCTTTTTTAATAAAGATGACTGCCACGATAATCCACTCACAGCAGCTGTAGATTACATGCACGTCGCCGAGTTGGCCACTGTTATCCACAGTTGCCTAAGCAATGCTCCCGAGAACCGCCCGAACGTCAAGCAACTCTGCGCGCAACTGAAAGAGCTTTCGCCACTGCTGGCACCCGAACTGAACCAGGATAAATTGTTCGATAAAGTCTATAGGCGATTCTGCCTGTATTCGAACCGGTTGGAGCGTGAGGTCGCCGCACGCTCAAAAGAACTGAGGGAAGCTCGAAGGCGTTGTGACGCACTCGTCCGGCAATTCCTACCAAGGTACAACGGTTCTACGTGGATTGGTGCAAAAAGAAAATGCACATCAAATTTAATTATGCATTAATGCTTTTACTCGGTAGAGAAATTGTCGACAAGCTGCGTAACGGCCAGTTTGTCGAGCCGGAACTGTTCGATTGCGTCACCATTATGTTCACCCAGATCAACGAACTGATCAATTTTGCGCGTGCGGCCTCTCCGGAGGAAGTGATCGCGTTGGTTTCGAAGACAGAGGATTTTTTGGATCTGCTGTCTACGACATTCAACGTTTACAAGGTGGAGGCTGTCATGGATTCATTTTTGGTAATACACATCGCTGCGTATGGTTATGTCTCACTTTGAACTATTTTATTCCAACGTTTAAGCGTTCTTTACGCAGACCACAGAGCGGCAAAGACTTGCAGTTACATTCTGTTAATTATTTTTTCGTACAAGTGTGCGGTGAAGGCCAGTACATGCGCATGCTTAATTTTAACGCATCGAACAGCGACAGAAAGTTGCATTTTTTAAACGACAAAGAGGCGACGCTAATATTTTACATATGTAATAATATACGGGACGGGCTTCAAAACGGAGCTTTCTAAAGGTCACTTGGGACGGTGAAGGTAATCTCGCCGGCAAAGGCAAACGTAAAGGTAAAGTTGAAAAAGGCACAGTGTAAAAGCAAAGGCAAAGGGCGGGCAAAGGTGAAGTAGGCCGACCCCGTGCTAATACGGAATCACTGATCATAACGAGCCGCAGACTGTCGTATGGTTTCTGCTCATTTTTAGGTTTTGGTTTTTACTTACGTATAGATATGGCCCGGTATGGGCTCCTATGGATCTAATCATCTAGCAACATAACAGCAATTGACTGCTGTTAAGTGTTGATGTACGTACAGGTAGCAAGTGGACTGCCGAATCGCATTGGCGCAGAACATGTCCGGCGAGTGGCGAACTTTGCTCTACGAGTGTTGGAGCTTGAGCCAATGCTGGAATTGCCGCAGCAACTGAGCATCAAGACAGGAATGCATTCAGGTTGCGAATTTGTAGTTTTTTACTTTGCAATTTTTATACAAGTCTGCTGTTTAGGGCCGTGTGCAGCCGGAGTCATCGGTGTTCGGCGGCCCCGTTACTGCATGTACGACTTTAGCATTGGTCAAAATTTAACTTGTAAATTTTTATCATGTATAATAAATCCAGCTGCAGCTTGCAACTCTCGAAAATTTGAAGCGAATATCTTAGCAAGTGGTACATGAACTACTTGAATTTTTCATATCTGTTACCTAGATTTGGTGACACTATTAACGTCGCGTCGCGAATGTGCAGCCAAGGGATGCCGGGACGAATACATCTCAGTCATAATTCCGCACTCCTTTTGAAAGAATTCGAAGAGTATGACTATATTGTGGTGCTTCGAGGATTGTTGAAAGTGAAAGGGAGAGGAGACATGACCACCTACTGGCTATTCAGCAAGACATTTACACCGGCACTGACAACACCCACACGAACTAAAACTATGTAGAGTTTGGGTAATAAAAATTTTACCTTTTGTAGGATTGCCCGATGAGATGCGACGTGCTTTTATACATGTAAAAACTGTTATTTGTAGATTCCACTGTTAATAATTAATTATCGTATCGTAGTGCCATTTGGTGTTTCTAATATTTGTTTGCCAAATATCTTCGCTGATTTTTCGCCCAAAACAAAACGTGTCCCGCTACGCCACTTACAAAAAAAACTGGTTTAAAACCATCGAGTTGTGCTTAAACCTATGTTTAAACCCATATTTAACCTACGCCAAACCTGTGTTCCTGTTTCATAAAATAATAACAACCCTTAAAAAAATACGGGGGAGACCAATAACTTCGTAAATGTCCCAGGAGGGAACTACTCGTATTTGCGAGGAGGGGGACATAAACTGATAAAATACGGTAACTAAGAAAAGAGTGTGCAATGACAGAAGACTGCTGCATCGGCCCATTGTATTCCGGAATCTGTTATGGAGCAACAATCGGATAGGATTCCGTTCAACCTGTATACGTTGGAGCGGGTGCATAGACCCTCAAGGTCAGTAAAAATCTTCTCCCTGTCTTCTCACTGTAATGTCTTTAAGCAGGAAAAAAAACAGATAAACGACAAAAAAAGGTACAGGTAATTCGATTAACCGGCTCTTCAACACTGCAACAAACTGCGTTTTGGAACAGATCCAAATAACTACTCAGTAGGGAAGTGCAGCACTATAAGACTGAAGCAAAGCCAGAAACGGGCTGTATCGGTAAATACGTATACATACCGCTACCTCATCCATGAAGTAACCAGGCAAATTAGTATTAAATTATCGTTTTAACTGATTATGTAATTTTTTTAGGAATTATTAGTGCGTGACCGACGTGGCAAAAGGTCCGGTATTCTTGAACATAGAGGACCTGGTTTTGCTTCGGTCGATGATATATGCAGATTGTGAAAAAATCGGCTGTCATTCATATTGCACAGGATTCCAGGCAGCGTTGTACTCTGTAAAATTTTATAGTATACTCGAACTCTCGAAGTATGTTCAGCATAAGAGTCGCCTTACTTGTTAGTATTATGCCGTATCGTTATAACGCTGATCATGTAGTATTTATTAGCACAAGCCATTTACAATAAACAAATTTTATATCAACAATGGAGTTGTGGTCAACAATCATGTGCTCGCTTATTAAGCGAACACAGAATAATAATATTGATATTGAGTGCGACACTCGTATTGTGCCACAGGCAACCAAACGGCAGCCACCTGCTTCCACTATCCAGGTATCGTGTAGCAGCTCGCTGAGCGCTTAACGCTTAGAAGAAATTCTACAACCTAAAAAATTTAATGATTGTTGTTTGATGTTCGCTGTTACTTACTAGTAACACAACAGTGTTGCTTTATAATCCATCATGGAAAGATGGAAGGGACGTGTAGCTCTCGTAACGGGAGCATCTGCCGGGATAGGTTATGCCATTGCTGATGCGCTGGCTCGAAACGGCATGAAAGTGATTGGCTGCGCGCGGAACACCGAGAAAATTCTAGTAAAGTTTAATGGAAAACTACCGCAATTTTGCTTTCAATTTTGATTTCAAATTATTTTGTCATTACAATTTAGGAACTAGGCAAAATGCATAAGAGCGGTCCTGGCAGCGTAGAAGCGGTCGTGTGCGACGTTAGCCAGCCTGAACAGATCACCGCTATGTTCGAGCATATAGAGAAACGCTATAAATACATCGATGTGTTGGTCAACAACGCGGGAATTGCATCATTTGCTTCGTTACTGTCAGGGAAGACTGAGCAATGGAGGAAACTTTTTGAGGCAGGTGGACAATGTTATTCGCCATTAGCCAATGTTATTCACTACAACTGAAAAGTTAGGTACAGTAGATTTGCTGGTTAAATAATGCAGGTGAATGTTCTGGGATTATGTATCTGCGCGAGAGAAGCTTTGAATCTCATTCAAAAGAATGGTGTCACCGACGGCAATATCATTAATATCGGCAGGTAACAAAACCTTAAAACTGATAATTAATCATTTAATTAGCAACTAGAATCCTTTAACACCACTAGAACTGGCAGTTTACATGTACATCGTAATCTGTACCATATTGTACGTCTGAATTGCTGAATTGTTTTTCCGCTCCGTTGCAGTACTGCTGGGCATTCTCATTTAAACTTTCCCGATGGACATTTTTATTCGGGCACCAAGCATATGGTCACTTCGCTGACGGAATCTCTGCACCGAGAAGTGCGGGCCATGGAGCCGAAAAACAACATTCGAATCACGGTACAAACAATAACACTGGGTATTTGTCTGGATCCCAAATATTATTGGAAACGATTTGCGTATATTTACAGGATATTAGTCCTGGAGTTGTAAAGACCGAGATTGTACAGCGGTCTTTAGCTGAGATCGGTGAATCTCAGGAACAGTTGGATTTTCTGCACGACTACCAAACATTAAGCAGCGAAGAAATAGCAGACAGCGTGCTGTATGTACTGTCCGCTCCTCAGCATGTTAACGTCAAAACGCTCATCATTGCTCCCACGCAGCAACCGGAGATGTGACTTCCGCTTACAATAAAAAGTCGATCAATATGTACTTTCAAAAGCTGCAAAAACATCATCAACGTGCAGTTTATCAATAGTCACCATTTTAAGTGTAAAAACAGATATGCGGGAGAGCTGACAGATAAAGTAATCAATAAAAATTTATATAAACAATGAAACTGCAGTAAAACTAAGTAACCGTGTCGCTTACTCCTGCGAGCTGGCGACTCGTAAAGAAGCCTAACGGTTTCGTGTAATTGTTTTCACAAAACTCTGATTTTAATGCCGCCCGGGTAACATGCACATAAATTTCCTTTTTTTTCTACGATAGAACTAAAATGTGAGTTTGAATTTCCGCAACTTAAAAGGTACATATGTACATGAGTGTACAGCAGAGTTGCCCCATTTCCAGTTTCGAATGGAGATGGGCCCTATTTTTCCCCCATTTCCCATTCACCGCTGCAGCGTTCGAAATTTATGGCCCATGGAGTGACGAGACTAAACACATAGTGCAAAAGGTCGGGAACGGTATCGCCACTGCCACAGGCCAGAAACGAGCGAAAGAGTTTTTTTAGACAGCGGTTATCTATCCAAATGCAACGGGGAACGCGACATGTGTTATGGGTACAATCCCCGAGCAGGATAACATTGAAAAAGTGGCTTTGTTATAAATCTCGTTTTTTCTTGTACTCAGTTTGTACTTACATGACGATACTTATTAAAGGCAGAGAACGAGTACATTACCGTGTTGTTATTCGATTTAATATGGTGCTCGCATTGGTATTCAACCGGTTACAGCCACAAAAACCGGTTCGGGTTAAGAATATAATAGAATATAATACTTGCTTTTATATCCAATATTCTACACGATTGCTTGTGTTGGTGCATGAGACACACTGTGGGCTGAGCGTCCTTTGCACAGCGCACCTATTAACCGCAAATTTGCCTCGAGCGCTAACAGCACCGAGCACTGTTTTGATGGACAGTATCTGTATGTGCCGTTAAATTTCGGCAATCAGAAAATTACAGAGCGTGATACCACAATTGATACAAATATTCAGCTCTTGAGTACACTTCCATTGCCGCTATGGAAAGATGGCAAGGAAAAACTGCTCTCGTAACGGGAGCATCGGCAGGAATTGGTTACGCTATTGCCGATGCGCTAGCTCGTAGCGGAATGAAAGTGATTGGTTGTGCGCGCAACACCGAGAAAATTCTGGTAAGTAACTCTAATTAATCGGCTGGATTTTTCAGTCAAGCGAAAAGTTGTTAATCTTCGGCTCAATAAATGGTGTGGCCTCAATAAAGGAGCTGGCAAAGAAGTACAAGAGCGGACCCGGTTGTGTGGATGCGGTGCAGTGTGATGTCACCAAAACTGAACAGATTACAGCCATTTTTGAGCACATTGAAAAACATTACAAGCATGTCGATGTGCTAGTTAACAACGCCGGGATCGCGAAATATGACACCTTGGTGTCCGGAAGAACCGAAAAATGGCGGGAAATGTTTGAGGTATGGTTGACTTTAGCCTATACGTTGCTTCAATATGTTCAGTGTAACTGCGCTCAGTTAAAATAATTTAGATAAACGTCCTCGGACTGTGTATTTGCGCGAGGGAGGCACTAAAGCTCATGCAAAAATACAACATTACGGACGGCAACATCGTAAACATAAACAGGTAAAATGCAGCGAATAGTTAGCGATTCGTCTGCAGAAAAATAACTGTTTTTACCTGCCAGTTTAGCAGCGTGAGATTTTCTGAGGTTGATTAATTCAGTGTTTTGCAATAAACGGTAAGGTTATGCTTGTGATTCTTGCTGGGCTAAAATTGTTATTTGTTGCAGCTACACAGGACACTTCCACATGAATTTGAGCAATTTGAGCATCATTCTCGCTTTGAGCAGCTCATTCTCGCTTTGAGCAGCTCGAATACGGATCTTATTTTTTTTTAGCACTGTAAACCGTGTATCCGTGTACATCAAGCTGTATGTTAACTGCAGTGACCTTTAACAATATTTTGATTGGAAACTTTAAATATCATGGGTAACCCCGAAGACGGGGACGACTCTCATGTGGAAGACTTATCTGACCTACAGTATGTTGATCTGATCAAGAAACTATCCGATATTATTGACGAATTGTACGACAACCTGCCATCCAAAGGTTCCAAGACCAAAATTCTGCCGATTTTGACCGATAACGAGGAGGCCTTGAAGCGCATTCCGTCCCTGCTGAAGGACCATCACATTCGCCTGTATGAAAACGCCCTGAAAACGGAGACCCAGCTGACCTGTGAGAAGGAACGTGTAATCCAACTGACCCGCGCAAATGTCGGCACTGCCAGTGCTTCTACCAACGACTACGATACGGAGGAACCATCCCGCCAGCGAGCAACCTACGCCAAGGTGGTCACCAGCTCCAGGCCGCCAAACCAAAAGAAAGTCCTGCTGTTACATCCTAAAGATGCCGCCCCGTCCAACCGTGCCCGTAAGTCCGCCAACGAGATGGCTGATTTCTGCAAAACTCTGACAGAAATTCTTCCCAATGGAATGGAAACTGCTAACATCACCCATATGAGACCGGCGTCTGGTAAGTCAGTACTGGTAGAATTCAAAAGCGAAGAAGATGCTGTGAGAGGAGAAGCTATGTTTGGTAAACATGCAGACAAACTTGGTGTGTCTATTAAGAAGCCCGCTTCCCGAAAATACAGAATGATTGTACGCAGAGTGCCAGTTGCTTTAACGGAAGATGAGTTTTTACGTGAGCTATCGTCAAAAAATTTGCCAGAAAAAAGCGAAGTCAAAGTGGTAACTTTTTTGAAAAGTAGACGTGCCGATTGTAGTACTTGTGCAGTTGTAATCGAAGTTGACCTTGCGACAAGAAATTATCTGTTAAACGACAGACAAACTGTGAAATTAGGGTGGTTTCTGTGTCCCGTTTCTGATCATTTCTATATTCCTCAGTGCAAAAAATGCTGCGAATTTTTCCATAATGAAAGAGATTGTAAAAGCAAGCCTATGTGTGCGTATTGTGCTAAAGATCATTTGTCAAGTGATTGTACAGAGGATGATAACTTTGCTTGTGTGTGCGCAAATTGCCGTAAAGCCGGGAAGTCCTCACCTGAAAATATGCATTCGGCCTTTGCACACGACTGGTGTGATGTCTACGTAGATCTAAAAAATTCGAAAACCTTTTACAATAGCTATCGAAAAAACGAAGTAAGATCCCGGAACCTATAAAAGCTGATCCAACAATCATCATGAAAGAGAATTCTACCCTGAAACCTGACGTGAAAATTTCTAGCCGGTTACGTAATGTTTGTACAGTTAAGGTCCGTTATTCCAATGTAAGAAGTGTTAACAAAAAAGACAGCGAAATAAAATTTTTTTGTTCCGAAGCGGATATTATTGGTCTAACTGAGACTTGGGACGTTGATGAATTTGTTGATGAAAAGTTCGCGGATCTTCGTTCTTTTAACGTTTTCAGGAAGAAGCGAGTCGGTAAATTAGGTGGTGGAGTTGCATTAATTGTTCGACAAAACCTTAGACCTTTTAGATTAACAGAACTGGAAACGGATACTCTTGAAGCAATTTTTGTTAAAATTTCTGCCATTGACAGAATTGTGATGTGTGTGTACATTTCTCCTGAGAAAGTTCAATCAACAATTCCGATCCTGTTACAACATCTTGAAGAAAAAATTCCAGTTGATGACATGTCTAAATTAATAATTATTGGCGATTTTAATTTGCCAGGCCTTGACTGGCTGAATATGAAAGGTCAATCACAGGTTGGCGACGATTTGATCTTTTTTTTAAAAGAATTTTCTTTAAGCCAAATAATTAATTTTCCAACTCGTGAAAAAAACTGTTTAGATTTATGCATGCTTTCCCCTAAGACGTGCGTGGCATATGTGAAGCCAATTAATCCACCGTCGGTCAAATGCGATCATATCGCCTTTGAACTCTCCATTTCAGTCAAACGAGCAAAGTCTGTACCGTATATGCCGCCGAGTTGGCATATCTCCAATGCCGATGTACAAAGTTTTGTAAATGATTTAAGCGGGGTAAACTGGGTTGACCTTTTGAAATCTTCGAGTACCAACAACCGTGTAGAAACGTTCGAAAAAGTATTTGTTGAAATTGCTGAACGATACTTTGTTTACAAAAGGAAAAAACTTCGCGGCCCTGTTCCCTATCCAATTAATATAAAAAAGTCAATTAAACGTAGAAATAAAGCTTTCAAAAATTATCGTGCTTTTATTACCAGTTCGGACGAAGCGCTAAAACGTCGCCTTAAAATGATATGGAAGAATTTGTCAAGAAAAGCTGAGCGACTGATATGTAAATTTGAACGTAGTCGCTTGACTGACGCTGCTACAGCAAGTCGTAATAATCCTAAAAAGTTTTGGCGTTTCGTTAAATCTACCAGTAATAAAATCGGTATCCCCCCGCTGAAGCTAAATGACGGAAGTTTTGTTTCTTCTGATTCCCAGAAAGCATCTATTTTAAACCATATTTATTCTGAGTCTCAGGGACCATGCAAGAGCCACTGTATAGGGTCAGGTCTAAATTTGCAGACAGAGAACAATGAGCCGGCCATAATAACGGAAAGCATGATTTATTACCATATTGCACGCTGTTCGTCCACATCTTCCAGTGGTCCTTTTAAAATCACTAACACCTTATTAAAACTAGCTGCTCCAGCGATTATCAAGCCGTTAAAAATTGTTTTCGAAGGCGCTCTAAATGAAGGTTGTTTCCCAACAAAATGGAAGCAATCTTTTATTGTCCCCATTCCGAAAAGCTCGAAAGACCATATGAATCCGAATAATTTTCGCCCGATCTCCATGTTAAGCCCTTTATCAAAAATTTTTGAACGTTGCATAGACCAACATATTCGCGAATACCTCAAAAAACACCTTAAATTAACTGACCACCAGTTTGCTTATCGCGAGAAACGTTCGTGCGAACTACAAAATTTTTGGTTAATTAAATCTGTTAGTGACTTTATCGAACGTGGTACCGATGTGCATGCCATTTTTCTTGATTGCTCGAAAGCATTTGACAAATGTGACCATGAAAAAATTCTGGAAGCACTGATCAAATTGGGAATCTGCAGTCAGGTAGTTCACATAATAGATGATTATTTACGAAACCGTGTCCAGTGTGTTATTATAAATGGTAATGTTTCGGATTTTTTGAAGGTAACTAGTGGAGTCCCGCAGGGTTCTGTCTTAGGACCATGCTTGTTTATTTGCCTGCTAAATTTCCTTTCTTTTATTCTTACCCACGGCAGCGAACTATTAATTTTCGCCGATGATATCGCTATTTATCGCCCAATAATAACAGAAGGTGATAAAAATGCGCTACAGGTGGATATCGGTAATGTAAAAAACTGGGCCGATGAGAATAAACTTTTCTTTAACGTTAGCAAAACCTTTCATGTTTGTTTCTCGAAGAAAAGGTCACTTACGAGTACGCATGAGTATTTTCTTGATGGTACTGCAATAGAGCGCTGTGAAAGTGTAAAGTACCTGGGTATCGTCGTAGACCGCTCATTAAAATGGAAGGAAAATACGGACGCTGTCGTTTCCAAATGCAGAAAAAGAATCCGTTGGATAAATTTTCTATTTAAAAGAATAAATTCTGCTGCCCGCATTCAGTTATTTAAATCCTTAGTGCTACCTGTCTTTGACTATTGTTGTAATGTTGTCCCTCCCTTTCATAAAACCAGCCGAGATAAACTTGACCAATGTATGGAGCGATTTCTAAAAACCGTCCCTTTGGGCCATAGCGACTTTCAAGGTCAATTAAAAGAGTTAAACTGGGACTGTTTCGAAGTTCGCAGGATGAAGAAATGTCTAATCCTCGCCTACAAATTAATATTTTGTCGCATCCCGCTTGGGGAGAGATTTTATCTTCCATATGAACACGATTCTGCTGGTTTTGTTTCTGTTGCAGGTAACACCCGATCCGTACATCGACTCCTGAATCACCCATATCCAATTCGTCCAGCCCCGACAGTGCTTTGCGGAACCTCGGTAATACCGACGCCGGAATCCCATATTCATGAAATCTGCGAGTTATGGAATGAAATAATCTTACCGAAGGAATCATATTCTTCAGTAAACACGTTCAAGAATGCCCTCGACAGAGTCACCTGGAGTAAACTGCAGTGGAGTAAGCTGCAGCGGACCAAGAAAAACTGCGATACGGACCTGTTGTACTAAATTTTAAATTGTATAATATTTCTACTGACAACGAACGACTTTGACGACTGCTTCCACTTTGTTTTTGCATGTTTTTGTTTGCCGAAATATGAGCATCTAACACGTAAACGTGAAATGACCTTTAACAAATGTTAAAACTTTTCTTTATGATAATTTCAACTTTTGTTCCTTTTGTCTCGAGTGTCAAATGCTTTGAGGGGACTGTGTCCCGATGCATAAGACAATAAATTCAATTCAATTTTCCTCAAGGACATTTTTATTCGGGTACCAAGCATATGGTCACGTCGTTGACAGAGTCGTTGCACCGTGAAGTTCGAGCCATGGAACCCAAAAACAATATTAGAATTACGGTACTCGCACCACTGAGTCATTAAAGATTTCTGTCTATTGTGTTGCTCTAGCATACTGTGTACACGAATTACGTACAATATCCTCGACTACTTTAGCCTGCTAATCCACTGTGCGCGATTTTCAAAAAAGACTAATGTACAAGAATCCCGAATCTCAACTTTGATTTACAGGATATCAGTCCGGGAGTTGTCGACACAGAAATCGTGCAGAGGTCCCTGGCTGATCTTAAGGAACCACAGCCCGAGCCGGCCTTTAATAGAGATTATAAAAAGATGAGTAGTAACGATGTAGCGGATAGTGTGCTATACGTGTTGTCGGCTCCACAACATGTGAATGTTAAGACGCTCATTGTTGCTCCCACACAACAGCCAGAGTTGTGAGTGGAGCGCTGTCAGTAATAATAAAGGTCGCATTGTCCGGAAAAATACGTTTAATAATGATTTTTCTTCTGATATGAGGCACAGTTAGGGACCGCTACATATGCATGTACATATTACAGACAAGAAAAAACAGTTGCTGTAGAAATACTATTAGCAGGCCGATCTTATACTTTCACCTGAACAATTAATAACTGCATCATTCTGAAACAAACCTAATTTAGTAGAATACGCGCAAGGGTAAATACAAAATCTACTTACTTGTTGGTTTTAATAGGAAAACGTACAAAAAAAAGCCTGTGCTGCACACAGATTCAACATTACCACCGCACTAATGTATAAGAGGGTCATGTTTGTTGCATAGCGGAAACCGGTTATTATTTATCGGCAACAATATTGGACTTTGGTGGATGAGTGTGATTATTATATTTTTCATTATCCAGACACAGATGCTACACCGGCTGCCTGCAGCGTTTTTCGAGGCTTTGAGATTACTTGCTTAGCAAGAATTGCTAAGCGATATATACCTGCACAGTAGTTCTGCAAAACAAGTATCTGTAAAACGTAGCTTCTTTACTGAGCTCTGTTTATGGCACTACTTAGGCTTACTGGCCACATTGAGCTTAACTTCAAAAACTTTAGTCTTGTTTTGTGCTACAATAAGAAGAACTCTTAATTCGTTAACCAAAATCTGCAGAACTCGGCAGGTTTTCATAGCAAAATCCTCCTACCACATTGGCCATGGATCGATGGAAGGGACGAGTGGCTCTGGTAACCGGCGCTTCCGCTGGAATCGGCTATGCCATCGCCGATGCGCTTGCGCGTAGTGGAATGGTGGTGATCGGTTGCGCCCGCAATACCGAGAAAATTCTGGTAAGTTTCACAATTGTGTCGCATTCAAAATTTTAATGTCGTGTAAATCTGCTCTGCAGGAATTAAGCAAGAAGTATGGGAAGGGAGCTGGCAGTCTGGAAGCCATACAGTGCGATCTGAGCCAACCAGACCAAATTACGGCGATGTTTCAACAAATTACCAAAAAGCATAAACAGGTTGATGTGCTGGTAAATAATGCCGGACTGCTCCGGATGGATGATTTACTGACGGGTCGCATTGAGAAATGGAGGGAAATGTTGGAGGTCAGTGTTCCACGAGTCATACACCGTATTCAACTGCCTTTAAAGTGTTTACTCACATAAAGAGCCAAGAACGTGCATGAAGTTATTTCAGTTTTGTAATGTTTCATACACAGGTTAACGTTCTTGGGTTAAGTATCTGCGCGAGGGAAGCACTTAAATTAATGCCGCAAGATGGAAACATTATCAACATTAACAGGTTTGTGATGCTGCACCAATAATGTTCATACAGCGAGTGCTCAGTAATTATCAATTTTAATAATAACAAAACACAAAAAGCCCGACTTTAATACATTATAGGAGCATTGTTCATTTTTTCGGGTGCGCTTAGTTTGTTATTGTTACTGGTAATAATTATGATCGTTTTTACGTTTATTATGAGGCATTCGTTTAATTGTAATTGCGGTTATTTTAGCACGGAAAGTCCATACAGTTCAAATTTCTGACAGTGATTTTCTTTTTACAGTTACGTTGGGCACTTTCACACCAATTTCAAGGGCAGCCATTTTTACACGGGCACGAAACATATGATTACGTCGCTTACGGAATCCCTACACCGCGAAGTGCGCGCTATGGAGCCGAAAAACAATATCCGAATTACAGTGAGAACACGGCCTTTTAAATGGCTACTATATCTGTAGTGTAAATGTAACTAACAGTCTATTAGCACGACATTATACGCCCGCCAGAAATTGTCCCGTTAACACTTTACAAGTTTGTTGATTATACGGTGTAACAGGAGAATTATAAGCTCTTATATACAGGACATTAGTCCGGGAGTTGTGGAAACAGAGATTATGCAGCGGTCGCTGGCTGATGCTCCGCAAGCAACGGATATATCAACCATGCCATCCAGAAGCTGGGAGTATGAGAAGTTGAAAGGTCAAGATATTGCGGACAGCGTACTGTATGTCTTGTCGGCACCGCAGCATGTCAACGTCAAAACCTTGATCGTTGCACCCACACAGCAACCCGAACTTTGAATATGTGAAAGCCTGACATCTACAGTCGTAATATATGACATAAATGCCCGCACGCCGCCTTTGAAATTAATATTTAGCTGTTACATAAGGCATTTGTTTTCACTGGATATTTTGAGTTATAATATTATAAAATTATACAGATTGTGGATTTTTCACCAAGCGGATTAAATAAATGACAATTCATTACACGTTAAAGGGCCTAGATGCGAGAGCAGAAGGAAGTATCCAGCGAAGTATTTGTCACATTTTCGTAAATCGCAATCACTGTGTTAACCAGCTGCAGCGTATCGTTCTGGTCTTTTCCTGGTTTGCTTTTGTCGTCGTTGATTTCAGCGGACAAAAGTATGTAGCCAAACAAGGTACAAAAAATCTATTAAAAACATTACAGATACATTAAAAATTGGCCCCCAAAACTGGTGTAATTATATACCGACCGTAACTGCCGCCTCGCGGTTCACGGAGACGCCTCCAATTGTCACCTCCGATCTAGTGTTTTTGCAGAGCCGGATGTGTTTTCGTACTTGGCGTATTTCATCATCCGAACATTTATCGAGAAAGACCATTTCTCTTAGTTTTAGGAGAAAATCCTCTTCCTGGAGCAAAAAAGGCAAAAATAGATAGATAAGTTTTAAAACGGTACGATGACTTTTCTCCGAATATTTTAACCTGGGTGGATGGGACTCGAGCCAATGCAAAAGGTTTACTTATTAATGTTAAAAAATGGTAAATGCATACCGCTTCTACAACAAAAACCATAGACACAATTTGTACGATGATGAGAGCCAGATTCCACGAAATGGAAATCAGTGCAGCTGCGTCCAAATCGATGCCGCTAGCGGCGTCCTCGCACACTTTCTCCACCCACATCAAAAAGTAGCACACCGACTCCACGAACACCACCAGGATAATTAAAGAAAAATCCTTATTAAAATCCTGGATCATTTCCGCCAGCTGACGATGATCGGCTAAACACTGGTGCAAAACTTTTCCAACTTGGGCTGGCTGGAAATCCGTTTGTGCCAGGATTTGTTTTATTTGACGAATCGCCATAGCCATCATTAGCGTTATTACAGCCAGATAGCAGCCAACGCTTTGAAACCCAATGGTATTCGAGCGCGACAAAAATAATTCGACAATGATGAATTCTCTAGCGTAGTCGGCCAGAAATGTTCCATTATGCCGACTGGCAAAGTCACCTGTGGCTAATTTAAAGGTATTTTTCGTGAACAAGTCGGATAAGAGTTTATTTGCGCCTACGCAGCATAATAAGACAAGGCCGGTGCCAATGATTACGGCAAGCTGTTTCGGTGGAAACCGACCGATAACGGTCGCGGTTAAAGACTTGGTGACACTCGATAAACTGCGTCTCATAAACAGCATTTTGAGAGCGCAGAGCGTCTGCAGGTAAGGATAGGCGTAAACCGGGCAGGTTAAGATCATGCCGGCTGTGCTGGAACTGAACAAGCGCCGATCACTTTCTCGGAATGCCAAAATAAGTAATCGGAACAATAGGAAGACCGCCAAACTAATGCGAAGCCATAATCGGTGGATGGTGTAAGCGTTATACGTGCAAAACTGCATTATATACAACCACAGTGCATTATGGAACTGCAATACACGAAGACCGATATGTTGCTGTTTCCCGTTCATTGCTGATACGTGCGTGGTTGGTTTCTATACGTCAAGGGAAAAGCAACGTTGTGTTTAAGTAGAATTCAAAATTATGATTCAATATCTGCGCTTCGCTAAAATATCAGCTATCAGGTCACACGGAACAGAGAAAACGAGAAAGTTCTGCGGTTTAAAAACGTGCTTGATCTTGTAATATGGTTATTGGTTGGCCTGGTAAAACTTCTGTCATAGTATCAATTACCGTACCTTTGGTAACTTTTATGACGTTATGTTATGTGTTATGTGGCTGTCTCAGATTCGGCATGGGAATAATCCAGTGTCAGCTGTCAAAATTGATTCTTTTGGAATATTTAATTATAAATTAAATTGTCTCAACACTCAGTTCAACTAAACTGGCGCACAAGGTACATATAAATTATAAGCGGAACAGCTGTAAGCCGAAGTTGCGAAATACGGCGCCGAAATTATGCGGTATTAGTCAACCCTATAAACGTGTATTGTGCATAATATCACGATTTATGTTCTAAGACAAAAAGGTTGCTACCTTGTGGGAACGAAATCATTCAATCGTAAAAGAGGCACGACTAGCAAAGAAAGACCAAGGTTGTTAAAAGTTAATTGAAGTATCCTCATTTAGTGTTACTCGTAATATTCATTATGGTTAAGACGATCGTCTGAATATTTTCCATGGTTCCATTGGAATTATGGCCGTGAGAGCTTTGGTCAGCGATAGCAGCGGTCAACAGAATGTATCCAAAAACAGACCCGGCAATCTTTGGACATGTTAAAAGGAAAGGATCAACTAATATTGTCGTTACTAGCATCAATATAAATAGCAGGAAAAACATAATAAAGTTACCGTAATTAATGATTCGCGGGTGACGGTTATTCCAGCCATTGTTACACGTGACCGGCAACCTTTATACACTGCCAGATGATGGAAAATTGCGTGTGCAGTTTTCTCGGGTGTATCGGAATTGAAAGACAGCTCCCGGAGATATTGCAAAAATGCGTCTTCCTGCAAAATATAAATCGAATACGTAAGGTGCGCATTTGTCCAACAAGCCAATAGATGTTTGTTAACCTGCTCCAAAAGAAACACCGGTGCCGCAGTAACGGCAGCTAATTTTACTGCCGTCAATATAACGTCGGTAATACCGACGTTCTGCGGCGTTTGTCCCATTGACAGTTCCCGACACAGCTGCTCGGAGCCGCCCATAAATGAAGTCAGCTCTTCGAAAAATATGACGGCAATGATGCCGCAAAAATGTTGATCTACGGCTTCGATTATGCGACTTAATTGTATGTGCTGCGATAAGTACAGCGTCACCGATGTCCGGCAGTTCTTTCTAATGCTGCGTAATAGCCCTCGAAAGGTCACGCCTAGAGTAACCGACAGCAAGACGACAAATCCAAGGATAAGCTGAAATCCACCCGCACTAATCTGACCAGCAATGTCTGATATGATACATAATTCAGGTGTAAACTGGGACAACACAGACAAGTGCGAAGAAAACCACTTTAACCGCTCAGGGAAGTCTTGTACAATCTCTGTTGCGTTTACAATGGGAATGCTAAAAGCATGCACGAATAAAGCACATCCTAATGCAATCACGATCGTTAATTCGATTCGATTAAAATAGATCCCGAAGATGGCTGCATAGGATTTCATCCACATCGGCAAATCTTTTTCCGCGAGCGCCATCTGTACAATGCACACAAACCAGGTAAGCGGCGCGAGATACGACGGCCATGCCAGGATCATTGCAGTGATGCTGGAGGTCACCGGTGGACGCTCCAGCTGAGCTCGAACAGCACCCAGCAGCTGCAAAGTTATGTATATGCTGAAGAAGCTCCATCCGAGAAAGCTGAGGCAGCGATGGCAATGTCGCTGGGGAAAGCACAAGAATCCGCAGGCGTGGATGGTGCACAGCCATACAGTCAGATGCCAGTGCAAGATGCGGGCTGCCATAATGATGTAAGTGTATTGCAACAATGAATTTCCGGGAAGTGCTGCTTTGCAAGTCTTTCCCAGTTTGTGAACAACTGTCTCATGCGGTACCGCTACAATTTAACGGCGTTTCCGTACGAGGAAAACCGGCTCGCAAAATTCCACTAATGCGTCGCAGTTTCGAATGCATGACACAAAAATTTTGGTAAATTTTATGCAACAGGAATAATTACGTTATGTGCCCTTTGATATAGATTACAGCTGTTGTAGCAGCTGCCCAGTTATTGTATCAATTTTGTCACTGTAGGCAAGTTAAAGCAATCGGCGATGATATAGCTCATGATTATAAGTTACAACTGTGTCAGCTGCGCCTTCTAGTGCAAACCGCTGCCCTATTCAATATGTTGGCATTGACAATTAGCGGGCGACTAGCGAAGGTCCAGCGATACCGGTCTTATGACATAACTGTATAGAATTTATTGAATATTGCTAAAACTTAAATACATTTATTAAATCTGATGACTGTTTGCTCAACACGCGACATGAGGAATTCCACATCTAAACAATGTGCGTTTTAAAGCATACGAGTATACGTTTGTTTTCGATCGTGTACTTCTCATCAGCTCATAATTATAGCGACATCTTTAAGCCTTCGTGCTTTTAATTTTATTCTGAGTGATACTCGTTCTTTCGTTCCACGCGCTGACGACGGTAATCCGGTTAATACGTCCTGTCGCGCGATGCAGCATATTCTTCAGTTCAGCCTGATACTGCGTCCCCAGTAAAATGAAAATTACCTGCAAATCAAAACACATTCAACTTTAAACGCGGTGGCTCTGATTCAAATCACTATTAATTTTGTACTTTACCGGTGTTCCAGCGGCGCCGCACAGCTCCAGCACTTTAACTCCGAGCATCATCCGTTCTCGTCCCATCCAAAATCCAGGAGCGATTGTATTCGTAACCGGCACTGGGAGAAAGCACAGCAGATTCCAAAAGTACGAAATAATTAATATTTTGCCCAGTGCGCTGTGTCGCTGATGTTTAGCCCCATCCTCACTGGCAATAAGATGATTTTTGCGCAACAATCGTGCCGCCAGAAATAAATGTGCCACACCTTGTACAGCTAGGACAAACCAGACATTAATCACCGTGATAGCGGTCGCCAGTGGTCGAATAATCGGCATAATTCCGCAGTTGCCCAAGGGGAACAACCGTGGTGACCATCCGGCAATCTTAAACGCAATTAACAATTGAAATCCAGTTGGTATCAACCAGCAGATGCTCATATACACCGCATTTTTCGTCGGCGTGAATAGTTTTTTGTACTGATGCGGAAAATAGCCGGCGATGAAGCGGTTAATGGCCAGAACGGCGGCTGACCAGTAGGTGATCCCAATATCCGATGACCTGAAAAAGTTCAGCGTGGGACAATGAATGATGTCCCGGAATCCCAACTGTGTTCGCAGAATCAGGATGTTATCAGTTGGAGCAAGGAACGTAACATTGAGGAATACCACCATTAATAGCTGGCATATCAAAACATTGCTACCATGTTTTCGTTGGCTTTTCTTGAAGAGGATGGCAATTAATAGGATAC